TACTGCGTCAGAAACGTCAGGCAAACGCGGCGCTGGCGTGTCTACTTGGTCAGTCCGTACGCCTTGGCGAATCCCGACTGAACTCATGGCAGCGTCGTTCAAGCTCGCGACTTCGATAGCTTCGCCCGCCACAGGAACGCGCGGGGCGACCGAACTGGCTCCAAAGGAGTTTCTAGGAGAGCAATTGCGGCTCGCTTCGAGTTCCACTCTTCGTCGTCGTTCAGCATCGAGATATTCTGTTCCGTCAAACGAGAGTTACGTGTCGCGAGGGACACGCCCCGTAACTTCCGCTGCATTTTCCGTCGCGAAAGTTAAACAGCTTCGCCCTCCACCATCACCTAGTCCCAGTACCTTGGCTCTCGACCAGATCCGTGTGTCAAACGGAAACAGTAAGTTCCGTTAATTGTAGACTCGGTTCAATGCTCCTTGCGCCGTCAATCCGCAATTCCAGCAGTAGACCTCTGTCTTCTCGCATTATCTTCTATATCTCGTTCCTTGCTTTTTGTCCTGTCGTTTTATTTTCAGGGTACACGAGCGAGAAGTCGAGTATACTCGTTATAGGCTTGAGCGTGCACACGGCGCCTGTGGAGCTCCGGGAGAAGCTCGCGGTGCCGGAGCACGAGTGGCCACGTGCCATCCACGAGCTGAGCGCGTGCCCGCACATCGAGGAGGCGGCCGTGCTGAGCACGTGCAATCGCATGGAGATCTACGTCGTCGCGCGGTCGTGGCACATGGGGATCCGCGAAGTGACCCAGTGGATGTCTAAGGTGGGTGAGGCGAGTCTAGCCATGTCCTGACCGAATGTAATCATTGAACGCAGCCAATTTCTGTTACCCGAATGTAGAACCTTCCCTAGCAAACCACCCTACCGCCGCTCCCTCCCGCACACATCCCAACCCTCCCCACCCCCCCCCTCCCCCCTCCACACCCCCCTTTCCTCATCCCCCCAACCCCTCCCCTTTTTCCCACTCTCCGTTCCCACAAGTATTCCTCCCGCACCAAACCATCCCTCGCCTGACGCATTTTCGTAGTCAACTTTATATTGCCAGTGAGACGCCCCTCGTTACCACATCCCTTACCCTCCTCCCCCCCTGCTCTCCCCCTCTCCATCCCTTCTCCTCTCCCCTTCACCACCCCCACAATGCAGTCCAGCGGAGTACCAGCCGAAGAACTCCGCCCGCACCTCTTCATCCTGCGCCAACGAGACGCCACCCACCACCTACTCCGCGTCGCCTCAGGTCTCGATTCTCTCGTCCTGGGTGAAGGGCAAATCCTCGCTCAAGTCAAACAAGTCTTCAAAGTCTCGCAGGGAAACGTGGGGTTCGGCCGGAATCTACACGGGCTGTTCAAACAGGCGATTGAGGCGGGAAAGCGGGTCCGAACCGAGACCAGCATTGCGTCTGGAGCTGTTTCTGTGAGCTCTGCTGCTGTTGAGCTGACTGCCATGAAGCTTCCGGAGAACGGGCTGAGGGACGCCCGGGTGATGATTGTTGGCGCAGGGAAGATGTCCCGGCTTTTAGTTAAGCATTTGCTCTCTAAAGGGTGTGATAAGATAGTGGTGGTGAATCGGACAGAGGCCAGAGTGGAAGCGCTTAGAGAGGAATTTCCAGCAGCAACGCTGGTTTTCTGGCCATTGTCTGAGTTGTTGGAAGCAGCAGGTGAGGCAGATGTGGTGTTTACAAGCACAGCTTCGGAGGAGCTGCTTTTCCATCAGGATAACGTGCAAGGTTTGCCATTGGCAGGCGAGCTCACAGCAGGAGTGCGTCATTTTGTGGACATTTCCGTTCCAAGAAATGTGGGAGCGTGCGTCGGGTCCGTGGGTCATGCACGGGTGTACAATGTGGATGATCTGAAGGAAGTTGTGGCAGCTAATAAGGAGGACAGGAAGCGGAAGGCGCTGGAGGCTGGGGTGATCATAGAGGAGGAGATTCAAGCGTTTGAGGCGTGGAGAGACTCGTTGGAAAGTGTGCCAACAATTAAGAGGTTAAGGGAGAAGATCGAGAGCATTCGGCAGGCGGAAGTGAACCGGGTTCTGGCGAAGCTGGGGCAAGAAGTAACGCCGAAACAGAGGAAGCTGTTAGAGGAGATGAGCAGGGGGATGATGAACAAGATCCTGCATGGGCCGATGACGCATCTGAGATGTGATGGTGGGGATGCGAGGACAGTTCAGGAGATTTTAGAGAATGTGAATGCGATCGGGAGGATGTTTGACCTGGCTGCTGATGAGATCATGATCCCTCAGCTCACTGTGGCGTCCAGTTCCAACTCAAGGTGAAGCTTCAGGTGGCTGTCTACATATCTGTGTAACTTAGTGAAATGGTGATCGACCGGTGATGCGCTGTCAGTATCTAACGAGTGTCAGGGGAAGCTGTTGACAGGGTGTAAGCCATTTAGCTCCTCTTGGATGCCAATTCCGCGCTTGATTTATTAGACGTGCATGTCAATGGATGGCTGCCAACTGGTGAAGTGGAACGCTTGTTTCTCTCCTTGCAATCTGTGATAGGTATGTGTCCCTTTGGAAAAAAAATCCTCCACCTTATCAGCATAAACAATGTAGAAAGCGCAAATTGCAGCTGGAAATACTGTATCAGTGCAGCTTCCGACCACAGAACTGTACAGGCGTCTGTTTAACATCCTGAGTCCAGGAGGAACCACTGAAGTCAAGCTGCTTGCACAGCAGCAGCGGCACCAGCGCTTACATCCTCACTAGCTACCTCTCTCTTGTTTTGGAGATCCTTGACTGCTGCCTTGATCGCATCCTCTGCCAGCATGCTACAGTGCAGCTTCACTGGGGGCAGAGACAGGTGCTTGGCGATGTCACTGCAGAAAGGTTGGTTGCGAAAGAAACGGAGGACAATGTTTTAAGGGGGGAGAAAAGAATACGGTGGGATGCAGCTAGAATCTAGAGACCAGAATGAGATGAAGAAATTGGCAAAGCGAAGGTATTCTATCGTAAGGTAAGGTTCCCGAGGACTAACTCAGTGGTGCCTGTGATTTGGACGGGCTCGGACAGGCAGAGTGGTATGGTACTAGATAAGGTAGCTGGATAAGGTAGACAGGAAGGAAGCACTGCGTACCTGTTCTTGATTGTCATGACCTCGTCAACTGACTTCCCCTTCACCCATTCCGTGGCTGCAGAGCGAAGATCAATAAGAGCACGTAAACACGGAGGAATAAGACACAAACGGGTAATTCCAATAAACAAGATCCTTTTCAAAATGGAAGTCAGTTGCAACTCGCGAGCGTTACCTGTAGAGTTGCATCACTGCCACAAGCGACATTCAGCTTAGCAGGCAACACGAATTTCAGCAGACAGCATGTGACGAGGCCATCGACTTACCGACGGAAGAAGAGGCAATCGCCGATCCGCACCCGAAGGTCTTGAAGCAGGAATCGACGATCTTTCCGTTTTCGTCGACCTTAATTTGCAGCTTCATGACGTCACCACAAGCCGGAGCACCCACTAGACCTGTACCGACATTCGGGTCGTTCTTGTTGAACGATCCAACGTTACGAGGCTTGTTGTAGTGGTCAACGACGTTCTTGTGGTAACCACGCTGTAGAAGTGTTACCAGCCGAGTTTGCGACCGTGCACCCGCAATCCGCATCATCTTCGAATTCGCGCGACTATGTACAAGAAACAGGATTGACACGCCTGAGGGACGCTGGAGAAATATCTAAGACAGTAACAAACCCGAAGGGCTACTAAGCAACAAGATAGAAGCAGTAAACCCGAAGAACGGAAGGGAGTTCCACAACAGCAGTCAGGAGAGGGGAGTCAAGTGGCCCAGAAGCCACAAATGTTGGAAGCTTCTAGTGTTGGAAGCTACGGAGGACTATGTAGGAGCTATGACTCACTGCAAACATGCAGACAGTGGCGTGGCGTGGTACATGTACCTGAATGATGTGTTGCGAAGTTTGGCTCTTCATCATGCTGTAAGACGCTCAATCCCTCTGTAACGTACTAATAAGCCGTGCGTAAACCAACCAGATGGGCGACGCTTGGGTCTCAATCTTGGAGCAGATTTTCTGGGTGCACTGGCCTACACCAAGGAAAGCTGTTCCGTCTAGAAGACGGGGCAGCTGACAGAAACGAGAGAGTCAGATGACGGAAATCGTCAGGTGGCAGCATAATGTATCTTGCGCAGAGTCCAAGCTTCTGTCTGTCTCGGACTTCTTTCGGCTCCGCTAAATAAGTTCAGCTCGCTATCTGTACAGAGTCTATTGTATGGAAACGCATATACAGCAGCAAGGACCCATGATAGTGTACAAGGTGTAGATTGCTGTGCTGTGTGGGATACGTCTGTTGGCCCTGCCCGTCGAGGGTTTTGGCTGGGTCGGGGTTTACGCCGAGCATGAAAATTCCACCAAGAGCGAACAGAAGTTTCCCTTTCTTGCGTCAGTCAGCATGACGTAAGTGTCAGTCCCTACCAGTACCCTACTATAAAAAGAACGCCAAACACATTACCATTCCCACCCGACTTAATACCAGTTTTGGTGCCGTTCCACCATTGGTTCAGTCTGATTCGCCAGAAGTTTTTCCAAATCACAGAACCACTTCATCACCACATCTCCAAGTGCCGCGACAATCCCAAGAACTACATTTTCAGACGACAAACCCTGTCAGCACGAACCACTGTCAGGGATCAGGCATCAGGCATCAGGGGAAAAGCTTCTTCACTCGCAAGGATTTTTTTGCCTGTCCATTCCTTGAGAACTCCGCCTCATTACCTTCTCGTCCAGCATTCGCTGCTGGTTGTGCGTGAATCTCAGGAGTTGCCATAAGGCCGTGATCGTCGGCTCGAACCTGATCTTCGCGCTTCGACGTCGCTGATACCTTCAAAAGAAACGATATCCTATCAGCTACGACCATGGCTACCACCAGCAATGCGCTTGCAGGCCACCATGGCCTCAGGCTTGGACGTCTTCACAAGGACCAAACGGCCTCGCTTCTATCGCTTCGCCATGATCGGAAAGCGTCGTTTCCCGGATCAGGGAAAATGCAAGTATGCACCTGTCTTCCTCCTTGTTAGGATCAGGGATCAGGTTTGAAGACTCATTATGGGGATCTTTTGCTTGTTGTGTCGCAATGCAACGTGACGTCGTGCATTTTGCCTTTTCAAGCTTCAGTATATGACAAAATGCATGTTTCATTTGCTCCCACGACTATCCAGTCCCTCGCTTCCCTTCGCTCCTTCACTGCTCCCTCTGTTTTTTCCCTTCGCTTTGTTTTCCTCATGCTTTTTTCTATGTGCAGGCGTCCTCATCGCGGTGTCTTCGCCTGGTAGCCACAGCTACTGTCCAGCAGTCCCAGGCCTCCAGGTGCGGAAATGACCAGTCCCTTGTCCCAGTCTGTGCATGTGTGTAGCATGGTATTTTCGTGCCTGATCTGCTTGATCGACCAGATCCTGGTTCCCTGACGTCACTTTTGAGCCGGGCAGTTGGGTGTTTAGGCCTTGATTTCTCCCGCCAGTTTGTTTTCAGCAGCTTCTAGGAACTCTGCACTCAACACATTCATCTGCTGCCGCATTGACGCTGATTTCCTTCCTTAACCATCCGCTCCCGCACCCACCTCCCCCCATCGCTCCCCCCCCCCTCTCCCCCCGCCGGCCATCTCCGCGCGTTTCTGGTTCGCCCCTGCAGCGCTCAGTCGCCGTCGTCGCTAGCGGTGAAGGAGGACGCGCCGATTAACTTCGACGATCTAGGGTTCGGGCTGGTGGAGACGGACTACATGTACGTCGCCAAGTGCGTGCGCGGGGAGGAGTGGCAACAGGGCGAGCTGCGGCCGTACGGCAACCTCGAGATTAGCCCCGCTGCTGGCGTGCTCAACTACGGCCAGGTGCGTTAAGGGTGGCGCCGCAACAACAATGGGCGAAGAACAGGCGTGTCCGAACACCCAGAATGAACAGAGATCACACATCGGGCTAGTTTTAACAGTCACAGCAATTTCATAATGAGCCCGGCTGCTGGAGTGCTCAAATACGGCCGAGTGAGTGTCCCTCTTTTGTTGCCCACCATTCCCTCTCCATACCATCCCGGTTCTTCCCTTTCTCCTAAAGGGCTCTTCATCCTTTCTCCCTCTTTCTGTGTCGATACCTCCATCTTCATTCCTCCTTCCCCCCCCCCACCCGCGCATTCCTCCTCCCCGGCGCCCCTCCGCGCCCCTTCCTGCTCCCCCATACTCCCTCCGCAGGGCGTGTTCGAGGGCATGAAGGCGTACCGCACGGCGGACGGGCGCGTGCTGCTCTTCCGCCCGCGGGAGAACGCCCTGCGCATGCAGGAGAGCGCGGACCGGCTCAGCATGCCCGGGCCCCCCGTGGAGCAGTTCGTGCAGGCCGTGAAGGACACCGTTCTGGCGAACCTGCGATGGGTGAGTGAGGGAGAGGTTGAGATAGGGTGCAGGGGTATTGGGAAGGATCAGGGGCGCATGCAGGAGAGCGCGGACCGGCTCAGCATGCCCGGGGCCCCCGTGGAGCAGTTCGTTCAGGCCGTGAAGGACACTGTGCTGGCAGACCTGCGATGGGTGAGCGACTGGGATGGGTTAGGGAGAGCAGGGGAAGCTGCGGGCGGAGAGAATGCCTGGTATGCAAGAGGGCACACAGGTAGATGTGTATGCCCGCACCCCCTCCCCCAGTGGGGCAGTTCGTCATGGCCGTGGAGGACACTGTCCTGGCGAACCTGCGATGGGTGGGCCAAGAAGAGGGGCTACGGAGAAGCGAGAAAGTATTCGGAGCATGGGGCATGCAGGGGAGCACTAACGTTCAGTGCAGACGGTGGAGGACACTTTTCTGGCGAACCTGCAATGGGTGTGCGTGTTGGGAAGTGGGTGGGGGAAGGGGGCAAGAGAAGGGGAGGGGTGCTAAGAAACAACAGAGAGAACGCAAGTAGAGCGCACACAGGCTTGCACGCCCACTCCTCTTCTCCTCGCAAGCCCATCACCACCTCCCACCCTCTCCCCTCTCCTCTCTCCCCTCCCCCGGCCATTCAGGTGCCGCCATGTGGCAAGGGCGTGCTGTACATCCGGCCCCTGCTGGTGGGCACGGGTCCAGTGCTGGGGCTGGCACCAGCACCCGAGTACTCGCTACTTATCTAAGTGTCGCCAGTGGGGAACTACTTCAAGGGCGCATGCAGGAGATCGCACACAAGCTTGCATGCCCGTAGCCACTTCCCACCCGCCCCACCGCCCATCACAACCTCCCACCCTCTCTCATCCCCTCTCCCCTCTCCCTGCGCCCCGATCCCCGCTCCCCGGTCCCGGCCAATCAGGTGCCGCCATGTGGCAAGGGCGCGCTGTACATCCGGCCGCTGCTGGTGGGCACTGGACCAGTTTTGGGCCTGGCGCCAGCGCCAGAGTACTCGCTACTGATCTACGTGTCGCCGGTGGGGAACTACTTCAAGGGCGCCACGCTCACGCCCATTGCTCTTAAGGTGGAGGAGCTCTACCACCGCGCTGCCCCCGGTGGCACTGGCAGCGCCAAGGCCATTGGGAATTACTCCCCGGTGAGTGCGGTGCTGTGCGGAGTGGTGTGGTGTGGTGGTGTGGTGTGCTGTGTGGTGCTGTGCCGTGTGCTGTGTGGTGCTCACGCCCATCACCCTCAAGGTGGAGGAGCTCTACCACCACGCTGCCCCTGGTGGTACCTTGCTGCACCTGGCGGCACCGGGAGCGCCAAGGCTATTGGGAACTACTCCCCGGTAAGTGCGGTGATGTGTGGTGTTCTGCGGTGCTGTGCGGTGAGTGTCGCCGGTGGGGAACTACAAGGGCGCCACGCTCACGCCCATCGCCCTGAAGGTGGAGGAGCTCTACCACCACGCTGCCCCCGGTGGCACCGGTAGCGCCAAGGCCATTGGGAATTACTTCCCGGTGAGTGCGGTGCGGTGCTGTGCGGTGCTCACGCCCATCGCCCTCAAGGTGGAGGAGCTCTACCACCGCGCTGCCCCCGGTGGTATTGGCAGCGCCAAGGCCATTGGGAACTACTCCCCGGTGAGTGCGGTGCTGTACGGTGTGGTGTGATGTGCTGTGCTGTGCTGTGTGGTGCTCACGCCCATCGCCCTCAAGGTGGAGGAGCTCTACCACCACGCTGCCCCTGGTGGTACTCTGTGATACTCTGTAATCTGACAGCTCCTCCTGTAGAATGAACTCCATTTTTGTCTTAGCCACCTATCACCACCTCCCTCCACTACTCTCCGTCATCCCTTTTTCGTCTCCTTTCTTTCCCACCTTTCTCTCCCTTCAATCTCTCTGCCTCCCTCCAATTTCGCTGCTTTTTCAGGTGCTCAAGACTCAGATTGCGGCGAAGCAAGATGGTTTCTCCGATGTGGTGTACCTGGATGCTCAAGAGAACAAGTATGCAGTTGTCCTTGCTCTGCCACTTGCTGTTCCAGCTGTTGCTGCTGCTACTGCTTTTGATGTTTCTGTTTTTGAGGCGCCTCAAAAGTAGACCTGGATGCTCTCAAGAGAACAAGTATGCAGTTGTCCTTGCTCTGGCTCTTGCTCTGGCTCTTGCTCTAGCTCTTGCTGTTCCAGCTGCTGCCGCTGCTGCTAATGGTTTTGATGTTTCTGTTGCTGTGTGCATATCACTTCTCTTACCGCCACTTTCCCCCCTCCTTCTCCTCCCACTCCCACCCTCAACATATTTGTTGTCACGGACTTGAGTTTTCGCAATGTGTTCTCACTGCCCATGTCTGTTTCTGTCCTTCAGGTACATTGAGGAGGTGTCATCGTGCAACATCTTTGTGGTGAAGGACTTGCGGTGTCGAAGTGTGTGTGTTTCTGTGCCGCCCATACTGTGTGCTCTTTCCAATCGCACCTCTTCTGTCCTTCAGGTACATTGAGGAGGTGTCATCGTGCAACATCTTTGTGGTGAAGGACAATGTCATCTCTACTCCCGACCTACGCGGCACCATTCTCGCAGGCATCACCCGCCGCAGTATCCTTGAACTCGCCCACTCCTTGGGCTACAAGGCAAGTGCTGTCTGGGTTGACTGCAGAGTAGAGAGTCAATCCCTTGGTAGAAACCCTTTGGTCAACGCACTTGTCTAGTCACATTAGGGCACCCGCCGCAGCTTCCTGGAACTCGCCCAGTCCCTGGGCTACAATGCAATTGCCATCTAGGTTGACTCAGCCCACCCTCCCATCCACCCACATCACCTTGCAGACGGAGGAGCACCAGGTGTCGATTGAGGATTTGCTGGGAGCGGATGAGGTGTTCTGCACGGGGACCGCTGTGGTGCTCTCTCCTGTGGGCGCTGTGACATTCAGAGGGAACAAGTAAGTTGATGGTCATGTGGACAAGGATTTATTGTTCGTCTTTGTTCTTTCTTTCTCTAACGTGTTCAGTCGAATAATTTGAAGTTGTATTAACTCCTCTTTTTGCCGAACCATGATCCATCATACTGAGCTGACTGACCCCTTTCTCCCCTTCACCCAAACCAGGACTACATTCGGTGATGGAGAAGCAGGGAAGCTTTCACAGCTGCTGTATGAACGGCTCACTAACATTCAGAAGGGCGTGAATCCGGATACGATGGGATGGACGGTTCAGATTGCGTGAATTTGAAGGCTTTCAAGGTGTTTGATTGTACTACTACTGTGTTATCAATGATAGTCAAAAGATTGTACGGTACATCCACAGAGTAGGCAGACACTTGAAGGAGCAAAATGCTTGTCTTAAGCTAGGATCCGGTCCGGATGTGCGTGAGTGCAGTGGAAAATCATCAAGATGTTAATAAGGATGCCGGTTTGTTTTCAGAAGGCTTAGCCTTACCTTGTTCTCCCTTATTAGAACGACTTCGTCAACACTTTTGTGCTACTTGAAACTGTCAGGTTTACATTTCTGTGTTCGCGAAATCGCCCCTTTGTTACAAATCGGTGGCAACCACCTCAGAGACCTGTGCCCCAGGGTTTGCTTCGTTCTGAAAAAAACCCTCTGTCCCATCAGAGCGGAAACCCTGTTTCGGGGGTCGTGGTAGTTCCAGTACGGTGCCTTACGTTTCCACGTAGAAGACATCACTTCTCAATATTTACCGCCTTCGAACGTAAACAACCACAAAGAACCGTGGAACGTGAACAGAAAATAGTCGTATGCCCCCATTTCAAATCGCCCTCTTCCCCCTCCACCCAGCCCAGGACCAGCAACCCCCTTGCCCGAGCTCTCCCATAACTCCCATAAGCAGCTTTGCATTGTTTCCTTTTCTTCCAAGGTAGTAGTGCCTATCGCACTTGCTCCGCGCTCGACCCTGTTGCCTGTTAGCCTCGGCGCTATCTATTCTTGAGCTTAGTAACGCGGCCCAACAGCGGCTTGGCACGACTGAGTCTCTTTCTTGGTACAGATAGTCCACGTGTCTTCAAGAATGGGGCCTCCTCGTGGGAGAGGTACGCGCCGGCTTCTCGTCTTTATTATTGTCAGCTGACGGCGCGTATTTTTATAAAACGCTGCATTGTCGATTTCGGAACCTTCAACGCTCTAGTCCATAAAAAACCATTTTGTGATCACACGTGCCATTCATTTGCTCGTTTTTTTCTGTTTCTCTTTGTTCAGGCGGGTTCGGCGGCGGTGGCTTCGGCGGCCGAGGCGGTGGCGGAGGTCGCGGAGGATTCGGCGGAAGGGGCGGAGGTGGAGGCCGCGGGGGTTTCGGCGGGCGTGGCGGGGGCCGAGGGGGCGGAAGGGGTATGCGGGGGGGCCGCGGAGGCGGAAGAGGCGGAGGGCGCGGGGGAATGAAGGGCGGAGCGAAGGTGGTGGTGGAACCCCATCGCCACGAGGGCGTGTTCGTTGCTCGCGGGAAGGAGGATGCTCTTGTCACGAGGAACATGGTGCCCGGGGAGAGCGTGTACGGCGAGAAGCGAATCAGCGTCGAGGTGCGTTTAATTCAAAACATCCACATTCTGTACACCCGTCTTTCGTTTTAGCGTGACTGCCTCGTTTGCCATTTTTTTGTTCGTCACTTCTTTCACTCGTTTACCGACATAAAAACTTCGCCTTTTATTAACTCGTCATGTCGTCCCAAACCCTTGCAGCTGGAGGAAGGGAACAAGGTGGAGTACCGAGTGTGGAACCCTTTCCGATCCAAGCTCGCGGCCGCTATTCTCGGTGGCGTCGACAACATCTGGATTGTACGTCCTCGTTATAAGCATTTGGTCGCATTCTTCAATTTCTTTAGGCGGAGTGATTAATGAATTTACTCACGCATATCCTCGTTCATTTCATGCAGAAACCCGGGTCTCACGTGCTCTACCTCGGTGCTGCCTCGGGTACTACCGTCTCCCATGTCTCAGACATTGTTGGCCCGGTAAGAACTTCGCTTACGACCATTTGATACAAGGGATGCGAGTGGCCAGCAAGTGATGATTGGACTGGAGTCGGATTCCCCATACACGAATGTAAAATCGTGAAATTCTGTCCTTCGAGGCTGATGCTGTGACCCACTCTCCTATCCCACGAGACTAACAGTGATAAATTTTGCTCACAATTCCTCCGTCTCTTTATGTGCTTTATCTCGTAGCTGGTCGTGTTTGCTTTCTTGCCAAACTTCCATGTAGTCCCCGTCCCGCCCCCCCCCTGAACCCCCCCGCTCTCCAGCTTCCCCTGCTATTCTTCTTTGCTTTTTTTCACTCACTGATTTCCCTTCGTTTCCTCAGACGGGAATCGTGTACGCCGTGGAGTTTTCTCACCGGTCGGGTCGCGATCTCGTTAACATGGCCAAGAGGCGAACCAACGTGATTCCCATTATCGAGGACGCCAGGCACCCGCAGCGCTACCGCATGCTCGTCGGCATGGTGGATACGATCTTCGCCGACGTGGCACAACCAGATCAGGTTCTTTTCTTTACTTGAAGCAAGGTTTGATGCAGCTCAAGGTCATGATTTGATCAGGTGATATTCAGATAAATGCAATGGGGTATGTGTCCATCGTTCCGCCTGAAGCTCTTAAAGCTTTTCATCGATTCTTCCCGGTACCCGCTATAAGCATTCCCTTGATTTATGGGGGGAGAGTGGCCAGCAAATGATGATTGGACTGGAGTCGGATTCCCCATACACGAATGTAAAATCGTGAAATTCTGTCCTTCGAGGCTGATGCTGCGACCCACTCTCCTACCCCACACGACTAACAGATCTCCTCAAAATTGTTCCAGCCTGAGACTAACATTACTTCCATTGTCAAAATCCTCATTGCCCTGTGATCCTTCATTTGTTCTTACCACTTGTGGTCGTATCAGGTGGTTCGTGTTTCCTTTCGTCTTCTTTCTTTCCTTATCTCTCTTCCCTCCCCGAAGCCCGCCTTTCGTTTCTCCGCTCCCGTTTTCCTATCATTTGTCTCCCCTTGCCATCCCTCTCGCTTCCCCCTTCCACTTCCCCCCTCCCCCCCCTCTCATTATAAATTCCTTCAGGCTCGTATTGTTGCTTTGAACGGTCACTACTTCCTCAAGACGGGCGGCCACTTCGTTATAAGCATCAAGGCCAACTGTATCGACTCTACAGTACCCGCAGAAGCAGTGTTCGCGAAAGAAGTGGCGAAATTGCAGCAGGAGCAGTTCAAGCCAGCTGAGCAGCTGACGCTGGAGCCATATGAAAGAGACCACGCGTGTGTGGTGGGTGGTTATCGCATGCCCAAGAAGAAAAAGGATGGCAAATAGCTAGTCTATTTTTCCCCGCGCAGCCTGAAAGGGCTGTAGTGTGACATTGTTAAATAATAACAAATTTAATACTATTTGAGGCTCCTCGTCTGATATTATTTCTTGTGTCAATAACTGGTCCTTCTAGAGTAGGTTAGTAGATAGCATAAATATACATGGAGATTTGATAAGGGAATTTAATACCATTCCCGAGTCAAAGCATTATTTCACTTGTTGCACAAAATGGTATTTACACTAATGAGCTCGCGCAGCTGTAGTCTTCTAGACCAAGAGCCTTTATCTATATAATCAAGTAAAGCAACAGTACCGATAGCCCGGAAGAAATGCCAGGGTGGAGCTTCCTCTTTCTGCACAATCAATACATGCTTCCCAAAAAAACCCACACGTTGCTTTGCTGGTCTTGACTTCACAATGAAAAGAAGCAGGCCCAGAAGCGGCATGTTACATCTAATTCCCCCAAGCCATAACCAACACAGTAAACCCTTGTACCAGCATGTTACAGGATACCGTTCTCCTGATGTTTCCACCTCCAAGCTCCTGCTACCACTTGCTTCATCATCTCTTCTCACACCTACAAAGCAACAGGCTCCCTGTCCCTCTCCTCTGCCTGCTTCCCCTTCCCCTTCTCCACTTTCTCTTCGCCTCCTTCCTCCTCCCCAGCGCTTTCATCCGACCCCCCTGACTCAGCAGCAAGGAACATCCTCCTCCTCCGATCCACCCCCTGTCTCGAATACTCCCTCCACCTCCTAGCCGCTGCCGCCGCCCGCCTGACTTTCTCCTGGTTGATAGGGTTACCACTAGCAGCCTTATCATACACGCCTTCCCCGTCACCTCTCCAGGAAGATTGCTCCCCGCCCATCCCCATGGCCTCGCCCATGGTCTCCCACAGCGGCTTGTTGTACTTGCCTGCCTTCCCATCCCTTGCTGCCTGCGCCTTTGCCTTGGACTGGGGGAGAGGGAGGAGAGAGGGTGGAAGAGAGGGGGGAGAGAAATGCAGCTAAAGAGGGGAGAGTGCGGCTCAGGAAAAAGGAGAATCGATAAACGAAAAAATCACAGTATGGGGGAAAGGGGGATAAAGGGGATAGAGGAGGAAGATGTGGACGAAAGTGGGGGAGGGGGGAGAAAAGTGGGGGAGGGGGGAGAAAAGTGGGGGAGGGGGGAGAAAAGTGGGGGAGGGGGGAGAAAAGTGGGGGAGGGGGGAGAAAAGTGGGGGAGAGGGGAGAAAAGTGGGGAGGGAAGTGGCACGAGAGTGATGCAGACGAGGGGCACAGGAACCAAGCTACCAGGAGGGGGTTCTCTCAGCAGGACATGGGTACTCACCAGTGCTTTGTTGCGTCGCTTCTCCTATCTCGAGTTGGCCTGCATGAACACATCAGCCCTGCAGCTGCTCTGCGCCTGCACGACAACTCAACCGCACTGCACCACTCCCAACTCACCAGTGCTTTATTGCGTCGCTTCTCCCATCTGGAGTTGGCCTGCATGAACACATCGGCCCCGCGGCTGCTCTGAGCCTGCATGATAGCGACGCTCACTCGCTCCATGCGCCTCATCTCGTCCTCCAGCAGAGCGAGCTGTGGCGATGTGACCCAGTGAATGCATGACACGGGGCTGATGGGATGGGGATGGGGATCGTGAGGGGCAAAGGGGGAGAGCAGCAGAGGGGCAGAGGGGCCTGATGTGACCCAGTGGATGCATGACACGGGGCTGTGGGCATGGAGAGTGGGAAACGGAGGGAGGTAGAGAAGCAGGGAGGGTGTGGGAGGGTGGGTTAGGAGGGACGGGGGGAGAGCAAGCAGTGCAGAGTGAGACTGAGAGAAGACGTTGACTCAGCGTGATTTGACAGCACAGGGCATAAGCTGAAGCTTGACCTAGTTTGACTCAACAAACAACTAGCGTTGACCCGCGTTGACTGACCATGTCTCAACAGCCTCCTGGACCTTGGAGGGCGCGTTGCCGCCCTGGTTGCACACGCGCGCTCGTCCCCACAGCGCTTGATTAGCGTTGACTAGAGTTGACTCACCATGTCTCAACAGCCTCCTGGACCTTGGAGAGGCGCGTTGCCGCCTTGGTTGCACACGCGCGCTCGCCCCCACATCTCCTCGATCTCGAATGTATCCTCCGCGGTATTAGCACAGTTCTTGCAACCTAATAACGGGGATATTGAGGAACAGAAATATAAATAGGACTTCATAATAGGAGATTGAGCATTTGCAGTGAAAACGGAAAGTTACGGAACGTGCTTTTACAGCATATAGTTTAATGTACGTCATGAGGGCGCTCCTGATCTCATACTACACCGCGTTCTCGTCACACGCAGTTACTCACCAATGCACGTGAACTCGTCGACGAACACTTGGTCTTTCTCGTGCCGCGTGTCCATGAACGGATTGATCGACGTCAGCGAATACCCCTTAATTTCATCATACACGAGCCGCATCTCGGGATCACTCAGTACCTATATTGCCAGGAAAATGATAGCAACCGGAAGAAGCAAGAAGAACTTGGTATTGAGAAAACAACGAGAGCAACGATTACGATGACGCAGAGACAGGGTATTGCCGTAGACTAAAACACGACATTTCTTTGCAAATAACTCATTAATGCGTACAGGATGAGGATTTGACAACGCACCTCGTAGACCTCATTGACGAAGGAGCAGAAGGTGACGCTGTCGGGGTGGTTGTTGCTGAGATCCGGGTGGCACGCCTTCATGCACGCGTAGTACGCGCGCTTAATCTCCTCGGGCGTCGCATCGCACGTCTGGAGAAGGGGGGAGGGGAGGGGGAGGGAGAGGGGGAGGGGGAGAGGGAGGGGGAGGGGGAGGAAAGTGACGTTAACAAAGGAAGAACTCTAAAGTGGTTGATGCTGAGATCCGGGTGGCACGCCTTCATGCACGCGTAGTACGCGCGCTTAATCTCCTCAGGCGTCGCGTCGCACGTCTGCGGGAGGGCACGAATAAGCATGCGACGTGAAGTTTCTGTTTTTTCACGTTTGTTTGTTCTTAAAGGTCGACTCAGATAAGAATCTAGGTGAGTACGGATGATAGAGGGAACAACGGGCAAGGGACAACAAGAAACGCGCCAGGACGAGGGACCTTTGCCCTAAATACCAGTAAAATAGTAGCGAGACAGGCTTGTAAGTCGGTGATGAATGGACGACACAGAGATGAGTTCATTAATGGACTATTCTCGACGTACCAGGCCGAGAATGGAGTAGTAATCGTCTGCAATGAACAGACTTGTGAGTCGGAGATAAAAGGGGTGACTAACCAAGCAAGCTCGACGTACCAAGCCGAGAATGGAGTAATAGTCGTCTGCAATGCTCTCCCCTTCAACATCAACCTCCTCCTCCATCAAAGCGCTCACGCGCAACCTCTCCGCTCCCCCTCTCCCCGTCTTCCCGCACCAGCTGCGTAGCCCCGCAGTTGAGCTTCCGCCGAGTGGTCTTCCCCCAAACGCGCTTCGCAAAGCTGTCCTCCCAACAACGGAGGGCGATGCGCTGCGGAGTGAAGGGCTGTCCACGTGGCAGGATTGTCGGCACGTGGCTAGCGGGCCGACGCCGGACGGGAGGGTGGTGGTCGCCATGGTGCCAGGCGACTTTTTTGAGTCGGAGAGGAAAGATTCTTACACGCGGAGGCGTGGATCGCGCCGCGCCTCTGCGACGAGCAGTGAATCTTAAAAGGGGATGTTATGACTGTGATGCACTGATATGTACTTTTAACTAGTTTCGACTATGTTTAGCCGGCTCCACCAACAACCAGGTTGGTGTTATCTAATGAGGTTGGTAGAGAAGCAAATGGTTGTGTGTGAAAATGGGAAAATATGTTCTCCCTTCCAGCACAACGCTATCCTGACAGATCACAAAAGTCAAGTTGAACGAAGATTGGGATAGGGACGCAACTGTACAAGCTGAGTAGGGATGGAAGGGATTGCGTCGTGTCAGGAGAAAAAGGACCGAATTAGAGGTAAGTGCAGCCAAAACTATCTTCAGAGAAATAAGACTGGAAGGGCGGTCAGGAGGAGGATTTCATTCCAAAATCAGGCCCCTAGAAGTTCTCGGCGCTTCGACGGGACTGCACTATGACTGACGCTTGGGTTTGAACATCGTAGATCTCTCATCGGACGGTTTTCGTTCCTTGAGATGGAAGATTATGCCATCTGGACGGCTAAGATAGGTACGGCAAATTGCTGTTGAATGTGGGACGAGGAGAGGGTCTGCGTCCGGGTGGGATGCATGGTCGCCAGGTAAAGAAATCCTGAGTGCAAATGATTATTCGCCAGCTGGAAAGTAATTGAGGAGGCAGAAGCAAATCAAATGCAAAGCCGAATGGCGAAAGTGCGGGAGATTGGTTAGTAAGGTTCCAGGGTTGTGGGGATTTTAGCGAAAGCCATCAAGGATTGCGGATCTGCCAGCGAATAACATGTCATTCGAGATAGCTATTGGCTGGGCACGCAGATGGCGCGGTGGACGCGAGGCGAGAACGTGACCAGCAACACGTGGAAAGCTGGAATCTCTGCCATAAATCTCGCTATACCAAATAAGCACAGTACAGTACCAAACTTAAAGTAGACTTCCAAGAGTTAGGAAAGAAGAACACATCCACGTGTTCAGCTAAAACAATCATCCTGAAGCTCTCAAAGCCGGTAGAGGGGGGTGATACCAAGAAGCTCAAAACACTTCCTCATCACGACGGCCGTGGCTTCGCACAAGATGAGCCGGCTATCCTCGTATTCGTTGCCAACCACCTGGCAGTTGGTGTAGAACGTTGTGAAGCTCCCAGAAAGGTTGTAGAGATACTCGCAAAGCGTGTTTGGAAGCAAGTCTTGCACTGCACTCTCAACAATCTGATGGGAAGCCGACGGGAAACATAAGGGAGTTTTGTTGTGTTGGAAACGAGTTTAACCACATTTTAATATTAACAAAAAAACAAATCAAAAATCAAATTAGACAAAGAAGAATGCACACCCCTGCTAGGTGCATTGACACACACAATGCACGCATGCGCCAGATAACGTACCTCTGAGAATCGGCTGAGCTCGAGCGCAAGAGCCCTCTCACTCGGATGATCCAATCTGAGCTTGGTTCCACTCTGAACAGGCGAAAGAAATGGGAGAAACAGAGAAGGTGAAACATATTAAAAAGAGATTCAGATTAAGCACAGGACACCGTATTGTGAAGCGCTCTTTAAGACGCCTAAAAACCTAAACCGATACGCTTAGCAGCCGTAGATTTTGAGCAATCCCTCATGGAAAAACACCATACCAGATACACATCACACTCAAGCCTCTGTTGTGCTCACCTGAACAATCTCCTGGACGTTCTTCCCAGACTTGCGAATGATGGAGCAGATACGTGCGTGTGCGTACAGCAGGTAGACTGCAGTGTTGCCCTGCAAGGGAGAGGATTGGGGAGGGGTGGGTTGGGAGAGGAAAGTGGAATGATACGAACAAGCTGCTGTTAACAATTAAAGCATAGTTAGACAGCAATGTTGCCCTCGGTAGGAGGAAAGGGGAGCCAGGGGGGGGAGAAGAGGAAAGGGAGAAACGGGGGAAAGCGGGGAAGGAGGGCGCAGCAGGAAGGACCGATTGGCATGCAGTTGAAAAGCAAAAGCACCACAGCACAGCAGGTACACTGTGTGTAGGCCAAAAAAAAAAAAAAAAAAAAAAAAAAAACAACAACAACGGCATAATAGGAGCAGGTATCGTCACCTTCATATCGAGCATTTGGTCATAATCAAACGTGTAGTTGGTGAGCCGGTTGTTCTTCAAATCAGCGTATCTGCGATCAATCGCGGGTTGACGTGACGACAGGGGGGACATGTGTTAGGGGCATCAACACAAATCACAACAATTGGAGCCATAGCCCACAGCTGGTGGTACTGCTGCATTGAGTTTCGTTCCGAGCATATTTACCACCTGACCACACTTGAGCGCTACGAAACAAGGGATTTGTGAGAAGACCTAACTGTAACCGACAACCAACCACAACTCCGGTGCTTCCTTTCGTAAAACCAAACCCCATACTGCCACTCACTTGACTGCTCCATAGCCCAGCGCAGCCGCTGCTGCATTGACCTCCTCCTCCTTCCACTCGCCCTCTCGACCTGATGGGGCGAAAATGAAGTGATGGGGGAAAGGCGGGGCAGAGGGAGCATTCATTGTGAGATGCAAAAACTAGATTGCAGTGATTGCTTGCAACAAGGTGTAGGAGGGGGAGGAGGTAAGTAAGAGCGATTGCAACCAAAAGGAAGCAGATCCTGATTTTCCTTGCAACAAGACCAAGGGATGTATTCCGCAACTGCTCTGCTCCTCCTCACCACCTAGCTGCTGCGCGTGCACAACCCTACTATGTGCTTCCCATCCTCGCCTCGCTCAGTTCTTGCGATCAGAGTTTTCTTAGCTAGGGAATTTTTACTCTTTTTCTTACTTGCTAAAGCGTTTCACTAGCACTGCTGCCCTTCCACCATGAGTGACAACGACGCGTGCACAACCCTACTATGTGCTTCCCATCCTCGCCCAGCACCAGCCCGAACCCAAACCCCACATGGTCCACACAGATAGCGGCGTTGCTGTCCCTTCATTATGACCTTCATTATGCCCTTCATTCATTATGCGCTTCCCATCCTCGCCTAGCACCAGCCCTAGTCCCCTTCCCCCCTCCCTCCACCCCAACCGCATCCCTTTCCCCATGCACACTATTTCCCACCCACCTACCTCGCTCCACAAGCCCCTGCTTGGCGTGGGTAACAGCCTCGTCCAGCAAATCAACCAGCCGCACCACCCAGCTGCTGCCACTGCTACACCCACCTCTCCCTTCCCTCCACTACCTCCTTTTCTAACCACTCACCTCGTTCCACAAGCCCCTGCTTGGCGCGAGTAACCGCCTCATCCAGCAGGTCAGCCAGCCTCACCACCTCGCTACTGCTTGTCCCACCCACCCCTACTAACTCACCTCGTTCAACAAGACCCTGCATGGCACGGGTAACAGTCTCGTCCAGCAGGTCAACTAGCCACACCACCTCGCTACTGCTGCTGCTGCTGCTGCTATTGCTATTGCTGGCTCTCCATCCAACCCAGCCACCCAGCCCTTCCCACTCACCTACCTCGCTCAACCAACCCCTGTTTGGCGCGTGTAACAGCCTCGTCAAGGAGGTCAACCAGCCACACCACCTCGCTGCTGCTATCCTCACCTCACAACCCCAACTCGCCCTCCCCAATCCCCCATCGCCTACTGACCCACCTCGTTCAACGAGCCGTTGCTTGGCGCGGGTGACTGCTTCATCCACAAGGTCCACCAGCTTCGCACCACCTTGCTGCTGCTGCCCCTCCCTCACATGGGAGGAGCTGGCCTAAACCCGAAATCCCCCCAGCCCACCCACCTCGCTCAACGAGCCCCTGTTTGGCGCGGGTAACAGCCTCGTCAAGCAGGTCCACCAGCCGCACCACCTCGCTGCTGCGCGTGCGGAACCGCTTCCCATCGTCGCCCAGCACCAGCCCGAACCCCACGTGGTCCACGCGGATAGCGGGTGCTGTGTTCCCTTCCTCAGTCGCTGCTGCTGCCTTACCCTTCTTGGCCTTGCCCGCATAGAAGCCCGCCTTCTGGGCCGCCTGGAAGGTGGAAATTTGAGGGGGAGGGGAGGGAACAAAGAACAAAATTGTACCAGTTTACAAAAGAGTAACCGCTTCCCATCGTCCCCCAGCACCAGCCCGAACCCCACATGGTCCACACGGATCGCAGGGGCATTCGCTGCTGCTGCTCCTTCAGCTGCTGCCTTGCCCTTCTTGGCCTTGCCCGCATAGAAGCCCGCCTTTTGGGCCGCCTGGAGTGTTGGAATTCGAGAGGGGTTGGGGAGGAAGGGAGGGAGGAAGGGAGGGAGGAAGGGCAGGAAAAGGGTATACACAGTTACAGTCTCCAAGAGAGGAACCGCTTCCCATCGTCGCCCAGCACCAGCCCGAACCCCACATGGTCCACGCGGATGGCGGGTGCTGCATTCTCCCCTGCTTCAACAGCTGCTGCCTTGCCCTTCTTAGCCTTGCCCGCATAGAAGCCCGCCTTTTGCGCCGCCTGCAGGGTGGAGGATGGCGGGAGGGCGTTAGAAAGGGAGGACAGAGCAGACACGATTACGGCCTACAAGAGAGGAGCCGCTTTTCATCCTCGCCCAGCACCAGCTTTATTGAATCCCACACGGTCCACTCGAATAGAGGGTGCTGCCTTTTCTGCTTCTTCTCCCTCCTCTGCTTTTACTGCCTTGCCCTTCTTGGCTATGCCCGCATAGAAGCCTTGCAGAATACGTCACATGGGGGAGCAGGTCACCTGGAAAAACACGTTGAAGGGCTGTGACGTTGAGCAGTTGGCGTCAAGAACATGAAACGTCAAGAACACTTAGACTGCCCAGCGTCAAGTGAGACGATCATTGAAACGCCTCAGGCCAAGAGCTCACCTTGAAGAACATGTCAAAGTGCTGCGATGCGACTGCCCAATGTGAAGTGCTGCGATGCGACTGCCCAACGTGAAGTGCTGCGATGCGACTGCCCAACGTGAAGTGCTGACTTGTCAGAGAGTAAAAGCATGTTCAGCAGCTCACCTTGAGAAACTTGTTCAAGCCCAGAGCTCACCTTGAGAAACTTATTCAAGCCCAGAGCTCACCTTGAGAAACTTATTCAAGCCCAGAGCTCACCTTGAGAAACTTATTCAAGCCCAGAGCTCACCTTGAGAAACTTATTCAAGCCCAGAGCTCACCTTGAGAAACTTATTCAAGCCCAGAGCTCACCTTGAGCTCACCTTGAAAAACATGTCAAAATGCTGCGACTGCCCAACATCCGTGACGTAGACGACCCACTCCGCCTTCTCCTCCTCTATGCGGTAGCTGGGGGGAGGGGGTTATCATATGGATGAGGGAGGGGGGAACGGGGAAGAGAGCAACAGCAGGGGAATGAGAGGACAGACGTCTGTGACATAGACGACCCACTCCGCCTTCTCCTCCTCTATGCGGTAGCTGGGAGGGAGGGGGAATGCAGGGGCAGGAGAGAGCGAGGTGAGAGGTGAGGGAGGGCAAGGGAGGCACAGCAAGCGAGGGAGGCACCACGTCATGTGGACAACCCACTCCGCATTCTCCTCCTCTATGCGGTGGCTGTGAGGGAGGTTGGTGAGAGGTTGAGGGGAGAGTGGGGGAAGGGGATGGAGGAAAGGGCCTGGGAAAGGAAGAGACAAGTAACGTCCTTGATTAGGACGACCTACTCCGCCTTCTCCTCCTATATGCGATAACTGGGGGGAGGTGGGAGGGGAGAGGGGGAGGAGAGGGAGGGGAGGGTGGAGAAGGGAAAGGAGATTAGAAAGAAGGGGACTGGAGGACAGACACGGATGACATTTACGACCCATTCCGCCTTCTCCTCCTCTATGCAGTAGCTGGGGGGGAAGGGGGGGAAGTGGGTGGGGGAGTGGGAGGAGAGCAGGAACGTATGGGCATCAAAAGTTGAACCATACGTTCCTGCTTTGAGACGTCTCAAAACCTGCTCATATGTTCCTGCTCATATGTTCCTGCTCATATGTTCCTGCTCATATGTTCCTGCTGGGAGGAACGTAATTGAACCTCCCATCACTCTTCACCACGATCAGAGGAGCCTTGTGGCCCTCCACGAATATGCAATGTGCCCCCTCGCTCTCCACTACCAGCCCGACGTCACTCCACAAGCACCCATGCTCTCCACCCACTCACAGGCTCACAGCAGTCACACTCGGCCAAGCAACTCACAGCAGGCAGGTGAGATCCGTGGTGGCGCAGTTAAACCCTCCATCGCTCTTCACAACGATCAGAGGCACCTTGTGGCCCTCCACGAAGACGCACTGTGCGCCCTCGCTCTCTTCTTCACTGACCCTTTCACACCATTACGTGCCAAGCAACTTACAGCAGGCAGGTAAGGTCGGTGGTGGCGTAGTTAAACCCTCCGTCGCTCTTCACAACGATCAGAGGCACCTTGTGGCCCTCCACGAAGACGCACTGTGCGCCCTCGCTCTCTTCTTCACTGGCCCTTTCACACCATTACGTGCCAAGCAACTTACAGCAGGCAGGTAAGGTCGGTGGTGGCGTAGTTAAACCCTCCGTCGCTCTTCACAACGATCAGAGGCACCTTATGCCCCTCCACGAATATGCACTGCGCCCCCTCGCTCTCCACCACCAGCCCGGCTGCTTTGAGCTTCTCAAGTGCTGCAGGGATGCGCGAGTTGTAGAACGACTCGCCCTGGTGGGGAGAGAAGGGACGAGTGGGTGAGAAATGAGAAGAAGAAGAAAACAAGGTACCAATTTTGAGGCGCCTCGAAAGTCGCCCTGGTGGGGAGAGAAGGGACGAGTGGGTGAAAAGTGAGAAGAAGAAGAAAAAAAGGTACCAAACTCTTTCACCCCCCCTTCGCTCTCCACCACCAGCCCAGCTGCCTTGAGCTTCTCGAGTGCGGCAGGGATGTGCGAGTTGTAGAACGACTCGCCCTGGTGGGGGTTGGGAGTGTGGGTGGGTGGGGAGTGAGGTGAGGAGGAGTGCATAACCCATAGCTTCCAAACCCTTTCCCCCTCTTCCCCCTCTCACTCTCCACCACCAGCCCAGCTGCCTTGATCTTTTCCAATGCTGCAGGGATGCACGAGTTGTAGAACGACTCGCCCTGGTTGATGGGGAGTGGAGGGCAACGGGAAAAGAGAAGATAAAGATAGAAATACCAGCTTTCCAGTACTCCTCCTCCCCCCCCTGCAGCTTCACCACTGCCCTCTGCACCCTCTCCTTGACCTCCCAACCCTGGGAAAAGAAACCCTTTCAGCAGCACAGAAACACCAGCAAGCCAAAAAAACTGCTCCCCGTGTACCCATATTCCAGCTCCACAGAAACACTGGCAAGCAAAACCCGAACCTCACCTTCTCCTCGAGTTTGATGCCCAGCCGCTGGTAAACCAAATCGAATTCTTTCCTGCTGACGTCACAGATCTTGGCCCATGCCTTACGGTACTCCTCCTCGCCCCCCTGCAGCTTCACCACCGCCCTCTGCGCCCTCTCCTTGAACTCTGCATCCTCGTCGAAGCGCTTCTTGGCCGCCTTGTAAAAGACTTGGAGATCTCCGATGGCCTGATCGCCGATGGTTTCCCAGTCGGGGAACTTGTCGAATAGATACTCTATCAGCATGCCGAACTGATGTGACACAGAGAACGGGAGGGAGGGGAGCAGAGGGCGGGGACGGGAGGGAGGGGAAGAGAGGAGTGGAAACGGAAGGGAGGAGTGGAAGGAGGGTGGTGAGCAGCAGCCCTCTCCTTGAACTCTGCGTCCTCATCGAACCCCTTCTAGGCCGCCTTGTAGAACACCTGCAGGTCGCCTATGGCTTGCTCGCCCACCGTCTCCCAGTCGGGGAACTTGTCAAACAGATACTCTATCAGCATGCCGAACTGGAGGAAGGAAGGGATGCGGGTGTGGGGTGTGTGTACGTGTGTGGAGGAAAGGTGAAGAAGAAGGAAGATGAGGGAGGGGAAGAGGTAGAAGAGTAGAAGGAGGGAAATGAGCAGGCGTGCAGGGCTGTGCCGTGTCTTTGTCTTCAACCAGACACCTCAGACCCTGAACCCTGAACCCTGAAACCCGATTCCCACCCCCTCGTTCCACCTACCTGGGTGCCCCAGTCGCCGACGTGGTTCCTCCTGAGAACCTCCACGTGGCAGTACTCGAGCATTCCCTTTACCGTATCCGAAACCCTAAATCCTGGTCCTACCTGGGTGCCCCAGTCCCCAACGTGGTTCCTCCTGAGCACGTCCACGTGGCAGTACTCGAGCATCCTGGCCAGCGTGTCGCCAATGATGGTGGACCGGAGGTGCCCCACGTGCATCTCCTTGAACATCCCCTTAAAACCCTAAACCCCTGGTCCTACCTGGGTGCCCCAATCGCCGACATGGTTCCTCCGGAGCACCTCCACGTGGCAGTACTCGAGCATCCTGGCCAGCGTGTCACCAATGATGGTGGACCGGAGGTGCCCCACGTGCATCTCCTTGGCGATGTTGGGCGACGAGAAATCCACCACTGCTTGCGCCACGGGCAGTTTAGGAGCCCACGCAGCGATGCCAGCGCCCTTCAAGACGCCAGACACGTGGTCTTCCAGCCAGGCTTGCGTTAAGACGATGTTCACGAAGCCCGGGCCAGCGATGCTCGTCTTTTCCACCATCGGGGAGGGCGGCAGGTTCTTGGCAATCGCCTGGGAGGGGAGGAGGGAGGGTAGAGATATGGGGACGGAAAGGGTATGGTTGTTAGGAAGGGAGAGAGATGAAAAGTCCACCAATGCACGCGCCACGGGCAGTTTCGGCGCCCACGCAGCGATGCCAGCGCCCTTCAAGACGCCAGACACGTGGTCTTCCAGCCAGGCTTGCGTTAAGACGATGTTCACGAAGCCCGGGCCAGCGATGCTCGTCTTTTCCACCATCGGGGAGGGCGGCAGGTTCTTGGCAATCGCCTGGGAGGGGAGGAGGGAGGGTAGAGATATGGGGACGGAAAGGGTATGGTTGTTAGGAAGGGAGAGAGATGAAAAGTCCACCAGTGCACGCGCCACGGGCAGTTTCGGCGCCCACGCAGCGATGCCAGCGCCCTTCAAGACGCCAGACACGTGGTCTTCCAGCCATGCCTGAGTAAGGACGATGTTCACGAAGCCCGGGCCGGCGATGCTCGTCTTTTCCACCATCGGGGAGGGCGGCAGGTTTTTGGCAATTGCCTGGGTGGGATGAAATGGGAAGAGCAGAGGACAGGAAGCGGAGGGAGAGTTCAAAAGCCAATAGGGACTCACGCGGCAAACTCCCACTCACTGACTGACACCACACGTGCGCATGCACATGATCATGCACATGAATGAAAACGAACACACCCGCTCTCTCACCTGGCCGATGGCATTGGGGTTCTTGAACTCGGTGGTGGACCCCTTGATGCGCGACCAGATGCCCATGGCGTTGTTGCTGCACGCACGTGGGGAGAGAGAGAACGACAGAACGAGAGGAAACGAGACGGACTGACAGTGATTCACTGTCACACACACATGGATAGACAGAAAGACAGGATGCCACAGAGGCAGGCAGCAGCAGGCGGACCTAATAAAAAACAGCTGGTAATAGCCATTGCAGCATGTGAAGCAGAACACGCAGAGCAGACGCACCATTGGTAGTCCCCGAACTTCGGGTTGTTACACGTGGTAACCAGCGGCTCCAGATCGGACAGGTCGGGAAAAGTTTTTGCCAGCGACTCCGCCACGAGCTGAGCAACCAGGTCACGCACGCTGCCCTCCTGACCCTGACGGGGAGAAGAAAACAGGAGAGGGGAAGGCGAGCGCGAAGGGAAAGGTAAGAGGGAGGAGAGTTTGAAGAAGGTAGGGGGAAACGTGTGGGGGAAGGGGCGGGGGAAAGAGGGGGAGGGAGAGGGGAGAGGGGGGAGAGGGGACGGACGGTTGCATTCAGGCTAAAGAGGACATTTACGTGAACCCTTAACTGTTGAGTCGACAAAAATCTTATGAGCCGACTCAAAACGCCTCCCCCTCGCACCTCCCCTTCCCACTCCTTCCCTACCCACCTTCTCTCCTCCGCTGATTTCCATGGATTTCACCGCTTCAGCCGCCGCTGCTGCAGATTCGCTGGCCATCGCTGCGACGCTTGTGGAGTTTCGCGAGGGTCTCACGAACGCTGTTACAGGTGCTGCAATTTGCGCAGAGAGAGGGTTCGCGGAACGCCAAGCGAGGGTGCTGCTGCGGGGGTTGAAGGCGGAGGCGGAAGCGGAAGCGGAGGCGGAGTGGCGAAGAACCGCGGGGGGCGCGGAAATGCGGAGAACCGCGGGAGCAGCGGCAACTTGTGGAAAGGACGAAATCCTCGCGTAGGAGCCGAAGCAGCGAAGGCAAGGAGTTACCACTGCGACATGTGATCATAACCAGCGGGACAGTACGCGTGTGACGCGGGACGCAGTAAGCCAGGAACGTACGGAAGGGGAAGGAGGAACAAGGTTGAAAAGGGTTCGATTGAGTTCGGTATGGTGAGGTAAAAAACAATTCAGACGCTTGTGGGGAAAGTGCTGGGAGCGAGGTAATGACGATCCCATCCCAATGCATCAATGATGGTCAAAGAACAGCAGGTACGCATGATATAATGAAGAATAAATGCATTATATTCTAGGTCAATAACTAATTGTACCGCGAAAAACAAAAAGCTGACCTGGCAAAAGCTGGTTGGATAAGCAGCGCATTGGCTCAACTGCAGGCAGGCGATCGCGACATGCGATCCGTAGTGAGTCGGATTGCTAGGGGAGAAGAAATACCTGCACTATTCCCTGAACAATGCCGCCTGAAACGGCGGATGCGCCAAGGGAACGTGGCGTGAGACTAGGAGGAAAAGAAAACGAGACCGTTGCAATGGGGTGTCAGGATTTAGGAATTTGGGGAGACTGGTCAGCGTGCTTATATCGAAGCCTGATTCGTGGATGATGAGGCTTGAAAACTGTGACAGAGGAGCGTTTCTTCTATCGAGTGTGGCGGAGATCCCAAGGCAGCTCCAGTGACGAGACTTGTGTGCTCAGCGACGACCTGATCGAATATTGGTCTGGTAACATTTCGCAAAACTGTTTCCCGCGCTGAAGCGAATGCGAAATTGCTCAGTGTGTTGCGGATCTGCGAAATGACATGCTCTCGTGCGGTGCCTTGCAAGATAAAGAGTTTCGTGAGGCATTTTAAACGGTTGGGTGCGATTTTGAGGAAGAAGCTAATCTCTAGGGGGGTCATAATCGCCCCCTGATCTTACAAGAATGCCTAGGATAGCATGATTAGCATGAACGGCTCGGTCGTCGAATCCATAACATTCACAGGGATGATTCTTTATTTGTAGTAAATCCGGTTTTTTTTTTTTGTCAGCTCGAATCCTGAACACATCCATGGCGACTCACCTGCAGCCTTCGTTCGCCGCCTCCCATGTTTCATCTGCCGTCCCATTGCATACGTCCCCTCCGCAAGTTTGCGCATTTCCCCTCACATTCCCGCGCATTCCCCCCGCAAGTGCCGTGCGCATCCCTTCCCCATGCGCCCTCTCCCGCGTCCTCTTCCGCGGGGCACCCTCCCCCACCCGGATTCGCTCACCGCCGAAGCGGGCAGCGGCGGCGCGTGCGGCGGCGAAAGGCGAGCCGCCGGCGAGCGGCGGCGATCCCGCGTTGGCAGCAGCGGCGTGGAAGGCACTGGTAGCGGTGCGCAGGAGCCGCCCTCTAGTTCACTGCATCACCAACTTCGTATCCATGGATGCTGCTGCCAACACCCTCCTCGCCGCTGGCGCCGCGCCGGCCATGGTGCATTCCTTAGAAGAGGTGCGCTGGACTTCCCCCTCCCCCTTTCCCCCTTCCCCCTTCCCCCTTCCTCCTCCCCCTTTCGCTCTTCCCCCTCGAGCCCCGCAAGTGGAGGATTTTCCCAGGAAACATTCCCACACCCGCACCATATTGGTATTACTTTAGAGAATTCTCAAAGGTCACACCCGCACCATATTGGTATTACTTTAGAGAATTCTCAAAGGTCACACCCGCACCACAACTCACCCTGTCCTTTCCTCCCTCAAACCCCCACCACCTCTCCCCACCACCCCTCTCCTCACCCCTCCCCACCACCCCTCCCCTCACACCTCCCCACCATCCCTCCCCTCTCCATTCCCCCTTCCTCCCTTCTCTTTCTCCCCCATTCTATCCTCAAGCCGCCAGGTGGAGGAATTTGCCAGCCTGGCATCGGCGCTCTATGTCAACATCGGCACTCTGAGCCCTGATTGGGTGGACTCCATGAAACGGGCAGCCAAAGTTATTTCTGCCCGGAATCGGCCGTGGGTCCTGGACCCTGTGGGTTGCGGTGCCACGTCGTACCGAACCAAGGTAGGCTCATTCTCGCCGAGCCAAGGTAGGCTCATTCTCGCCGAACCAAGGTCGGCTCATTCTCGCCGAACCAAGCTAGGCTCGTTCTCGCCGAACCAAGGTAGGCTTGATGTTCTCACCTGCCTTTCCTCTCCTGCCTATTCTCGCCTGCCTTTCCTCCTTTACGCACACCCAATCAACCTCCATCTCTATCGCTATCCGTTTCTCATCTCTCACCTCTTCTCACCGACTCTCACCCCTTCCCACTCACCTCCACCCTCTCTCACAGACCTCAGCAGAGCTCCTTGCACTGCAACCAACGGTGGTGAGAGGGAACGCGTCTGAAGTGCTAGCTCTGGCAGGCGTCGAATCCTGTGCTTTCCCAACTCCCTTTCTCTTTCATCTCTGCGTTCTTGCAGACCTCAGCGGAGCTCCTGGCACTGCGACCAACGGTGGTGAGAGGGAACGCGTCTGAAGTGCTAGCTCTGGCAGGCGCCGTCAGCGCAAACACCCGGGTAGGCCAAACCCCAACATTCTGTTGTTTGCTTTTTCTCTTTTTTTCTGGGGGGGGGGGGGGGGGGGGGGGGGTATTTGGGGGGAGTTATGGTGTTTTGGTTGAATGTGGAACTGCTTTCTCTGGCAGGCACCATCAGCGCGAACACCCGGGTAGGCCAACGTTAACATCTGTTGTGTGCTTATGAGGTATGTACCGAGGCGATTCTTCATTCAACTGAAAAAAACAAAATCTTATATGTTTCAAACCACATGTAACTGCACCTTCCACTATTCTCCTCCCCAACACACAACCAGGGGGTAGACAGCACGGTAGCATCTACAGCAGCAGAAGCAGCAGCACAGGAGCTTGCATCAGAGTGACGCTGCATGAAAGTGACAGTGGTGGTGGCGGTGTCGGGAGCAACAGACTCAATCCCTTGCTTCTCCTTCCGCCCCTGCTTCTCCTTCCTCCCCCACACCCCACACCCCACCCCCCAAACCCCACCCCCCACCAGGGGGTAGACAGCACAGTTGCATCAACAGCAGCAGTGGCGGCAGCACAGCAGCTTGCAGCAGAGTGGAATACAGTGGTGGCAGTGTCGGGAGTAACAAATTTCATCACCGACAGTCGCACCATGCTGGCGTGTCACAACGGTGTGCCTCTGCTTACATCGCTTCTCTCCTCCCCTCTCCAACCCCTTACCCCCACCAGGGGGTAGACAGCACAGTAGCATCAACAGCAGCAGTGGCGGCAGCACAGCAGCTTGCAGCAGAGTGGAATACAGTGGTGGCAGTGTCGGGAGCAACGGATTTCATCACAGACGGTCGCACCGTGCTGGCGTGTGACAACGGGGTGCCACTCCTTCAAGCCATCACCGCCACTGGCTGCAGTGTCACTGCTCTCATCACTGCTTTCGTTGCTGCTGCTATGGATACTGCTGCTCCTGCCTCGGGTGTTTCTGTATCACCGCCTCTCCTCGCGACGGCCTGTGCTCTCGCATTCTATGGGTAAGCCGCCTCCACTTCTCCTCTCTGTTGGCCTTCCAAGGGCATTCCAGCCATCTCTGCTTCAAGCCATCACCGCCACTGGCTGCAGCGTCACTGCTCTCATCGCTGCTTTCCTTGCTGCTTCTGCTGCTGCTGCTGCTGCTGCTGCTGCTGCGGATGCGGCTGCTGATGTCTCACTGCCTCTACTCGCATCGGCCTGTGCTCTCGATGTTTACGGGTAATTCGCCTTCACTTCTCTCTTATTTTACCCATGTCTCCTTCAAGCAATCACCGCCGATGGTCGCAGCGTCACTTCTCTCATCGCTGCTTCCCCTGCTGCTGTGGGTACTGCTGCTATTGATTACTGTACTGATTCTGCTGCTGCTCCTTTCTCAAGGATTGAAGCTGAATCTCATTCTATTTTCTCCCCTCGTCTTCCCTTGCCACTGTATCCAGGCTCGCATCTGAAGTGGCATCAGCAACACCAGAGGTCCAAGGCCCTGGTTCCCTGAGAGTGGGCCTCATGGATGCTCTGTACTCGTTAACAGAGGAGCAGGTCATTAAAGGAGTGAAGCTACACTCCATTCCAGTATAATGAATTAAATCATATAATTAACCTGGCACTTTATTTTTCCTATGTACCGTTGCTCCCTCACAAGCACACAAGAGTAACTCCCTCCCACGCAAGCACAATGTTGTTACTGCAAAGAGTTGATTTTTGAGGCGCCAAAAAATTAAACTCACAAGCACACAAGGGTAACCCCAATGCAAGCACAATGTTGTTACTGCAAACACCAGCAAGGAAAATCATATTTCCTTGCATTCGGGTGCCACGAAAACTACATAAAGACAACCACCGTTATTTTGACAAACTCCCAGATAAATCATATGGGAATGAAGATCATATCGCCGGGAAAAATCATATCAGGGTCCTCCGCCATCCTCCCCTCGTTTGCGTCAATAACCGTGTCGGGGTGAAGGCAGAACTTGTCAGCAATTGAACACACGGTGTCACCAGGTCTCACCTGGGGATTAGAAGGGAAGAGAGGAAGAGAGGGGAGGGCAGGGAGAGGAGTTGAGAAATATAGAAGGCTGCTTTGCATTGAAGTAGTAGGAATGAGGAGGGGCTTTTCTGGGAGGAATTCCAAGATGAAAAGAAGATGAGACTTTTGAGTTTGAGTCGACTCAAAAGGCAGGGAGGGTTTACGTTGGAGAGAGGCAGCAGGCAGGCAGGTGGCAGCCTTGTCATTTCTTGGGGGGAACGACGAGGAGGTCCCCTTGGAAGATCACATCTGGATCTTCCACTAGCCCCTCTTGGGGAGGCAAAAAGGCAGCGGGGGATTACGCTGGAATGAAGAAGAAGAAGAGGAGAAGGCTGCTCTGCTTCGTCATTCCTTGGGGGGAACGACGAGGAGGTCCCCTGGGAAGATCACATCTGGATCTTCCACTAGCCCCTCCTGGTTCGCCTCTTTCATTGCATCCACCCGCACGCAGTATCGGTCAGCTATAGCGCACATGGTGTCGCCTGATTCCACCTGGCGAGGTGAAGGCAGAGAGGGGCAGGGAGGGCAGGGAGGGCAGGGAGGGGGCAGGGAGGGCAGGTATCATGTGAGGATCTTCCACCAGGCCCTCTTGGTTCGCCTCCTTCATTGCATCCACTCACACACAGTAGCGATCGGCTATAGCACACATGGTGTCACCTGTTTCCACCTGCGAGCAGAGGGGAGAAGGAGAAGGGGAAGAGGGCAAAGAGGACAGGGAGGGCAGGGAGAGCAGGAGAGGGGCAGGGAGGGCAGGGAGGGCAGGGAGGGCAGAGAGGGCAGAGTTGCCAATGGTAAGCCCAATCGCCAGCAGAAACAGCCCCCCTGCATTAGCAACCACTGCCCGCCCTACCCCCCCAACCACCCCTCCCCATGCCATTATGCACAAACGCACCTCATGGTACAACGGTTTCTTCTGCCTTCTGTTCTGCCGGCCCGGTTTGCCAATGGTAGCCCCAATCGCCAGCAAGAACAAGCCTCCTGCAATAGCAACCACTGCCCGCCCTGCTCCCCCAACCAGCCCTCCTCCTGCTCCTCCCTTGCCTCCTCTCCCCCGGCCTCCCTGCTTCTTTCCACTTGCTGATCTGTCGTGCCGGCGAGAGTGAGGGCGAGTGTTGGAGCGTGGAACTGTCACCACCATCGCTGCTGATCTTGCCTCTGCTTCTGCTTTCGCTGCAGCCTCTGCCTTTGCCGCTGCCTCTGCTGCCTTTCTTGCCTCTGCTTCGGCTTTTGCAGCAGCCTCTGCCTTTGCAGCAGCCTCTGCCTTTGCAGCAGCCTCTGCCTTTGCTGCAGCCTCTGCCTTTGCTGCAGCCTCTGCCTTTGCTGCAGCCTCTGCCTTTGCTGCAGCCTCTGCTGCTGCTCTTGCCTCTGCTTCGGCCTTTGCAACAGCCTCTGCCCTTGCTGCTGCCTCTGCTGCTTTTCTTGCCTTTGCTTCTGCTTTCGCTGCAGCCTCTGCCTTTGCTGCTTCCTCTGCCTTTGCCGCTGCCTCTGCTGCTTTTCTTGCCTCTGCTTCGGCTTTTGCAGCAGCCTCTGCCTTTGCTGCAGCCTCTGCTGCTGCTCTTGCCTCTGCTTCGGCCTTTGCAACAGCGTTTGCCCTTGCTGCTGCCTCTGCTGCTTTTCTTGCCTCTGCTTCTGCTTTCGCTGCAGCCTCTGCTGTTGCCTCTGCTTCGGCTTTTGCGGCAGCCACTACCACTGCTGCTGCCTCTTCTGCTGCCCTTGCCTCTCTTTCTGCTTCTGCTCTGGCCTCTTCTGCTGCTGCGACCTCTGCAGCTGCTGCTGCGTTTGCCAACGCTGCTGCCTCTGCTTCTGCTGTTGTTGCAGCCTCTTCTGTCATTGCGGTGCCCCTTACTGCTGCTGCTGCCACTTCTGCAGCCACCGCTGCCTCTGCTTCTGCTTCTTCTGCTGCAGTTTCTGCTGCTGCTCCTGCAGCAGCTGCTGCAGCTGCTGCCAAGGCTGCTGCCTTTGTTACTGCTGCAGCCTCTCCTGCTGCTGCTGCCTCCGATGCTGCTGCTGCCACTACCGACTCTGCTGCCTCTGCTGCTGCTGAAGCTTCTGTTTCAGCTGCTTCAGCCATCCCTGATGCTGCTGAAGCTTCTTCCACGGCAGCTGCTCCTGCTGCTGCGGCTGCCTCTGCCTCTGCTGCAGCTTCGGCTGCTGCTACTGCCTCTCCCTCTGCAGCTGCCTCTGCGGCTGCTGCTGTTGCGTTAGCTGCTGCTGCTGCCGACTCTGCTGATGCTGCAGCCTCTGCTGCGATTGCCGCCGCAGTAGCTGCTGCATCCTCTACTGCTGCTGCTGCTGCTGCTTTTGCCGCTTCTGCTGCCTTTGCTGCTGCTGCTATCTCTCCCGCTGCTTCTGCCTCAAACGCTGCTGCTTCAGCTTCTCCTCTTGTTGCTACCTCTGCTGCTGCCATGGCTGCCTGTGCCGCCGCTGCTGCCGCCACTGCTGTTGCTGCAGCTACAGCATCAGCACCACCAGCCTTGAGACCAGAGAGGCCACCAGATTTAGTTGCATACTGAGTCTTAGCTTCAGCACCAGCACCAGCACCAGCACCAGCACCAGCACCAGCACCAGCACCAGCACCAGCATCAGAAGCGATGCTTAGCCCGTCACTTCCATACTCGGTCTTAGACTCAGCCAAAGCACCGGAAGCAATGCTAAGCCCTTTGGTTCCATATTCAGTCTTGTTGGATTCAACAAGAGAACCAGAAGGGATGCTTAGCCCGTCAGTTCCATGCTCCGTCGTAGCTCCAGCAGAAGCACCAGAAGCAACGCTAAGCACTTCACTTCTATATTCAGTCTTACCTTCAGCAACAGCACCAGAGGCAACGGTAAGCCCTTCACTTCTATACTCAGTCTTGGATTCAGCACCAGCACCAGAAGCAGCACTAAGCCCTTCAGTTCTATATTCAGTCTTACCTTGGGCAACTGCACCAGCGGCAATGGTAAGCCCATCAACTCTATAAGTATTGGCTTCCTCGTCAGCACCATAGGCAATGCTCAGCCTTTCAGTTCCATACTCAGTCTTAGGTCTAGCACCAGTACTAAAAGCACCGGTAAGGCTGCCCAACCTCCCTCCATCTCCCCCTTCCCCTCCCTCTGCTGCTTCCCAACCCCCTGCCCCTTCCCTTCCTCCTTCCCCTTCCCCTCCCCCTGCCCCCTCCCTCCCCCCTGCCCCTTCCCCTACCCCTGCCTCTCCCCCTGCCCCTCCCCCTGCCATTTCCCCTCCTCCTACCGCTTCCTCTGCCCCTTCCCTCCCACCTGCCCCTTCCCCTACCCTTGCCTCTCCCCCTGCCCCTCCCCCTTCCATTTCCCCTCCTCCTACCGCTTCCCCTGCCCCTTCCCCCAGTTCCAGCCCTGAACTAGTTAAGCCCTCCACCGGCTGATCCGGCTCTATAACAGGGGACAAAACCGGCCGCCCAATGTCAAACAAGAAGCTAAGCCTCCTCCTCTGGGCGGCTGGAGTGGCAGGTGCCGACAGAGGGCTGGGTAAACTACTCGGACTCTCAGGCTCCTGCTCCTGCCCCTGCCCCTGCCCCTGCCCCTGCCCCTGCTCCTGCCCCTGCCCCTTCCCTTTCCCCTTCCCCTGCTTCTGCCCGCTGCCGAATCCAAACAGCCCACTTCCTCCTCCTATGCTGGCACCTGGGCTGATTAATGCTGCTCCGCTGCCCCCTCGCTTGCTCAGTAGGTCAGTTGAGCCCAGCTTGAGGGAAATAGACGAACGAACCCTCTTCTGGGCTGCTGTCAGTGCGCCTCCTGAACCGCTGCCAATGCTCCCGCTGCCACTGCTGCTCCTGCTACTGCTGCTGTCGATGGCACCGCTGCTGCTGCTGCTGGTGGTGCTGCTCGTGTCCTCCTCAATAGGGATGCTGCCGCTGCTGCTGCTTTTGCTGCTGGTAATGCTGCCGCTCTTGCTGCTCGCTCCCACACTTGCCCGGCGGCGCGACGGGTTGAGCGAAATCGATCGGAACATTGAAGACATGGTTGACGCCATTGACTTGCTTGACTTCTCCGCCCCTGCCCCTGCCCCTGCTCCTGCCACTGTCCCCTTACTTCTGGACTTACCAAAACCACTGCCAGGAGATCCTTGGCTCCAAGGGGATCCTTCAGAACTCCCCCCACCAGGCGACCCACCCACACCCACAGGCTCTCCTGCAAGGCTGAGCGGGCCGGATTTTGACATGCTGCTTGCTGCTCTGCTGCCTGTGGCACTCAGTGCTGTTCCGCTCCAACTCTCGGGAATGCCTAGCTTATCCAGAGGGCCCGATTTCGACCGAGCATCAAAATGTGGAGCGTCTGAATGAGCTGGTGATGCGGCTTCTGAACCAGGTTTCATGGTGGTGTTGGTTTCTTCTGCTGAAGTTTCTGTAATGGTGATGCTTTCCGTCTCAGCACCAGCAGAAGTGGTGTTTTCAGCAGCAGCAGCAGCAGCAGCAGCAGCAGCGGCAGCAGCATCGGAACAACCACCAGCAGCAGAGGCGCTTTCAGCAGTAGCGGCGTTTTCTGCTGCTGCTGCTGCTGCTGCCTTTGCTGCTCCAGATTTCGAAGTGGTTTCCCCTGCCAAAGTTTCCGTGGTGATGATGGTGCTAGCAGTGACAGCAGCAGCAGTGGCAGCAGCAGCAGTGGCAGCACCAGCAGTGGCAGCACCAGCAGTGGCAGCACCAGTAGTGGCAGCACCAGCAGTGGCAAGACCAGACGTGGCATTGGAACTACCACCAACAGCAGCGGTGCTTCCAACAGTAGCAGCGGTTTCTGCTGTTGAAGTTTCTGTGGTGATGATGGTGCTAGCAGTGGCAGCACCAGAAGTGGCATTGGCATTGGAACTACCACCAGCAGAGGCGTTTTCAGCAGTAGCAGCGGTTTCTTCTGCTGAAGTTTCTGTGGTGATAACGGTGCTATTAGTGCCAGCATCAGTGGCAGCACCAGCAGTGGCGGAGGAACTAGCAGCACCAGCAGTGGTGCTTTCATCGGTACCAGCGATCGCTACTGCTGACGTTTTTGTTGTGATGAAGGTGCTAGCAGTGGCAGCACCAGCAGTGGCAGCACCAGCAGTGGCAGCACCAGCAGTGGCAAGACCAGACGTGGCAGCACCAGCAGTGGCAGCACCAGCAGTGGCAAGACCAGACGTGGCATTGGAACTACCACCAACAGCAGTGGTGCTTCCAACAGTAGCAGCGGTTTCTGCTGTTGAAGTTTCTGTGGTGATGATGGTGCTAGCAGTGGCAGCACCAGAAGTGGCATTGGCATTGGAACTACCACCAGCAGAGGCGTTTTCAGCAGTAGCAGCGGTTTCTTCTGCTGAAGTTTCTGTGGTGATAACGGTGCTATTAGTGCCAGCATCAGTGGCAGCACCAGCAGTGGCGGAGGAACTAGCAGCACCAGCAGTGGTGCTTTCATCGGTACCAGCGATCGCTACTGCTGACGTTTTTGTTGTGATGAAGGTGCTAGCAGTGGCAGCACCAGCAGTGGCAGCACCAGCAGTGGCAAGACCAGACGTGGCAGCACCAGCAGTGGCAACACCAAACGTGGCAGCACCAGCAGTGGCAGAACCAGCAGTGGCAAGACCAGACGTGGCAGCACCAGCAGTGGCAGCACCAGCAGTGGCAAGACCAGGCGTGGCATTGGAACTACCACCAACAGCAGTGGTGCTTCCAACAGTAGCAGCGGTTTCTGCTATTGAAGTTTCTGTGGTGATGATGGTGCTACCAGTGGCAGCATCAGTGGCAGCACCTGCAATGGCAGTGGCAGTGGAAATACCTTCAACAGCAGTGATGTTTTCAGCGGTAGCAGTGGTTTCTGCTGCTGCTGCCTTTGCTGCTGCTACAGCCTCTGCTGCAGCAGCCGCCTCTGCTGCCGCTGCTGCCTCTGCCACTGCTGCAGCAGCCTGTGCTACTGATGCAGCTTCTGCTGCTGCTGCAACCTCTGCTGCTGCCTCTGCTGCAGCAGCAGCCTTTGCCTTTGCTGTTGCCTCTGCTTCTGCTGCTGCTGCAGCATCTGTTGCTCCTGCAGCTTCTGCTAATATTGCTGCTACCTCTGCTTCTGCAGCATCTGCTTCAGCTGCAGCTAGTGCTGCTGCTGCCATTGCCTCTGCCGCTGCTGCTGCCTCTGTTGCCTGCGCAGCCTCTGTAGTTGCTGCTGCCAATGCTTCAGTTGCAATCTCTGCTGCTCCTTCAGCCTCTGCTGCTGCTGCTTCTGCTGCCTCTGCTTCTTCAGCAGCCTCTGCAGCTGCTGCCGCCAGTGCCGCCGCTGCTGCTTTTGCTGCTGCTGCTGCTGCCTCTGATTCGTCTGCAGCTTCTGCCGTTTCTGCCAAAGGTGCTGCTGCTGCGTCTGCTGCAGTTTCTGCAGTTCTTGCAGCCTCTGCTGCTACTGCCTCTTCTTCTGCTGCCTCCCTTGCTTTTGCTTCTGCAATTGTAGCCGCTGCTGCCTCTGCTTCTGCCGCAATCCTTGCTTCTGCAGCTGCCCCCGTAGCTGCTCCTGCCTCTACTTCCGCTACTGTTACAGCTTCTAACTCTGCTGCAGCATCCGCTGCAGCTGTTGCTGCTACCCCTGCTTTTGCTGATGCCTCTCCTTCTGCCGCAAATGCTGCATCTGCGGCTGCTGCTACCACTGCCTCTTCAGCCTCTGCCACTGCCGCTGCAGCAACCACTGCTGCCTCTGCCGCCGCGGCTATCTCTGCTTCTGCTGCTGCTGCAACCTCTGCTGCCCCTGCCGCCTCCTCTGATTCTTCTACCTCTACATTAGCTGCAGCCTCTGCTGCTTCTGCGGTTGCCTCTGCCGCAGCTGCTGCTGCTACTGCTGCTTCTGCTGCCTCTGCTGCCACTGCTGCTTCCTTTGCATCTGCTGCTGCTGCAACTTCTGCTTCTTCCGCAGCCTCTGCTGCTACTGCTGCCTCGGCTGCCACCGTCTCTGCTGCTGCCTCTGCCACTGCTGCAGATTCTGATGCTTTTGCCGCCGCAGTTGCCACTGTTATTGCTGCTGCTGCAGCCAGTGCTGCTGCTGTGGCCTTTGCTGCGGTCTCAGTTGCCTTTGCAACCGCTGCTGCCTCTGCAGTTGCAGCGTTTTCTGCAGCTGATGCAGCTTCAGCTTGTGCTGCTGCTGCTGCCTCTGCTGCCTCTGCTGCCGCCTTTGCCTCTGTTGCAGCTGCTGCCTCTGCTTCTGCCACTGCTGTTGCGGCAGCTTCTGCTGCTGCTGCTGCTGCCTCTGCTTCTGCTGCTGCAGCAGCTTCTGCATTTGTTGCTGCTTCCAATGCTGCCGCAGCCGCCGCTGCTTCAGCTGCTGCCTCTGCTGCTGTGGCGGCCACTGCTGATGCTGCCGCCTCTGCCGCTGCTGTTGCCTCTGCTGCTGCTGCTGCTGTTGCTGCTGCGGCCTCTGTTGTTGCTGCTGCTGCCGTTGCCTCTGCTGCCTCTGCCGCCGCTGCAGCCTCTGCTGCTACTGCTGCTTGTGCTTCTGCTGCTGCCTCTGCTTCTGCTGCAGCCTCTGCTGCAACTGAAGCTGCTTCTGCCTCTGCTGCTGCTGCCGTTTCTGCTGCCTCTGTCGCTGCTGCGGCCTCTGTACTGGCAGCTTCTGATTTTGCTGCAGCTTCTGAGGCTACTGCTTCGTCAGCTTCTGCTGTTGTCTTCGCTGCTGCTCCAGCCTCTGCTGCTACTGCTGCCTCTGCTGCCTCCGCTGCTGCTGCTGCTTCTGCCGCTGCTGCTGACTCAGCTGCTGCTACAGCTTGTATCGCTGCTGCTGCCTCCGCTGCTGCTGCTGCCTCGGCCACTGCTGCAGCTTCTACTGCCTCTTCCGCCACTGCTGCCTCAGAATATGCAGCTTCTGATTCTGCTGCAGCCTCTGCCTTGACTGATGCCTCTGCTGCTGCTGCAGCCTCTGCTACCGCTGCAGCCTGTGCAACTCCTGCCACTGCCTCGGCTGCTGCTGTTTCCTCTGCTGCTGCTGCTACGTCTGCTTCTGCAGTCACTGATCTCGCTGCAGCCTCTGCTGCTGCTGCTTCTTCAGCTGCTGCTGCTGCCTGTGCTGCTGCTGCAGCCACTGCTGTTGCTTCGGCCTGTATTGCCGCCGCTGCTTCGGCACCTGCTGTGGCCTCTTCTGCAGCTGCTTCTGCCGCTGCCGCCGTCACCACTCCTGCAGCTTCTGCTTCTGCTGCTGCCTCTGCTTTTGCTGCTGCCTCAACTGCTGCTTCTGCCTCTGCCTTTGCTGCTGCCTCAGCGAATGCTTCTGCCTCTGCTTTCGCTGCTGCCTCTGCCTTTTCTGCTGCCTCTGCCGCTGCTGCTGCCTCCGCTGCTGCTGCTGCCTCTGCTGCTCCTCCTCCCAGATCCAGCCCCGAGCTAGTCGAGCTCTCCTCCGGACCGTTTGGCTCTATCACAGGGGACAGGTAGAAGCTGATTTTCTTCCTCTGCACAGCAGGCCTCATAGGAGCCACTGTAGGGCTGCGTTGTTGACTGCTCGGACTCTCTAATCCCTGCCCCTGACCCTTTCCCTGTCCCTGCCCCTGCTCCTCCCCTTTGCTCTGCCCTTGCCCTTGCAAGCTGCCCGATCCAAATAATCCCCCCCCTGCTGTCTCTCCTGCCGTCCTAGCTGAACCCCCAATTCGATCCTCTCCTGCCCTAGCGATCCCTCCAAGCCCATCTCCTGCCACCCTCGCTGATCCCCCAAAACCAGCTCCTTCCGTTTGACCTATCCCCCCTCCTTCCCCTCCTGCCTCTCTGGCTGAACCCCCTTTAACATGCATGACCTCTGATCGTTTCAACTCCTTCCCTCCCGTCGCTCTGAACTCCCCTATACCGCCTCCAACCCCCCCACTGAGCCTCGTCACCACTGCCCGGCTGCTCCCCGCTTGCCTAAGCAAATCCTTCTTCACCATTTTAATCGACATAACCTTACGCATCTGCTTTGGCGGTACCCAGTCCTCGCTCCCAAAGCTGCTGCTCCCGCCGCTACTAATGGCGCTGATGCTACTACTACCCTCATCAGCACCCCCAAGACTCCTCCCACTGCTAGAACTCGCACTCGAGCTGATTCCAGTTAGGCCCAGACTACCCAGAAAATCCACACTGCCACCCCTGCTGCGCGGCTTTGGACTCGCAGCCTCTTCAGCGCGCCGGGCAGCGCTATTCCGCGCCCTGCCTTGGAACAAAGAGCCCACAGAGGACCCCATTGCCTTGTCTGAGCTGCTGCCCTTGTTTTGCCGGTCCCCCCACCGCCAAGCTCCCGACCAGGAGGACTGATGTTGTTGGGAGGTTGACGGTGACCCATCCCCAGAAGCAGCACCAGGTGAGTCTGCTCCTGCTGCTGCGACAGCACCTGAGGAATCCCCTGAGGATTCCCCTGTGCCTTCAGCAGAGCTCTGCGCCGAGACTCTCCCGCTCTGGATGTGGCTGCGCCTCTCCAGCCGCCCCACCACAGCCGTACCACCCTCACCAGACACTGCTAGGGAGGAACTCTCACTACGAGGCGAGTTGGGATCAGACACAGACGCTGCACCCTCAGGTTCGTCTGTGCTGCTCTCAGGGCTGGATTCAGACGTGCTCAGCCCGGTCCCTCTGCTGATCTGGACGTTGCTGCGCCTCTCCAGCCGGCCCAGTAATGAAGAGCCTGTGCTCGCGCCTGTAGCAGCAGCTGCTGGTGCTGCATCCTCTGGTGACTCCGCTGGTACGTCTGCTGCTGGTGTGTCTGCTGCTATGTCTCCTGCTGCTGCTGCTGGCGGTGCGTCTGCTGCTGCTGTTGCAGCTGGTGATGCAGCAGCTGGTGCTGCTTCTGCTGGGATTTGGACTTCAGGCACAGGCTCAGAATTGGTTCCTGCTGGGTCTTCTGCTCCTGGAGCAGGATCATCGGCGCTGTCAGCAGCAGCCGTGGCAACTGCAGCTGTATCATCACCATCATCTGAAGCAGCAGTGGAGGCATGAGCTGCAAAGACGTCGAAAGCAGCCGCAAAGGCGGAGGGAGCAGCAGCGGCATCAGCAGTACCAGGGATGTTAGCATCAGCACTGGTTTGGGTGGTTTCGGTGGTTTGGGTGGTCTGGTTGGTCTGAATGGTTTTGCTGGTTTGCATGGTTTGGGTGGATTGGGTGGTTTGGGCAACGACCGCTGCAGAATGGTCTCTGTTCAGTTGACTGGCGACGCTGCTCTTGGGGTGGCTGGGGGAAGCACCACCTGCCAGGGAGGGATAGTGGGGAGTAAGGGGGTGTTGGGGGGTGTTAGGGAGTGTTAAGAGTATTTGAGTGGATTGGGTGGTTTGGGCAACGACCGCTGCTGCAGAATGATCTCCGTTCAGTTGACTGGCGACGCTGCTCTTGCTTGGGGTAGCTGGGGGAGGCACCACCTGCCAGGGAGGGTTAGTGGGGAGTAAGGGGGTGTTGGGGGGTGTTTGGGAGTGTTGAGAGTATTTGAGTGGATTGGGTGGTTTGGGCAACAACCGCTGCAGAATGGTGTCTGTTCAGTTGACTGGCAACGCTGCTCTAAGGGTGGCTGGGGGAAGCACCACCTGCCAGGAACAATCGGGAGCATTGGAGGGAGGTTTATGCAGGTGCCAACAGTCCAAGAATCGGGAGCAAAAGAAAGGACAATAGCACCCTTGCCCTAACCCACCTGTACGCAAGGCGGCAGGCTTCGCAACCCGCAGAACAAGACAAACTTCGCCGACCCCAGCGTCGTCCTTATCCTTGATTTGATACCAGCGCACCACTGTGCCGCCCTGCAGCTGATCTGCCACGTCGACATCACACGTGGCCAGCACCTCGTCGCCTGTGTCAGGTGAGCTTATTGCTATCTGTGTGTGTGATCGGGAGAGCAAGAGGAGCGCGAGAGGGGAGCAGAGAAGCTTAGTTTCTGAAGCGCCTCGAATCACACGTGGCCAGCACCTCGTCGCCTGTGTCAGGTGAGCCAATTCCTATCTGTGTGTGGGAGGGAGGGAGAGCGAGAGGGAGGGAGAGAGAGGGGGAACAGAGAAGCTTGCTTTTGAAATGCCAGCAGAGAAGCTAGGTGTGCGAAGCGGCTCAAATCACACCTTGCCAGCACCGTCTCCCGTGTCAGGTGAGCCAACTGCGATCTGTGTGAGAGAGAAGGGGAAAGCAAGAAGCTACAGAAAGCTTGTTCTTCTAATTGCCAATAGAGAAGCTTGGTTTCTGAAGAGGCTCAAACCACGCCTGCCTCGGGTCGGGAGCAAGAGGAGCGGGAGAGGGGAGCAGAGAAGCGGCTCAAACCACGCCTGACCAGCACCTCGTCGCCTGTGTCAGGTGAGCCAACTGCGAAATGTGTGAGAGCAGGGCGGAGAGAGGGAGAGGGAGAGGGAGAGACCTGATTGCTGCTTAACTGTACCGCAGTTGGCACCACTGTGACAGGTGAACCAGTCGCACCATAAGCCCCTAAGTATTTTACAATTCTTTGGCGACATTCATGACAGAATGATAAGACAGCCAAGTTGGCCTAACCGTCTCACGAGCTAAACCCAGAATCACCCTTTCCCAGTTTACAATCCAGACACATAACACAAGGTTGACGTTGAATTTTCAGTTGACGCAGAAATCAGAATGAGGCAGTCGACACAAAGTTGAGATGTATCATTATGGCTGAGATATGAGACCTGAGAACGGAACTGACCTGGAGAATGACGTCGCCTGGCCGTGGCAGGGAAGCAGCAGACGATTAGTCCAGATGGATACTACAGTCCTGTTGTTTTAGACGTCTCAAATATCAAGGTTGAGATACGAGGCTTGAGAACGAAACTGACCTGCAGAATGACGTCGCCTGGCTGCGGCAGGGAGGCACCGGGCGAGTAGTCCAGAGGAATCTTAAAGTCCTGAAGCCACTTGGGCGCCGCTCCCGTCTTCGCCACTGTCTTCACCTGCGCCAATTGTGCGGATTAGATCAGGAAGGTTGAGATTCGTTATGCATGTTCTTATGTTCACACTGAAGCCACTCGGGGGTCACACCCGTCTTCGCCGCTGTCTTCACCTGCGCCAATTGTGCGGATTAGAAGGGAGAGCCATATCTCGACTCTCGAGCACGCCGAGCCAAGCATGTGAATGCATCATTGCACTACATCAAAAGGATGCGAGAGAAATGTAACGTTTGCCACGCCGTCGTGACTTTCGAGTGGACTCGAACATCACTTCGAGCAAATCACGTGGGTTCGCATCATCGTATTCACTTTGGCGGGACGCGTGAGCAATCTGTGTGCGAGCCGCCTCAAAAGAAGGACGCGAGAGGAATCGCCACGCCTTCGTAAAGGCACAGCAGTGGTCGTATGAAGTTTAGTATCCTATGGTACAAATAGATAAACGTCGCGCAATGTATAACTGGTGCATGCAAACATGGTTGGCGTGAATTTCCATCATGTTGTCACATGCATTCTTATCGTCTTTTTATCTTTAAGGTTGTGACTGAGACGGGCAATGTTGGGTACTGAGAACTGCCATGTGACCTACATGGAGCAGGGAACAAAGCTCAATTATTGGGAAGAGGAGGAGTACCTGGTTCTTTCCCTGAGAGAGCGACACCGTGGCTCCGCCTTTGTCCTGGACGCCGCCTGCAAGCTGCAAGTGCCGTCCCTGAACCACTGACACTTGCAGCACGGTGGCGTCGGGGGAAGGCGAAGGGGAGTCGGCCCCATTGATTGCAACCATTGTCCTTCAATCAAGTCTAATGGAGCTTTCAGCGCTTCCCACGGAGATAACGGAAAGAAAGCAGCCAGCTCGGTTAGGCCGACTAACTGCTCCTCCAAACGAAGTTTCCCGTGCCTTGGAGCCACGCTCTGCCGAGAAAATCGTTGAGAAGTCTCCAAAAAAGCCTGGTCTAAAACAATGTCTATTCCCCCAAGCGAAGCTTCCAGTGCCTCGCGGCTGTGTTGTAGAGCGTGAAGGCACACGTCACAGGCGCCTGATATAGTATTATGCGGCCGGATTGCTGAATGGAAAATAAGTTACCGTCGCTGGGAGCGAAGACGGGAGCGGCCGCATTGAACGCCTCGAAAACGCGAAAATAGTCTAAGCGAGCGGCTACAAGCGATGCGATGCGAATCGTGTGGGAGCAGAAGAGTGGATTAAAGGGCAGGCGGCTCGAAAGCAGGTTCTATTAAACTCTTAAGTTACTATCAGATACTTTAAGTGCCTTTGACGAGAAGTAGCACATCTCACGGACAAAACAACTCCGTACACGAGCATTCTGGAAGCTGATGCGGAGTGGGAGTAACGAAAGGTGAACGCTTAGAATGCGCATCAATGAGTGACGTCTTATTGATAACCCCCAGCGAAGATAGCGGCTGAGGTGCAGACACGCATCAAGGCTTTCTTGTGTCTTGCCTACACGCATGAATGAAGCATGAATGAGAACAGTGGATCATGGGATGCAATGCAAAACAGCAGGACAAATTCTTTCCTTTCTGCCATTCCTGATAGGCCGGCGAAAAGGATGACATGAAAGGAGGGGGGAAAAGAGGATGAACAGCTGAATGGTGCACAACTCGAGATGGATGTTCCCTTGGTTTGGGGTGCTTAGCTGCGCTGACGTGTCCACCTTTGAGTGAGCGAAATCCTCCAATCTTGACGGTCCGAACCGCGAATGTCATCCAGGAAACCCAATCCCAACGTCCCCGCCAGCCCTGACGCAGTGCAGGGACAAGGCGGCGGGTGAATCTGTATCAAGAGACTCCCATCTCCAAACCATCTGCTTGCGGCTTGGACTGTGGTTGGAACTGTGGAAGTGAGTGAAACACCCCTCTAACAACATCCCCTCTGTTCTGTAAGGTAAATAATAGTACAGTGCACCAAAGGGGGATGGTTTTAGTTTACAGTGTCTGCTCTCATGCACCAGATTGACCCGTTATGATCAACGTAAAAAAAAACCGCGAAATAGTTTGTAGTGCAGTATCAGCCAATCACCGCCTCCCTGACACTCCAAACAGAGAAGAACAGCGAGGCTCGAAACTGGTCAGGCGAACACCCCAGATAGCTTATTTCGACGGTTAAGATCGTTTGTTGCTTCAGCAGCCGAAGATGTGCGGCTAGTGTTGCCTCGGGCGCTCCATACCTAGAGTTCCTCGAAAACGGTAGCACGTATGACTGAAGAGGACGACTCCCCAGAAGGTCGGTGTGACGGGGAACAACATCCAATATCCTTGATTCTCGGTTTAACCACGTTTAAAATGGATGTGTTACGGTCTAGAGTGGCAACGATCGAGGACCCTTTTGCCGCAGCTTACATGGTTGGTTGAGCGGAAGAACATGAAAACGTTTTGACACTTTGGCACCGAAACGTGCTGTTCTGAAAACTCCTAAGCACTGTGAAAACCGTATTGCAACCCGTTCTGACACCCAGAGATCCCAAAATGCTTTGTACTTCAATCTGGTTCCCTCTTCCAGTCCAGACTACTCCATTCCTCCTGCAGGCAGGGTCTGGCCTGAAGCCATGGCTCCTGAGCATTATGCGAGCAGCAGAGAAGATCTCTGCTGGTAGTCGTGGCCTCGCTGGAGATATATTTCTCATGGGGGATGCCAAACTAACTCGCTGGTTTTCCTTCTTCCAATAGTTGTTAATCAAGCGTCGCCAGTCCCCAAACAGGAGATTGCATTAGGAGAGGAATCGACCGTTTCTAGTTACAATCTCTAAGGTTCAAAGCACAATTTTAGGTCTTTCCTTTTATTGCCGATAGATCCTTAATGGCGTCCGCGGAGGAACTAAAGGCGGAAAACACCCGCCTTCAAGCGGAGATGCAATCCATGAAGAAGAAGATCGTTCTAGCTCTCAAAAAGCAGCAGGCGGAGCTTCAATCTAAAGTCCAAGAGGCCGAACGAGCGCGGGACGAGGCTCTAAAGCGAGCTGAAGCCGCGGAATCAGGAGCTTCTAACGGAGATGCGTCTAAAGGAGCGGATCCGGCCGCGCTGCAGCAGCTTCAGGACCAACTGAATGCGTCTCAGCAGGAACTGAAAATGCTCAGGGAAGAGTACGTGGTTGCGAGCGAAAAGCTCAAGGCTGCGGAAGACCAGGCCAGATCAGCGGAAGAGGAGAGAAAGAAAGCCATGGAGGACGCGAATGCGGCTCAGAAGAGCCTTCGCGCGACGAAAGAGGAGGTCCAGATGGTTCGCGAGCAATGGACGGCCGCACAAGGCGCACTGATGACCACTCAGGAGGAGCTTAGCGGTCTGCAGGAGCAGCTGCGGAAGGCGCAGGGGGAGGCGCGGGAAGCGCAGGAAGGGCGCGCGGCTGCGCAGCAGGCGCTGGGGGAGCGGGTGAAGGCGGCGGAGGCGGAGAAGCGGAGCGATCAGGCGGATCAGCGGCGCGCGCAGGAGGTGGTGGCGCGCGCGGAGCAACAGCTGAAAGCCGCGCAGGCGGAGCGGGAAAAGGCGATGGAGGCGTTAACTGCTGCGCGGAGAGAGCTGGAGGAGTCTCGGGCATACGGCGAAAAGTTGGCCGGGCAGCTGAAAGCAATTCAGGTGGAACTGGAAGCTTCGAAGGAAGATGGGAGCAAGCTGCAGGCGCTGGTGGCGGACTTGCAGGGGAAGCTTCCTGCGGTGGAGAAGGAGAAGGAAGGGCTGAGAGTGGATAAGGAGAAGATGGAAGCGGAGATTAAAGCGCTAAGGGATGAGCTCGAGGGTCTGAGACACGGCAAGGAAGCTTCGCTGGAAGATCTGCGTGCTCAAGTTGAAAGTTCCAGGAAGGAGTTGGGGGAAGTCAAATCGGAGCTGGAACAGGCGAAGGAGGAGGCTGGAAAGGCTCAGTGTGAGGCGACGAATAAGGGCGCGCAGGTGGAGGAGCTGCTTCAGGCGCAGGCGGCGCTTCAGGGGGAGGTTGAGAAGGCCAAGGCAGCGGAAGCAGAGGCGCAGGAAGAACTGGGGAAGGTGCGATGTGAGGCGACGAACAAGGGCGCGCAAGTAGAGGAGTTGCTTCAGGCTCAGGCGGCTCTTCAGGGGGAGCTTGAGCAAGCCAAGGCGGCGGAAGCTGAAGCGCGAGAGGAACTGGGGAAGGTGCGATGTGAGGCGACGAACAAGGGCGCGCAGGCAGAGGAGTTGCTTCAGGCGCAGGCTTCGCTGACAGGCCAGGTGGAAGAGGCGAAGGCGGCAGCAGCTAAAGCAGCGGCGGCGGCAGCAGAAGCAGAGGCGGCGCTTCAGGCGCAGCTGGCGGAAGCGAAGAAGGAAGCCGCCAGGTGGGTTACATGAATGAACGCACGAGTAACGTATGATGTTCTTTTTTTAAGCCAAGATGGATGCTTCTTTTTTTATCTGCTTGTAACATTTGTCTCTCGTTCTCTCCCATTTTTTGTGTGGTGCCTGTCCTTGCTGTTGCAGTCTTACGTCCCAGCTCAAAGGCATGCGAGGGGCCATGGATCATGTGCAGAAGGCTGCTTCAGAGACAGAGGAGGTACGTGAAGTGTGAGCATCAAGACATGCCCCACCTCGCGGTCCCTTTTCCAAGTCCCCAGACGCTTCTTCCTACCTGTTGTTCTTACTTGCATTGCTTCTCCCCTTAAACTTCTTCCCCCATTCCTCTTGCTGTCTAAATGTTCTCGTTATAGAACCTACCCCAGCTGCTCAGCTTTCATCACATGCCTACGCTCCAAACTTACTCACATTTGAATACTAACGTTTCTTCGAAAATACCTCATTTGAAATGCTCTTTCTTTCATCATCCCCTGTCACCCAAACCAGAGCATGCAGAAAGAGCTGGCAGATCTCGCCGCCAAGTCAGATTCCCTCAAAGACCAGCTGGCAGCGATACAATCTGAGCTGGCAGCCGCGCAGGCTGAGCTGGCATCGGCCAAATCCTCGCTGGAAAAGGAGATTCATTCGAGAGAGGCTGCGCAGAGAGAAGCAGAGGAGGCTCGAGCGGCTTTGGACTCTTTCCAGGAAAGTGCCGGGAAGGAGCAGCAGCAAGCTGGGGAGCTGTGGCAGCAGCTTCTAGACTCGCGAAAGCAGGTTGCAGCAGAGACGGATAGGGCTGACGGGAGTGAGAAAGAGGCGGAAGGACTGAAAAAACGAGTGGAGGGGTTGGAGAAGGTGGTTGAGGAGAAGGAGAAGGAAGGGGAGGCTGTGAGGGGGGAGCTGGAGGGAGTGAGGGGGCGATTAGTGGAGGTGGAAGGGAGGGTGAAGGAGTTGGGGGAGGAAGTTACTGCGAAGGAGGGGGAGGTGGCTGGGCTGAGGGGGGAGTTGGAGGTTGCATTGAAAGCAGCTGAGGAGGCGAAGGAGGAGGGTGAGAAGGTAAGGAACGAGGCGGAGGAGCTAAAGAAGGAGATGGATGCGCTAGTAGAGGCGAAGGAGGCGGATATTAAAGCCAAGGAGGAGGAAATAAGGACTAAGGAGGAGGAGATTCGGGGGCTTAAGGAGAAGGTAAAGCAGGCAGTATCGGAGAAGGGATCAGGAGAGGTGGAGGCTGCTAGGATGGGCGAAGACAGGAAGGCGTTAGAGGGCCGGGTGGCGGAGCTTCAAGGGGAGCTGGAGAAGGCGAAAGCGGAGGTGGAGAGCGGTAACCAGGAGTTGAAGAGGGTGAAAGGGGAAGCAGAGAAAGCAAAAGGGGAGGCGGAGAGCGTTAAAGGGGAACTCGAGAGGGTGAAAGAGGAGGCAGAGAAGGCGAAAGGGGAGGTGGAAAAGGGTGTGGGTGAAGTGGAGAAGGCGAGAGGCGCGCTTAAGGCAGCAGAGGAGAGGGTGAAGGAGATGGAGGAGAAGGAGGGAGAGTGGGAGGGGCGGGAGGCTGAGTTGAAGAAGAAACTGGAAGCAGCAGAAGCGGATTTGGCTGCTGATAAGGCTGAAGCAGCAGCAGCAGGGGCAGAGGCGGCAGGTGCAGCGGCGGCAGGGGCAGTGGCAGGAGAGGCGCGAGTGGCAGAGCTGGAAGAGGCGTTGAAGGTGGTGAAGAGGGAGAAGGAGCGGTTGGAAGAGGAGTTGGAGGAGGCGTTGGGGAAGGCGAGGGAGGCGGGGAGGAGGAGCGAGCAAGCACAGGCGCAGTTAGAAGCTGAGTTGCAGGGGATGAGGGAGAAGAGTGAGAAGGAGGGTGCAGAGAGGGCGGATGGAGAGAAGAGAGTAGTTGAGTTGACTGCTGAACTGGAAGGGGTGAGAGCAAGGGTAGAAGCGGCAGAGCTAGAGGCAGGGAGGATGAGAGAGGAGGCGGAGAGGGGGAGAGAGCAGCTGACGATGTCGGGCGGTGCGCAGGCTGAGGAGCTGGCGAAGGTGAATGCTGAGCTGGCAACGGCGAACGCTGAGCTGGCGCGTGTGTCGGGTGAGCTGGCGCAGGCTGCTGCGGCACGTGTGGCGGCGGAGGAGGCGGCTGCCAGGGTGGCGGGTGCTGCAGGGGAGGCGATGGGGAAGGCTGAGTCAGCAGAGAGCGAGCTAGCGACAGGTAGGAACATTGTCGTCAGTATCTTGCTGGTTCGTACTTTGCTCTGCCTCCTCGTTTTTTAGGGTGTTTGGTTCGCAACTAGTTTTTGCTGCCCTCGTTCCACCTATTTTATATTGCTGTATTAGGAACTAGTACTTCCTCCTCTTGACTCGATTCTCATGGTGGGGTGGTCTTTGGTGTGCCGTTCCGTGCGGTGCTGTGTGGTGCGTATTGGTGCAATATGGTGTGGTGCAGTGCGCAGCAAGCTGGAGTCGGAGGTGAAGGCAGCGGAGGACAAATACGCAGAGCTGGACAGCAAATTCAATCGCCTGCAGAAGAGGGCAAAGCAAAGGATCCAAGAGGTCACCAAGGTATGCACCAGCAGCTCATGTAATATACTGGGTAAAGTGAAAAGGACAAGTACGCTGAGCTGGACAGCAAGTTCAACCGCCTGCAGAAGCGCGCCAAGCAGCGAATTCAAGAGGTCACCAAGGTATGAACCATCATGGTGTGGAATCTCACAGAAAATGAGGCTGCAAAGCGACAAGTACGGTGAGCTGGACAGCAAGTTCAACCGGGGCATCAAGGATGTTCATCAAGGTTTGATTTGAATCACCACTAGGGCATGGAATAACCATTTACGTACTTGGTATAGGAAGGACAAGTATGGTGAGCTGGCCTGCAGCAATTTCAACCGCCTGCAGAAGTGCATAAAGCAGAGGATCGAGGAAGTCACCAAGGTATGATATGCGCTCCCAGGTATGAACTATCGCAGTGTGAATCATCATCAGGCAGGGTATAAAGTGATCCAGGCACTCAGTCTTTTGAGGCGCCTCAAAAGACGTATCCAGGCACTCAGTCTTTTGAGGCGCCTCAAAAGACGTATCCAGGCACTCAGTCTTTTGAGGCGCCTCAAAAGACGTATCCAGGCACTCAGTCTTTTGAGGCGCCTCAAAAGACGTATCCAGGCACTCAGTCTTTTGAGGCGCCTCAAAAGACGTATCCAGGCACTCAGTCTTTTGAGGCGCCTCAAAAGACGTATCCAGGCACTCAGTCTTTTGAGGCGCCTCAAAAGACGTATCCAGGCACTCAGTCTTTTGAGGCGCCTCAAAAGACGTATCCAGGCACTCAGTCTTTTGAGGCGCCTCAAAAGACGTATCCAGGCACTCAGTCTTTTGAGGCGCCTCAAAAGACGTATCCAGGCACTCAGTCTTTTGAGGCGCCTCAAAAGACGTATCCAGGCACTCAGTCTTTTGAGGCGCCTCAAAAGACGTATCCAGGCACTCAGTCTTTTGAGGCGCCTCAAAAGACGTATCCAGGCACTCAGTCTTTTGAGGCGCCTCAAAAGACGTATCCAGGCACTCAGTCTTTTGAGGCGCCTCAAAAGACGTATCCAGGCACTCAGTCTTTTGAGGCGCCTCAAAAGACGTATCCAGGCACTCAGTCTTTTGAGGCGCCTCAAAAGACGTATCCAGGCACTCAGTCTTTTGAGGCGCCTCAAAAGACGTATCCAGACACTCAGTCTTTTGAGGCGCCTCAAAAGACGTATCCAGGCACTCAGTCTTTTGAGGCGCCTCAAAAGACGTATCCAGGCACTCAGTCTTTTGAGGCGCCTCAAAAGACGTATCCAGGCACTCAGTCTTTTGAGGCGCCTCAAAAGACGTATCCAGGCACTCAGTCTTTTGAGGCGCCTCAAAAGACGTATCCAGGCACTCAGTCTTTTGAGGCGCCTCAAAAGACGTATCCAGGCACTCAGTCTTTTGAGGCGCCTCAAAAGACGTATCCAGGCACTCAGTCTTTTGAGGCGCCTCAAAAGACGTATCCAGGCACTCAGTCTTTTGAGGCGCCTCAAAAGACGTATCCAGGCACTCAGTCTTTTGAGGCGCCTCAAAAGACGTATCCAGGCAGGCACTCAGTCTTTTGAGGCGCCTCAAAAGACGTATCCAGGCACTCAGTCTTTTGAGGCGCCTCAAAAGACGTATCCAGGCACTCAGTCTTTTGAGGCGCCTCAAAAGACGTATCCAGGCACTCAGTCTTTTGAGGCGCCTCAAAAGACGTATCCAGGCACTCAGTCTTTTGAGGCGCCTCAAAAGACGTATCCAGGCACTCAGTCTTTTGAGGCGCCTCAAAAGACGTATCCAGGCACTCAGTCTTTTGAGGCGCCTCAAAAGACGTATCCAGGCACTCAGTCTTTTGAGGCGCCTCAAAAGACGTATCCAGGCACTCAGTCTTTTGAGGCGCCTCAAAAGACGTATCCAGGCACTCAGTCTTTTGAGGCGCCTCAAAAGACGTATCCAGGCACTCAGTCTTTTGAGGCGCCTCAAAAGACGTATCCAGACACTCAGTCTTTTGAGGCGCCTCAAAAGACGTATCCAGGCACTCAGTCTTTTGAGGCGCCTCAAAAGACGTATCCAGGCACTCAGTCTTTTGAGGCGCCTCAAAAGACGTATCCAGGCACTCAGTCTTTTGAGGCGCCTCAAAAGACGTATCCAGGCACTCAGTCTTTTGAGGCGCCTCAAAAGACGTATCCAGGCACTCAGTCTTTTGAGGCGCCTCAAAAGACGTATCCAGGCACTCAGTCTTTTGAGGCGCCTCAAAAGACGTATCCAGACACTCAGTCTTTTGAGGCGCCTCAAAAGACGTATCCAGGCACTCAGTCTTTTGAGGCGCCTCAAAAGACGTATCCAGGCACTCAGTCTTTTGAGGCGCCTCAAAAGACGTATCCAGGCACTCAGTCTTTTGAGGCGCCTCAAAAGACGTATCCAGGCACTCAGTCTTTTGAGGCGCCTCAAAAGACGTATCCAGGCACTCAGTCTTTTGAGGCGCCTCAAAAGACGTATCCAGGCACTCAGTCTTTTGAGGCGCCTCAAAAGACGTATCCAGGCACTCAGTCTTTTGAGGCGCCTCAAAAGACGTATCCAGGCACTCAGTCTTTTGAGGCGCCTCAAAAGACGTATCCAGGCACTCAGTCTTTTGAGGCGCCTCAAAAGACGTATCCAGGCAGGCACTCAGTCTTTTGAGGCGCCTCAAAAGACGTATCCAGGCACTCAGTCTTTTGAGGCGCCTCAAAAGACGTATCCAGGCACTCAGTCTTTTGAGGCGCCTCAAAAGACGTATCCAGGCACTCAGTCTTTTGAGGCGCCTCAAAAGACGTATCCAGGCACTCAGTCTTTTGAGGCGCCTCAAAAGACGTATCCAGGCACTCAGTCTTTTGAGGCGCCTCAAAAGACGTATCCAGGCACTCAGTCTTTTGAGGCGCCTCAAAAGACGTATCCAGGCACTCAGTCTTTTGAGGCGCCTCAAAAGACGTATCCAGGCACTCAGTCTTTTGAGGCGCCTCAAAAGACGTATCCAGGCACTCAGTCTTTTGAGGCGCCTCAAAAGACGTATCCAGGCACTCAGTCTTTTGAGGCGCCTCAAAAGACGTATCCAGACACTCAGTCTTTTGAGGCGCCTCAAAAGACGTATCCAGGCACTCAGTCTTTTGAGGCGCCTCAAAAGACGTATCCAGGCACTCAGTCTTTTGAGGCGCCTCAAAAGACGTATCCAGGCACTCAGTCTTTTGAGGCGCCTCAAAAGACGTATCCAGGCACTCAGTCTTTTGAGGCGCCTCAAAAGACGTATCCAGGCACTCAGTCTTTTGAGGCGCCTCAAAAGACGTATCCAGGCACTCAGTCTTTTGAGGCGCCTCAAAAGACGTATCCAGGCACTCAGTCTTTTGAGGCGCCTCAAAAGACGTATCCAGGCACTCAGTCTTTTGAGGCGCCTCAAAAGACGTATCCAGGCACTCAGTCTTTTGAGGCGCCTCAAAAGACGTATCCAGGCAGGCACTCAGTCTTTTGAGGCGCCTCAAAAGACGTATCCAGGCACTCAGTCTTTTGAGGCGCCTCAAAAGACGTATCCAGGCAGGCACTCAGTCTAAGGAGGAGGGACAAGTACGCAGAGGTTGACGGCAATTTCAACCGCCTGCTGAAGCGCGTCAAGCAGGGGATCCAGGAAGTCACCAAGGTATGATATGCATGGGCAGGCATGAAACATCACGGTATGAATCAATCACTGTTCTCCACTCACCCCGTTCTCCCACCCCCTTACAGGAGAAAGAGGAGAGGAAACTGGCAGAGGAGAGGAAGCAGCAGGCAGCGCTGCAGGAGGATCTCAACCTTTTCTCTTTGCTCATCTCCCCTCCCCCCTGCAGGAGAAGGAGGAGGCAGAGAGGAAGCTGGCAGAGGAGAGGAAGCAGCAGGCAGCGCTGCAGGAAGATCTGGAAAGAGCCAAGGGGGTGGCTGCAGAGGCGCAGCGGACGGCTGAGAAGGACAAGGAGCAGCTGAGGAAGACCAACGGATCGTGAGTACCCCTTCTCTGCTGCTCTCCATTCCATGTGGCTGGAAGGGTTTCTCTGGTCCTTTTTAGTAATCTCAGGGGCTGCAGAGGCACAGCGGACGGCCGAGAAGGACAAGGAGCAGCTGAGGAAGACCAACGGATCGTGAGTACCCCTTCTCTGCTGCTCTCCATTCCATGTGGCTGGAAGGGTTTCTCTGGTCCTTTTTAGTAATCTCAGGGGCTGCAGAGGCGCAGCGGACGGCTGAGAAGGACAAGGAGCAGCTGAGGAAGACCAACGGATCGTGAGTACCCCTTCTCTGCTGCTCTCCATTCCATGTGGCTGGAAGGGTTTCTCTGGTCCTTTTTAGTAATCTCAGGGGCTGCAGAGGCGCAGCGGACGGCTGAGAAGGACAAGGAGCAGCTGAGGAACGGATCGTGAGTATCTCTACCCTCTAGTTCTTTAATTGATTGGAGAGAACTCACTTTCTGTACTCTATGCTCTCTTCTCGTTTCCAGGCGAGATTGATGCCTCTAGGTTCCGGTCTTCCTTTCCTAACCCCACACCGTGAATCCAGGCTGAAGGAGGAGGTGGACGAGCTGAGGCGAGCCCTGGAATTGAAGGAGCATGATCTGAAGGAGTCGAGGAGGCTGGCAGCAGGCAAGGAGCAGGCGTGGCTGGAGCTGTCGAGCTGTCCTGTCCCACCCATCTTTTAAACCTTAAACCCGAAACCCTGATCCCTTCCCCAGGCTTTAAGAGGAGGAGGACGAGCTCAGACGAGCCTTAGAGCTGAAGGAGCACAACCTGAAGGAGTCGAAGAGGCTGGCAGCAGGCAAGGAGCAGGCGTGGCTGGAGCTGTCGAGCTGTCCTCTCCCACCCATTATATTAACCTTAAACCCGAAACCCCGATCCTTCCCCAAGCTGAAGGAGGAGGTGGACGAACTGAGGCGAGCCCTAGAGCTGAAGGAGCGTAATCTGAAGGAGTCACGGAGGCTGGCAGCGGGCAAGGAGCAGGCGTGGCTGGAGCTGCTCTCTCCCACCTGACCCTTCAACCCGAAACCCCACCCCCTACTGCAGGCTTAAAGAGGAGGTGGACGAGCTGAGGCGGGCCCTAGAGCTGAAGGAGCATAACCTGAAGGAGTCACGGAGGCTGGCAGCGGGCAAGGAGCAGGCGTGGCTGGAGCTGCTCTCTCCCACCTGACCCTGAAACCCGAAACCCCACCCCCTACTGCAGGCTTAAAGAGGAGGTGGACGAGCTGAGGCGGGCCCTAGAGCTGAAGGAGCACAATCTGAAGGAGTCACGGAGGCTGGCAGCGGGCAAGGAGCAGGCGTGGCTGGAGCTGTTGAGCTCAGCGCACGAGGAGCGCCGAATCTTGAACTTTAAACCCTGAACCCTGCTCTCCCTTCCCCGGGCTTAAAGAAGAAGTGGACGAGCTGAGGCGGGCCTTGGAACTAAAGGAGCATAATCTGAAGGAGTCGCACAGGCTGGCAGTGGGCAAGGAGCAGGCGTGGCTGGAGCTGTCGAGCTCAGCGCACGAGGAGCGGGGAGCTGAACCATGTGGTGTTTCTTAAGATATTTTCCCCTTTCTCCTCTCCCTGACCCAGGTTGAAAGAAGAGGTGGACGAGTTGAGGCGAGCCCTAGAGCTGAAGGAGCACAACCTCAAAGAGTCAAGGCGATTGGCAGCGGGCAAGGAGCAGGCGTGGCTGGAGCTGTCGAGCTCAGCGCAGGAGGAGCGGGAGCGCATGGCGGGGGCTGTGAAGGAGGTGGAGGAGCGGATGGAGCGGATGGGGAAGGAGCAGGAGGCGCGCGCGGCTGAGCTGCAGCGAGAGTTGAATAAGGCTCTGGAGAGCAGCAGTGCGCTGCAGGTGAGAGTGTGGAATGTCGAATGTGGACGTGTCACGGGTCAGGGTAACCACTTGTAGGGAATGAAGGCTGCAGGAGGCACGGGCAGCTGAGCTGCAGAGGGAGCTGAATAAGGCTCTGGAGAGCAGCAGTGCGCTGCAGGTGAGAGATGGTTGTGTTACGGGTTTGAGCAGTGTAACGGGTTTGAGAGTTATGAGGTGTTGCAAAGGGTGAACGAGGTGGAGGTTCGGCTGACTCTCTCTTCTTCCTCCCCCGTGTCAACACCTCACCCCTTTGCCCACCTTGGCAGGTCCAGTCCAGCTGTTGCAGAAGGAGCGCCAGCATAAGTCATTCAGAATAGATTACTCGTGTTTTTGTACTTACTCACTTTCTTTTCGACCCTTGCAGGTCCAGCTGTCGCAGAAGGAGCGCCAGCTGGCAGAGGTGGAGGCCGCCACGTCAGGCGAGCTGGCGCGGCTGTCGGCCACTCTGGAGGCGACACGTGGCGAGCTGCACCGGCTGGAGCAGAAGCTGGCGGAGGAGCGGAGCGGGTGGGAGGAGACGGTGGGGCAGCTGAAGAGGCGGGTTGAGGGGATGGAGAGGGGGAAGCGCATGCTGGAGGTGGCGATGCAGGAGGCGAAGGGGGCGTGGCAGCAGGAGGTGGAGGGGCAGAAGAAGGCTGTTGCTGCTGCCCTGGCGGATTTAGCTGCTGCACAGGCAGAGGTGAGTAAGGGTGGCGGCAGGTAAGGGGTGAGGAGGGCGGGGGGGGGGTGTTGTGGCGGGGGATCAGATGCAGGAGGTAAATGAGCATCTTACTCTCCCATACCCTCCCAGCCCATGCGTTTTCATGCCATTCCCGCCCAGCTCATGCCATACTCATGCCTACCTGCCTGCCTATGCCATGCCATGCCATGCAACAGCATGGCGTTTCCTCCCGTGTCTATCTTTTGCAGCATCTCGTTTCTTAAGTCCGTCCCATACCTCATGCCACCTCACGCCACCTCATGCCACGTCATGCCAGGTGGCGAAGGGGCGTAATGAGCTGGCGGCATACAAGGTGCGGGCGGCAGCGATGCTGAAGAAGAAGCAGGAGGAGCTGGAGGCGGTGGGGAACGCGGATGCCATGGCGAGCAAAGAGGATGAAATCAAGGTGAGTGAGTGCTGCTGTGTGGTGGCATAAGCATGTTGGAGGAGGCGGTGAGGGTGGGGGTGAAGAGCAGGTGGCAGCGATGCTGAAGAAGAAGCAGGAGGAGGTGGAGGCGGTGGGGAACGTGGATGCCATGGCGAGCAAGGAGGAGGAGATCAAGGTGAGTGTGAGCGTGCTGGGCATAGGGAGCTAGTATGAAGTGTGAGTGCTGCTGTTTGACGGCAATATGCACACCACATAAGCATGTTGAAGCAGGAGGAGCTTGAGGCTGTGGGGAACGTGGATGCCATGGCGAGCAAGGAGGAGGAGATCCAGGTGAGTGTGGGAGTGAGTGTGGAGCTTAGATGGATGTAACGGTTACGTTTACATTTGCGTACGTTTTATGTTTACATACGTTTTATGTTTACGTCTATCAACGTTTAACATTTATGCCTTATGTAGGCTTTACGCCTACATTTACGTACGCTTCTTCTAAAAGGGGTTCATGCAGCAGGCTAAATAAATTTTCCTGCTGCCCTAACATAACGTGTTCATTCTTGGATTTGCAAATATTGTTCTAAGCATCCGCATTAAGTTTCAATTTCTTATACTTGTTGCAATTCCAGGTCATGTACCAGCTCCTTTTGAGAACTCTCAAAGGCGATTAGTGTACCAGCTCCTTCAGCTTCAAATTGCAGAACCTCCCCCCTCGAATTTGACTTCGCGCAACGCTTCTTTCCCCCTCGAGACGAATTTTGCGCAACGCTTCCTTCCTCCTCGAATTCCAAATCGATTTCGCCCAAATTTCTCTTCATCATCCCTCCGCACATCACCTTCCCCTCCTGATCCCCTCTGTCCTCTCGAGTCCGTAATTCTGACAATCGTCTAACCAACTTCCGTCGTACTTCAGTCAAGACGAAATTTCTCTAGGTTTTAGCTAGCACACCAGCTTTCGTCAAAATCTCTAGCAAGCATGGCATGGTATTTCTCCTGCCTCCACTAGCAATAACACCAGCAGTCATCACGATATTTTTTATCAGCTCCAATAATTTCCCAACTCTCTTCCCTCTTTATTCCCCCATCATGCCCTGAAACGTTTATAAATGCCCGGCCATATTTACGCACAGAAACGTAAAAGTGCATGTAAAGGTAGTGTAAAATTACGTTTACGTGACCCAAAAACTGTTAAAACGCCAAACTAAGGTGTGGAGTGAGTGCAGGAGTGAGTGTGGGAGTAAGTGTAGGAGTGAGTTTGGGAGTGAGTGTGCCACGTTCTTGCCTCTCTCGCCGCATGACAGGAGGCAAAGAGGGCAGAGGCCGCAGCAGTGGCAGAGAGTGACAGACTACGCTTATTGAGACGTCTCAAATGAGCCGTGTTTTGAGTCGACTCAAAACGCGGAGAGGGACTACGCTTATTGAGACGTCTCAAATGAGCCGTGTTTTGAGTCGACTCAAAACGCGGAGAGGGACTACGCTTATTGAGACGTCTCAAATGAGCCGTGTTTTGAGTCGACTCAAAACGCGGAGAGGGACTACGCTTATTGAGACGTCTCAAATGAGCCGTGTTTTGAGTCGACTCAAAACGGGGAGAGGGACAGACTACGCTTATTTCATGGATCCCTCCCTCATCACGTGCCTCCCTTTTTACCTCCTGCCACCCTTCCTTCCCTCCCTCCCTTCATGCCTGACTTTTGAGGTGCATCAAAACACGCGCCTCCTCTTTACCTCCTGCCCTCCTTTCCTCCGTTCCTTCATACCTGCCTTCCTACCTGCCGTCCAGGAGGCGAAGAGGGGAGAGGCAGCAGCAGTGGCGGAGAGGGACAGAGCTCTCAAGGCTTTGGAGGATGCTGCAGTGGACCATGAGACGCAGATGGCAGCTCGGTGAGTTGCGGTGGAGATGGGTCTAATGCGGTGTGCATGTGTGTACATACATGGTAGTAGTGGTAATGGTTGGAGAGGGATGGAGCACTCAAGGTGCTGGAGGATGCTGCAGTGGACCAGGAGACGCAGATGGCAGTGCGGTGAGTGAAGCGCACACAAACAAGGCACAATCCATGTGGTGCCAGTGGGTCGTGTGAGAGAAAGGTGCTGTGCATGTGTGGATGGGATGGGATGGGATGGGATGGGATGGGATGGGATGGGATGGGATGGGATGGGATGGGATGGGATGGGATGGGATGGGATGGGATGACATGGGATGGGATGGGATGGCATGGCATGGCATGGGATGGGGTGGGGTGAGGTGGGGTGGGGTGGGGTGGGGTGGGATTGGTTGGAATGGAACATGATGGTTTGGATTGGTGTGACGGGTGCAAGGCAGAGTGGTAGCACAGCGCTGCTGTCACAGCTCATGTGGCTATCCCTTGCACTGTGCTCCCACATTCTGAGAATTCCCCATATAAAAACCGCGTGAACTGAGACGATTTTTGAGGCGCCTCAAAAAAGCTGTCACAGCTAATGCGGCTATCCCTTGCACTGTGCTCCCACATTCTGAGAATTCCTCATATAAAAACCGCGTGAACTGAGACGATTTTTGAGGCGCCTCAAAAAAGCTGTCACAGCTAATGCGGCTATCCCTTGCACTGTGCTCCCACATTCTGAGAATTCCTCATATAAAAACCGCGTGAACTGAGACGATTTTTGAGGCGCCTCAAAAAAGCTGTCACAGCTAATGCGGCTATCCCTTGCACTGTGCTCCCACATTCTGAGAATTTCTCAAAAGTGTCCCCACGCCTACCCCTGTGTCAACAGGAATGTTGCATTGATGGAAGCGGAGTCGAAAGTGCGAGAGCTGACAGGCAGGCTGGAGGCAGTGGGGCAGCAGAGGCCTTGCATCAACCCTTTCCTAGCCTCCCTCCCTTCTCTTCCCTTGCAACCTTATCAGGCAGAAACGTGGCTGAATCTGTTTTTTGAGAATTCTCACTATTCCTAACGGATTTCCGCGGAATACAGCCGTAGGAACCATGGAACGGAATGTAGCTACTAGAGCCCCGACCTTGCTGGAAAACCGCTTAGAAATAGTGAATTGTAAGAAACTGGATTTGAGATTGTGAAAATGAGACTGTTAGGCTTCGGATTTGTACGGAGGTTGCTTGTCTCCTCGGCTCGACTCATGTACAAATCCGAAGCCTAGCAGTCTCATTTTCAAAGTTTCGAATCCAGTTTTTCACAGTACTTTTTCTAAGCGGTTTTTTCGCAAGGTCGGGGCTCTGGCAGCTGTACTCCGTTTCTTATTTCCGTTCCTTATAACGTGTCTCTGATGGAAGCGGAATCGAAAATCCGAGAGCTGACAGGCAGGCTGGAGGTGGTGAGGCAGCAGAGCGGTCACATAAGCAGTGCCACTGACCCCCCATACCCCCCCCCCAATCTTCCCACCACCTCCCTCCCCTTCACCCGTATTACACAGAAACGTGGCATTGATGGAAGCGGAAACGAAGATACGGGAGCTGACGGGCAGGCTGGAGGCGGTGAGGCAGCAGAGCCGGGCGGCACAGGAGGAGATGCACGGGCGGATGATGGACCTGGAGGACGGGTGGCGCGGTGAGTTGATATTAAGGGGATAGCAGAATAGGGTAGTATTGCAGAGCAGAGCACAAGGAGATGCATGGGCGGATGATGGACCTGGAAGCTGGGTGGCGAGGAGAGTTGAGAGGAGTGGGGAGGAATTCAGTGACTGTTAAGCAATAGATGCATGAGCGTGTGATGGGGACAACTGGGCTGATAGCGCCCCTAATCCAATCTCCCTCATCCTCTCTCCCTCCCCCGAGCAGAGAAGCTGCGGCAGCAGGAGGAGAAGCTGAAAGGGCAGACGGGCAGTCAGACGACATCCTTAGAGAGTGAACTGAGGAGGAGAGTGGAGGCGGGGGAGAGGGAGCACGCAGCGTACCGAGAGATGGCAGATAGAACCATCGAGGCCAAGGACAAGGCGATGGAGGGGAAGGACAAGGCAATCGAGGGGAAGGATAAGGCATTTGTTACGTGGTTCTCATAGCCTGGCCTCTCAATTTCCCCTCTTTACCCTCTTTTCCCTCCCTACCTTGCATTCTTCTGAGCAGAGAAGCTGCGGCAGCAGGAGGAGAAGCTAAAGGGGCAGACGGACAGCCAGACAGCCTCCCTAGAAAGTGAACTGAGGAGGAGAGTGGAGGCGGGGGAGAGGGAGCACGCAGCGTACCGAGAGATGGCGGATCGAACCATCGAGGCCAAGGACAAGGCGATCGAGGGGAAGGACAAGGCGATTGCGCGGCTCTCTGCTGAAGCGGCACGCCTGCAGGAGGCTCTGATTGCCGCCCAGTCTGGTGCTGCTGGTGGTGGCGCTGGTGCTGGTGGTGCTGGTGGTGGTGGTGGTGGTGGTGCTGGTGGTGTTGGTGGTGTTGGTGGTGAGGGTATTGGTGCTGTCAATGCTGCTGGTGGGGAGGATGGGTTGAAGCTTGCGGGACTGGGTGCTGCTGGGATGGATGGAGCGGCCAGCCCCAGGAAGCCAGCGCTCATCTCGGTGAGTCCACTGAATCGCACTGCACTCCCTTCCACGTTTTTCCACTCCACTCCACTCCACTCCACTCCACTCCACTCCACTCCAATCCTTTTCACTCCACTCCCTTTCACTCCACTCCACTCCACTCCACTCCACTCCACCTTCTCCACTCCATTGCACCTTTCTCTTGAATTTGGATTGAAATAAGGTTCCACCAATCCCCTGTCCCCAATGCCCTCCCCCCTATCTATTTATTGACCCCACCACCCCTCCTCCCCTCCCAATTCTCATTCAAGCAGCCCCGTTCTCGAATGTCAGACCCGGGTTTCGGCAAATCAGGCGCATCCGGACTGCCTCTCTCCCTCGGTGCGTTGCCTCTCTCCTTTCTGTTGTCCAAGTCAAATTCCCTCTATTTGTCCTTTCTCAGTTCCCTGTATTTGTCACGCCGTTTTACCTCTTCTATCCATCACCCTTCCTCACCTCCTTTAACTGTCACCTCTGTTTGCCTCCTTAGTTTCGCACCTGCCTTCTTTCATCGCTCTGAAAACCAGTCAACCTCCATGTGTGTCTGTCTGCTTCCATGTCTCATATGGCATGGCCTGTCTTATCTTCAACACCATCCCCGGTTTTCCCTACCATGCCATGCCATAAATGCGTCCACCAGAGGGTATGGGGTTGGCCGACAACCCAGCAGAGAAGGCTGCAATTGCAGAGCAACACATCCTGGTACGTCGGCCCCTTGCCTCTTCTGCCCCTCATGCTTCTGCTTCCTTCTGCTGCCTCTTTTGCCTCTGCTGCCTCTGTTCCCTCTGCACTGTTTCCATTTCCGAAAACAATCTATGGTTATGAGAACCCACCACAGCTTTTGATCTCTGATGTATTGCACGTGACGGAGGAGGGGAACGTTTTTCTGATTCCCGTTTCTGTGCTTCGTTTCTAAGCATCTGCCCCTTGGTTCTCCTTCCAATCCCTTTCTACCGCCTCCTTTCATCCAGTTCCTTGCGCGGCAGCAGCCGCAGAGGGAGGAGGAGGTAACACAGTGTAGAAGGCACATTCAGGCGCAGCGGGAGAAGAAGCTCTCTGATTCCTTTTTTCCTGAGCTCTGTTAGTAACCCTCTACCTCCTTGCACCCCTCCCCGGTCCTTTCATACAGTTCCTTGCTCGGCAGCAGGCGCAGAGGGAGGAGGAGGTAGCACAGTGTAGAAGGCACATTCAGGCACTGCAGGTATGAAGAATATACATAAACGTATATTGCATATGCACGTTATGAACTTACTTACATACATAAAACACATGCGTACATACGTACATGCATGCTAGCATGCATACATTCATGTATGCATACATACATACAAACATACATACATACATACATACATACATACATACATACATACATACATACATACATACATACATACATACATACATACATACATACATACATACATACATACATACATACATACATACATACATACATACATGGTGTATTACTCACAATTATTTCATGCATGTTAATGTTTTCCCTTGCCACCAACCACCAGGAGGAGATCACAGACCTGCAGAGGGAGAATCAACTGAGAGCCAAGCAGGTGGGTGCCCTGTTGCATTCAGGTGAGTGCTCTTGCATTCAGGTGGGTGCTCTGTTGCGTTCAGGTGGTTTTTTTCTGTTGCTATCAGGTGGGTGTTCTGTCAGGTGTGCTTTTGTTTTGCTCAAATTACTCCATTGCCTCTTCTCGTTTGCTAAATAAGCGACATTGGTATGGATGAATAGCTGCATTCATTTTCCGTTGAGATGACTGCATTCAAAGCCTCCATCCTCTCTTTCCTTCGCCCTGCTTCCTCCCGCCTCTCTTTCCTTTCTTGCAGAAATCAGTGTTGAGGGAGGAGCAGGAGATGAGGAGCATGGAGAGGAGAGGGCACACTAGAGAGAGAATGTGTTATTTTACCCTCGCTCCATCCCCTCTTTCCAATCTTCCAGGAATCGGTTTTGAGGGAGGAGCTGAGGAGCATGGAAAGGGTACAGAAGAGATCATTCAAAAGCAACACCCCTCCCGCTCCCAATTTCCCCTCTCCCTTCCTCCTCCCTTTCCTCAACCACAGGAATCCGTCTTGAAGGAGGAGCTTAGGAACATGGAGAGGGCGCAGAAGAGAGAGACGGTGGACATGACTTACCTGAAGAACGTGATTCTGCAGCTGCTTATCAGAACAGGTACCAGTGCTTATCAGAACAGGTACCATTGCTTATCAGAGCAGGTAACGTTGCTTATCAGAACAGGTACCAATGCTCGTTGAAACAGGTACTAGTGCTTATCAAAACAGGTATTGTTTTGCATGTCTGATTCTCTTTCCAGGCCATCCCACCCTATACCACCCCATCCATCTTTGCTCTGTTTACTTGCTCGTTCATTTCACAAGGAACCATCTACTTCTCGTTCCACCTCACCAGCTCTTTATTCTGCTCCCTGTCTCCCTCTCTGCCCCACCATCAGACCAGAGGGCAACGCTCATTCCTGTGATCGGCATGATACTGCAATTCAGCCCAGATGAGGTGAGGCTAGGAGCGCAAGTTAGAACGGGAAGAGTGAGATGGGTGGTTGGGATGAGAGTGACTGCTGTGCTGCTGCAGAGGAGGTGAGGCTAGTGTGAGCTGTTCTGCTGTTGGGGCCTGGTTCCATCACTCTCGCTCTCGCTCTTCCTGCCCTTGAGTCTTACCTTGTGATGCCACAACCCGTTGTGTTGCTGGCTACACCTTGTATCTTGTGCAGTTGAAGCAATGCCGAGGATCATCATAACACATGGCACGAGGCATTCGAATCTTGGTGGGACACCTGGTGACCCAGCAACCAGCATCTCACCTGGTTTAGTGGGATTTGGTATGAATGCTGTGACGTGGGATGGTGGCTGGCAGGACACATGACGTGAAAAGATGCAATGAATCTGGTCCGATTCGGCCACCATTTCAAGAGTGTGTAGTATGTAGGGGTTGCTGAAACCCCTTCGTGCGGTTCTGGTGATACATAGACATCTCATGATTTACTCGTTGATCTGGCGCAGGACATTTTAGGTACGGGTAGATTCTGGAGTGCTGAATGAACAGACTGGCCGAAGCTCTGAAACCAGGCTGTCCCTTTCTCTAACCATGCTCTGCTACTGTGAGATTAATAATGCAACCAGGCTGTCCCTCTCTCTAACTAATGCACCTGAACATTTATCTTGAGTGTGGGTGCTTTCCAAAACATATTTCTCCCTACCTGCAACCAGACAAAGCAAGTAAATTGACGAATTTCTGTACTGAGTACTTGTGTGTAACAACAGCGTTCGTGTGGGAAGTGTACATCACGCTGGACTTCGCTACTGCGCAAACGCCAAGTTCGTCACCACCTTCCAGGTGCTGCCTGTGTTATCTCAGCAAGAGGCACCACAGCTATTCGTAAGACCCTGCCTCGAAGAGATACAGAAACTTGTAACATAGCCGGAAGTTACAAGCAACTCTGGTGCATACACATCGACAAGCATGCAATGCAGGCTAGCACGATTCAAGACAAGAGTGTTAAGTCTATTCGTCCTCAGTGCTGCGCAGGCGAGCGTTGCCGTTGATAACCTTCACATCCAGCTGCTGCGCCCTCTCCACAATGGCCTTGCGCTTGCGCGTCGACACGGCAGAGGCAATCTGAGCCACATACTTCCTGCAAGGGCGAGAAGACAATGAGCAGTAGACAAAATAGTTATATTCTTGAATGGTGATATAGCACACCCGTTCCACTCATTACATCCAGCTGCTGCGCCGGCTCAATTATGGCCCAGGTGGACAAGGCAGGCGCTGTGAGCGGTCCATTTTCCTTTCCCGAAGAACCAACTCAATGAAGAATGGAGATTGGGTTATTTACAAACGCGGAAGGGGAGCAGGGAGAGAGGGACAGAAGGATGGATGGATGCTAAGGCGGGAGGGCTGGATGGTGCTATGAGTGCATGGACGGGTCACAGGAGCAAGGGGTTGTGTAGGGGTGGGGTGTTGAAGAAAGAGAATCACACTTGAAACCCTCAACTCTCTTGGCAATAGGGGGGCATTAGGGGACTAAACAGTGGTCCGCACAGCACAGTACACTGACGTGACACTGAACATCGAGTCAGGACGTAGAAGGGCATCCTTTCAAGACGTCCTTCGACAGGGAATACACTTTCAGAGTCGCGCTATACTACCGTGATAACGAGACGTGGATGACGGCAATGGATTATGGAGGACGCGACGAGAAGAGGCGCACGAAAGAGAGAAGTGGGAAAGGTGCGGGGGGGGGGGGAGGAGGGTGCAAGGGGGCGGGGAGAGGGTGGAGGGGCAAGAAGGGGAGGGAGGGGCGCGAGAGGGGAGGGAGGGGCGCGAGAGGGGAGGGAGAAGTGGCTTTGGCAGGGGAAAAAAACAGGGGGGTGGAAAGTGCTGATGCTAGCCCTCTACAGGTGTATGGCGCCTGAGTCGAACTGCAGATTTACAGCGAGGACTGGCTCTGTTGAAGTCACTTTAGATTTCTCAAAAGTGCTGACGCTAATGCTCAGCAGGTATACGGCGCCTGGATCGGACTGCAATTCACAGCGGGGATACTTTGGTGGTGCATCTCTCAGCAAAGAGGAATGGCTCTCGCTGTGGCTCGCTGTGCACAGCACCTCTAAGTAACACTATAAAGACGTCACGCGGCTTGGTCAGGATCCTCCTGTGCTACATGTAGCTGTTACCCCTAACACCTGTAACACCAGGAACCGGCTGCGGAGAAAGTGCCTGGCCTTGCTCTTGCCACATGTAACTGGAGTTCTATCTAATTTACATGAAAACATCTACAGTAGGTTTACTGTACCTGGAAACTGCTGTGCAGCATTTGCAGCGTGTTCTTGTTGCTGCCGTAGCCAACACCCTAACTACTATACTTTTAGAATGAAACAATCAACAGCAAACTACTGTACCTGTTGTGCATGAGCAGGAGCTCCACGTCCCTCTCGTTGTGCACGCGGAACACCTGGAACCCGCTGCGCAGCATGTGCCGCGTCTTCTTGTTGCTGCCGTAGCCGATGTTGGGCATCAGCGGCGTGCCCTTGAACTTGCGCCGAACGCGCGAGTCAATACCCTTGGGCCTCCGCCAGCTCTCCTGTTGAGGGGAAGCGGGATGGGGGAAGGGCAGGAAAGGGGGCGAGAGGGGAAGAAAGAGCGCCGGGGATCGGAAGTTTAAGATGAGCGGAAGGAAAAAGGAGAGTCATTAGCGGCGTGCCCTTGAACTCGCGCCGAACACGCGAGTCAATGCCCTTGAGCCTCCTTGTTAAAGAGGTTGGGGCGGGGTGCAGCGGGGGCCGGGAAGGGTGGGGGGAGAGCGCCGAGAGAGGATGGGAGGACGAGGGAGCATGGGGCGAAAGGAAACGGCAGGAATGAAGAAATCGAAAGAGAGAGAGAGAGAGAGAGAGAGAGAGAGAGAGAGAGAGAGAGAGAGAGAGAGAGAGAGAGAGAGAGAGAGAGAGAGAGAGAGAGAGAGAGAGAGAGAAGAGGACGCCGGGGAGGAGAATGAGGAGAATAAGGAAGCGAAAAGGGGAATACGAAAGCGAGGAGGAGAGAAGGAAAGTCACGGTGAATGGGGAAGCGACGGGAATGTGGAAGTGAGGAAAATGAGGAAGCAAGGAGAAAAAATAGGAAGGAAAGAGGAGGAAGTGGGAGGGACAAGTGGATAGAGGAAGGGAGACGGGACGAAAGAGGGAGGGATGCGGGTCACGGGGGGGGAAGAGGGCGGGGAGGGGGGGGGGTGGGAGAGGGAGGAGGGAAAGAGATAATAATAAGGACAGGAGAAATGTTGTGGACGGATGACGAGGGGGGAAGTGGGAGCGAGGGGATATTGAAGGGAGGGCAAGCCGGAGGGAAAGGATGATGTGAGGAATGATGAAGGGTGACAAGAAGGAAAGGAGGAAGGAAATGGTGCGGGTACTATACAATCCTAAAACACCGGAACGGGGGATAAGGAGACTGGATGCTGAGTCAGCAAGAGGCTCGCTCGAGCCGAGTCAGCTGGCGTATTGGCACACGAGAAAAGTGATCGGCGTTAACTAACGATCAACGAAAACTGATCGGCGTAAATCGATCAACTCGTCGAATCTGTCACAACGTTGGCGGCCTCGCTTCTGTAGCGCCCGACTCGTCGATATGAATCTGACGGTCTAGCTGTCGATATATTTCTAACGGCAACGTCTGAAATCCATAACTGTGTTGGAGCGTCACACTGGATATGAAACATCTGAAACCCGTGAATGCGCTGTCCAACATCCCAGCGGTCCTTGCGAGCGCGGACGACCCACGCGTCCGCTGCTTCGCTAGTAAGGAGCTACTAATACTACTTCGCAACTACTACTCAGATACACCACCACTATCTTCATTCAAGCTTCGAATCCTGTCCCCGGGTAATGCAATCTCACTGCTCCTGACAATGCATCCCTCTCACGGCAACATCCTGAGCGTGCAGGCTTATCCGGCAAATCTAGACGAAGCTCGCTTCCATAACCTGGAAGCAGCAGCCTGAGCACGGCACCGATAAGCGACATGTTACGAACCCCGTGTTGCCACGTGAACGAGCTAGACGGCTCGCGTCAGATCGAGCATACGAGCAGCTTCGATCGTCGTGGTCTGAAATGCTGGCCTAAAATACTCCACTTGTCGCGTTCAATCGGTTAGTCTAGCGAAATAAACCTGCTGCTTCGGTTCCTGAATCTGTGGTGCGCTACGGGAAAGTCGAAGCGTAAGCACGGGGTGTCCGCATCATCCTCCGATAAAAATGACTCACGGGCACGCATTTTTTCCTGTCGGATTGGGGCCGCCAGAACTTGTTCGTCTTCTTCTTCACGATCTTCGGCTTCACAAGCGGCTGCACCATCTTGACGCGCTTCGGCCTTAATCGCCTCGCAGGCTGCTGCTAAACTGCTGCCACTGGGCAGCGGGGACTAGGGGAGGAAGAGGAGGGAAAAAAGGAGGTATGGAAAAGGATTAGGGCAGACTAGAACGGGCATGGAGTTGAGTGGTTGGGGGAAAAGAGGGGGAAAGGGGAGACGGGGAACACGGGGGAAATGGGGGCAAGTAAGGTAGAAGGGGAGGGATGGGGGGAGGCGGAGGGGTGGTGGCAGAGGAGGAAAGGAGGGAACAGTCGTGCGGAGAGCTGGGGCAAGTGGCGGAAGGGGCCGGGGAGGTGATTACAGGAGGGGCGGAATGCGACGCTGACGAGGGAGGGACGCCACCAGTGTAATGGTGGTAAGCCTCCAGTCAGCAGCAATGATATGTATAAACAGTCCCAGACAGAAGCAGTTCGCTGAACCTTACTATCTACACTTTTACTAGCCAAAGGTCATTGTTTTCCAATTTGACTTCAAACCACATTAATCTTCTTTATTATTATAGCGATATATAATACATGTTAGAAAAAATCAAGGATCTATCGGACATTATAAGTTGCTAGGATTTTGATACAGTGGAAGTCTATAGAGAGAACGTGTCATAGTGGATGGAAATAACAAGATGATAAAAATATGGCATTAGATTGAGTTATACAGTCCTAAATAGACATTTAATCTGATATTAATTCCCTTATTTTGTATTAAAATATTGAGATATTACATGAAACAGTTGCATGCGCGTGTAGACAATCCCCATCTGCATTTGTTTTCTGGATAACCTTTGTGTTATGTATTAGGAAAGTTAGGGTAGCAGCGCTCATTTTATTAGCGGGCGTTTCAAACAAGAGGATTTCGCAGGGGTTCACTTGGCTCTTCGAGGTTGTGTAACGGTGATTCACTTAGAATGAGGGCATTTAATATTATATATTCACGTGATTCTTTTCGGATACGGACACAAGCACCGGCAAATCCCTGCCATTTGTTTCGCCAGGGGGCATGTGAGAACCAGTAGATGCTAGATTGTGTCCACATCATCCTATGGCGGACGATTCAGCCCAATCCAGCACAAGCTTGCTCTTGCAGCCCAACGTATCAGAGACTCCTCTGGTCTGAGCTGTCATAAAAATCGGTTTTCTTGCTGAAGCACGTGAACAGTATCTTGCAGCGAGCCGATCCGGTTCTGTTCGAATCTTGAAAAGCGACAAACAATCGCCTCCAATCTCCCTCGTTCTTTCCATCGTGTCTAAATGCATCTGATTCCACTCTCCCCCCTACATTGTTCTTGCCCTTTGCCTGCTGATGTGATTTCCCCGTTGAGTGTGAGGGGGGGGAGGAGGGCAGAGGGAGAGTGAGCAACATCACGAGCATGGGGCGTTGGCGGAGCGAGGGGAGGGGGACAACAGAATGAGTCATGTTATCCATCATGACCCCTCACAGAAGCGCGGAAGAATAGCCAAATAGAATATCCGCCTGCGCCCTCGAGCCCATTTTCCCTGACTCCCCGCGCACCCTCCTTCCCGCCGCCCCCGCCCCCCCAATCCCCCCCACCCCCCTCCCCCTCCTGCAAGTGCCCTGGTCGTCCTGCAAGTCACTGTCTCAGCAGTGCCTGCTGATTGTCTTCAAAAGGATGTCGCAGCTCAAATGCGTCCCGCCACGCATTGAGTAGATCCGCAAATTACACAGCTCCAAGACCACACAGCCCCTTCCTTACAATGTCACAAGCCTTCGCCAACTTCCTTCCCGAACTTGTTGACTTGGAGCCGTGGTATGAGAACTTTCGTTGGCAACCCGTGTGTAAAAGGATGCCCTGCGACGTGCCTCCTGTTTCGTACCCGAAATTATCGAGTCGCCACGCGGCCATGTCAGCTTCCACAGAGCTTTCCTTTCCAGAGAAGAAGAGATGCGACTCGGGCGACGACGAATCTGCTACAGTTGGGAAAAAACGTTGCTTGGACGAAGACGTCAGCCGCCATAGCCCCAAGAAGTCGAGGGGTCTCAACTCGAAATTAGACAATGCTGCTATCATCCAGCACATGCTCAACGACGCGCTTATCGCGGCGGGAAACTCTCTTCCAGCAAGCCAAGCCGTCGTGCCGTCGTGTGTCGCCGGAAACACCATAGAAGCGTTTCCGCGATTTAAGGTGGAAGTAATTTCCTCGCGTTGTGACGAATTGTCTGCTCAGCGGGCTGTTTTAGCGGATTGTCGCGACACAGCTGCTGCTCCGACGCCGCCGCACCCAGATCATCTCGTTATGCCTAACCGTGGATCTCAAGGGAGCGGAAATAGTTCCGGAAATATCCAGCCGAGAAGTATGCGCGAGAAGAATCGCCGCCACCGCATCTTGTAAGCCTTTTTTTCTTTTTTCTTTTTTAGACATCTTGACAAATCAAACCGAGTCTGTGCTTTTTTCTAATATCCTAAGTCGCGACTCGGTGTCTGCTGTCTGTTCGAATAAATCGCTAATCGTCTTCAATACTGTTTCTTATTTTTAGGGCTGGGTTCAACAAACTCGAAAACGTTATTCCGTCCACGTTTTGTCAGCAGAGGCGGGCGTCGTTCACCAAGATGGACACGTGCACCTTAATCAGCATGGCTATCCAATACATTAAAAGCCTGGAACAACGGCGCGAAAACTTAGCCAAGCTTTGTATGAGCAGCGTGATGCTTGGCGTGCAGACACTCCCGTAAATTGTGGGAACCATTCTCTGGCAAGCTAGCGGCGAAGGCCTCAGTGATTGTGTGAATGTTGTTGCCTCAGAGCTTGTGTAAATCTTGTTAATAACGCTGATAAATTATTGATACCGTATGGTTCAACATAGAGTGTGGTTCCGTGGAGTATTTTAGTGAATCAATCAGGTGTGCTTTCGAAGTCGTGTAGAAGGTCACCTACTCCGTAACAAAGCCACCACTCGGTGGTCCCCACACTGCTTACAAATCACCTGAGAATCGTCACTTCTCGTGTCACCTTGGGCTGGTTATGACACGAGTTCCCGCCTGCATCACCTGCTTGCCAGCGCATCACCCAACCCAAGACTCTCTCCCATGCGGCAATATCGAGTAGCATCAACACCGCAGCCTTGGGCGTTAGGCACTGCGCGCCGAGGGCAGTTCAGTTCAGTATAGCAGCGATCAATTTGCATTTGACCGTGTCGCGATGGTCTCGGGCTAGCGGCGTGCGAGCCTACTTAGGCCCTTCGGTTAGGGTATTTTCAGGATGTTGAATTTGTGCTTGTCCCTGCCTCGTTTCACTGGAGCACAGCACTGCTTATTGAGACTGCCTTGTTCTACTGGCGTACAGCACGGCTTACTAAGATGCACGGCAAATATTCAATGCAGGCAGATTAGTGGTTGGCTAGATATTAAGGACCGGTCGCAGGTAGTAAAAGCTCAAGGGCAAGAGGCAGGAAGTATGGACGTTGTCGAAGATACATCAAGCTCGTCAAAAAGCTCGCGGTTTTCGAAACAATCAGCAAGCGAAGTGTCGAAACGCAGTGAGGAGAAGCCAGTTCATGCAGTCATTCTTGTTCACGGCATCGTGTCCACGTAGGTCTCGCAAGTTATCGCCATTGATCCAGCCATCGCTTGTCATTCGAAGTCTGAATCCAGCTCGTACGGTCATCCATGACATGAACTTTCAGAGTACGTGATTGGGATTACCTTCGCGGGGAGCTGAAGAAACGACTGGGCAAGCGATTTCTCATCTACGGTCAGTAAAAAGTCGTCGCCTTAGTAGTTCTCGAGCGCAGCAGTGCTCAACATTTCAAATCAACTTGTAACCTAATATCGCGATACCTGTGAAATTCCAGCGAGCTCGTCTAACGAGTTTCTCCTCACCTTCCAAGGCGTCATTACGGCCGGAGAACGACTGGCCAATGAGGTGAGCAATCGATCTCGCTTTCGCTGTCACCAACGCATGTGCAAGCTTGTTAACACCTTCCCCAGATGTGTGATCCACGAACAGGTCAGGACTCTTGTTAAAAAGAATCCCAGTCTACAAAGAATAACATTCGTGGCCCATTCATTAGGTGGCCTGTTTGTTCGATACGCGATTGCCTTGCTGCACGAGCCGCATAACAGGTCAGCCGCTTAGTTCTGTCTGTCCACGACTGTTGTCGCTTCTTGTTGGAATTTCATTTGTATGTCCGTAATTTGTGCAGCGAGAAAGCTAGTGTTGGAGGCTCTAAACAGCAACCTGGATCGATTGCTGGTTTGGAGCCAGTCTGTTTCATCACATTGGCTACCCCACACTTAGGAGTGTCTGGAAAAGGCCAGGTACGCCCCACTTGTCGTGTTTTCATGATGAATAAGGCTGGCTTGTACATATTTGATGCTTCCTACTGTAATCCCCATTGCAGCTTCCGTTCCTTCTTGGTTTGAATGCTCTGGAGAAACTCGCTCCGTCTGTAGCTCCATTCATCACTGGGGAAACAGGGCGCCAGCTTTTTCTTGGTGATGGTTCAATGAAAGATAAGAAGCTCCCTATTCTTGTTGAAATGGCTGCTGATAGCCAAGGCAAACCATTTCTGTGAGTATATTCCAGTCGTGCTTGTTCAAATGAGACACTAATTATGGAGGTGAAGTTGCTGAATTGCACCCTGCATTTTCCTCAGGTCAGCGCTTCGAGCATTTAGGTTGAGGCTGCTTTACGCAAACGCTGGCTACGACCGCATGGTTGGCTGGCAGACCTCTTCTATCCGCAGAGCAGCTGAGCTTCCCATGGTATGTGTGTATTGGCGGGATTGGTTCTTAGGCGTAATAGTAGGGACAGCTTGGGAGCTGAGTACCCTGACAAGCTCTTTTCTGTTGCAGATTCCGAAGGCAGCAATTAGTCCGCTTTATCGCCACATTGTGCTCGTCCAGAATTATCCTGCTGTCGAGGGCAATAACTTGCCTGATCCACATGCTTTCACCACTGACCCATCAAATGATTTCGAGCTTTATCACGGTAATTCTTTGCTTTAGGGACGTTTTGCCTGTGTTACATGTTCCAATGGCTGATGCACCAACAAAACACGAATATGATTGTGCAGAGTATATGATTGCCGGATTGCAACAAGTCTCATGGAGGAAGGTGGACGTGAACTTTGAGGAGGCGTTTTTGCCATTCTTCGCTCACAACTACATCCATGTAAGTCGCTGACAAGTTTCTTATCTTCCTATCCTTCTCTTTGCTGATGTGTATGCAACGTAGTCCTCACCTGCTTTGCTTATTATGTTTGCAGGTGAAAATGGAGTGGTTGCACTTTGAAGGTGCTGGAGTTATTAGACATGTAGCTGACACGATTCTCGAGCAGCATTCTGACGCCTTTCTTAGCAAACTGTAAGAAATTCTGACAGTCTTTCTGGAATGTTTATAGATGTTTTTCATAGCAAACTGTGACCATCGGTCATTCGTCAACTGGAGTGGTAGTCCTTTTTAAGCCGGTTATCCTGGCTCTCTCAAATTGACAGACTTTTAGTACAAATATCTCCCCATACATCTTGCAACTGCTCTTTGAAGCCACTTCAAGGAGCATGTCACAAAAACGCATCGCGCCACCCTTCATTGCTCGGTTAGCACAACTTCTCGCCATTATGTACACAAACTCTGAAGGTACAGCTCATTCACCCAACCGTCATCCTCCCGTCAGGGCCTCAGATTCCATGAATTTTACCCTGATTTCCTGATGTTTGACCCCGGTTTTTTATTGTAACCCTGATGAATCAGCCTTTTTGTTTTTACAACCCTGATGAATCAGTGTTTTTCTTTTCCTAATCCTGATTTTCCAGTGTTTCTAGTTTGTCGACACTGACGAGTCAGTGTTGTATCGGAGACGACCCTGAAACCAAAAACTCCGTGATTCTCGCAGTTTTGCGCGCCGTCATCATGCATGAACCCACCCTGCACCGACGCCACCCTGCGGCGCGCCCAGATACAGTTGAACGGGTTAATTTCGGGCTGTGTTGGCAAAACGGCGTAAAGAGATTGGCTGTCCCAGCTGAAGCAATGTACCGTTGTCACGTTGGATAACCTACACTTGTCATTACTTTCCATTGATGTGCACAAACAACCAAGCCTAGTGGCCCAGTGGGCCAGTGGTCTGCCTTGTTCTTTCCACCAGGGCAGGGCGTGCTGGGGCGGCCCGCTCAGGCACCCCACGCAGGGGGTCTCGTGATTCTGCCATTCCAGCTCTCCAGACTCCATCCCTTTCCGAAACATCAATCTCTGCAGTCTCTCTGAAGCCTGCTCGGCAGGCTCTCTCTCTCCCAGGGTTTCTCGTTACTACTCACCGATTCAGGAAGGTGACGTGAACGCGCCATGGCGATCACCGGTGAGAACAGCTGCGGTGATGATGACGACGATGCACTTTACGCCGCCACCGAGATGCTGGAGGCCAGAACGGGACTAGATTTTCTAGTTTCCGTGCTCTCCCATGAAAAAGAGAAGCCAGGTCCTGTCGCCTCAGTAGCAAACACTGGTGAAGCGTCTGGCCTCTGCCGCGGAGACGATCGTCCCCAGCCCGCGCATACTGCTAAGCCGGCCGTGCCGTCAGCAGCCGGACCGAGCGTCCGCTTGCCATCTCGTGCGTCGTCGTCGAAGCCTCCGCCTCGTTACAAGCAGGCCGTGCTCCGTTGGGCCGATCCTACAGATCCTGGACGTCCTCTCGCTGATGACGGCGAGTCGGTAAATCACGTTACGCCCACGCCATTTAACTCTAAAAAACCGTCACTAACCACTCTGATTTACGAAGAGGCCCTTGAAACGTTCAAGTCGACGTGGTCGACCGACTACCCATGGCTCATCCTCATAAAAAACACTGCTGGCATGCCTGCGTTCAAGTGCAGATTGTGCATCGACTTTGCAGGTGACGGTGGCAAGTGTGGCAAGAGTGGGCTGGGCACGGTGCAACCGATCTTCAGACCCAAGCCTTCAAGCGGCATGCCGCGACGAACAAGCACCAGTTGGCCATCAATCACCAGAAGCAGATGCTAGCTCAGGCTGGGATGCGCGGCTGTCGGACCTCATGTGCATGGCATTGCTGCCGTACGAGCCCGACTGGGCGGAGGTGGTGAAGATCTGGAGGGCGTACAAGAAGCGCAAGCCCATCACAACAGTGGCAGCACCAAAGAAGCAACCTAGTGCTAAGGGGAAAGAGAAGGTGGACGAGGATGCTGCTAGTGGTGCTGGCTCTGGGTGGGGGACAGAGACCCCCGTGCACAGGCACGGTTCTATGAGCGATGGTGGTGGTAGTGACGAAGATGAAGACATGTGTGTGATGTGAATTGTGTGTGCGGTGTGAGCGCCAAGTGGTCTGTGCCTGTAGTTAGATTAGAAGCTCATTAGAACCATATTTTAACTTTTCTTAACTTATTATACTTGTGATACCGGTAGTTGTTGTGGATTCTCACCGCCAGTGTTTTTTTTTAACTCACGCTGATGTGTCAGGGTTTTTTTTTTTCTAACCCTGAGAAATCAGTGTTTCTCCATTTACAACCCTGATGATCAGTGTTACAGCCCCAAAGGACCCTGAGTGCTCAGGGTCACCCAAAACGAATCTGAGGCCCTGCCTCCCGTCCTCACTGCACTCTACGCAACTCTTGGGTGAGTAGTTCCAGATTGCCTCCTGCAAGAATCTAACCCCATTTAACCCCACGGTGTTGAACAGATAGCTATTCTTCGTATCCTTATTAGCCACCCACACTTTTGCACCCAGATCAGCTGAGCACTTGTCGCCAACCTCCATTCCTGTCTCGTCATGCCAGCCTTTTTCCAAATCAGGCTCAGTGGCTGCTTCCGCCAGCTCGTGGCCAATTGTTGCTATCATGCTGTCCACGCCCCAGTTTCCATTTGGCGTTTTGCTGGCAAGCAAGAGGACAGCGGCAACAAGAAATAGTAATTGGTAAGATTATGAATCAAGGGGCGCAGTTGAGCAGCACATGCAGCGGATGAGAGAGGAAGAGTGAGGAGCGATATGGAATGGACGAAGTGGGCATGAGATGAATGGACAGCAGAGAAGTCATCGCACACTTACTAGTAGTACTCGCTCTGTCCAAGAACGCAGGAAGAGTCAGCGCACTGGCGAATAGGGTTACCGACGTGAATGTACTGATACAGCTTGCTGACTCCATTCTTGATCCCCGTAAACGCTGTTCGGAGTCCACAGTATCTGTCACAGAAGCCATCCCCACCAATGGTAACCGTAACATCCGCGCTGGTGAGCACCATGTAGATCCCATTAGCGTCCAAGGGAAAGCGCTTGGTGGTCATTATCTGCCTCTCGATAGCTGCAATTGGCAATCAGCAAGCGACCCAACATTAGAATTATATGATTACTAGGTGGGATCCCACTAGGTATATATGACCAGTCACATGGCACCACAGCATCCAATGCTACCTTACCTCCAATGATGCTCGAGCTTGTGTACTTATCGTAGGCTGTGCCTGTTAATTTGACCTGCATGAGTTTCCAGCAACACAGAGCAGCGTAAAGGGTCTTAGAGGGATGCAGAGAGATGAAATTGCAATGCAGAGCATTGACAGTGGAAACTGTAGCAGGGAGGGAGGCAGGTAGCTCCCGGTATAGGTAAGGAGCGGGGCAGAGACTAAGGTCCGCAAAAATTCATCGCTTCTTCGTCCTACGTTACTGACCCGACCAGATCATGTGGGACCAAACTGCCTCCTGTTGGCATAAACCACAAAACTTGGAGTCAGTACCTTGGGAGTGATGTAGTAGTATTTGCCGTTGGATATCTGGTAGTAGCGCGATGCAATCATCTTCCACCATCCGCGCACTGTCGCGAATTTCTGAAGGTGACACGGCGGGGAGGAGGGAAATCACAGGAGCTAAGTGTGACAACAGTGGGGGGTGGCAGGGGGCTAAGTCGGCATCACAGAGGGCACAGTTACTATGAGTGTTACAGAGGGGGAAGGAGGGGAGGGTACGGATTGGTTTTCCGAGGCACACGGCGAGCTCACCGAGGTGTAGGAGGTTGAAGAAATGGACTCGATGAAATTCTCCACGATGTTCACTTCCGACTGATACCACGTGCCGTAGTAGATTATGTAGAGATTAATCGGCTGTGTGAGCACGGCTCCGCCGTAGTAGTTTATTTGGTAGTTATTCTCCTTCATGGTTTCCGTGCGGTTCGAGAAGCGGTGATACTCCTTTTCCGGGTCCGCGCCGAGGATGGACATGCGATGCAGGAAGCTCCCGTAGGTGCGCTTCGCGCGCGCCTCGGCTTCGATGCGCTTCTTGACATCTAGTAGCACCGCGCTGTCCGCTGGAAAGACCTCCTCGCCATTCGCGCTTTTAAGATGGATTTCGGGGGCTGGCATTCCCCCCTCAGATTCGAACGGGCTTAGCGGAAGCTTCGAGTGGCCGATCTTGAGGTCTCTGAAACGCGCGTGCTGCTGGTGGGCCGGCGGAATGACGACACGGTGGCGATTAAAGAATCCGTGAGCACACGGAGATTTAATGGCGGAAAGGATGAAGGAAAGGAATATAAACTGTAGGGGACGTGTGAAGGCCATGACGCAAAGGTTGCCCTGCGCTTATAATCTGTCAGAAAGAAACGATTACAACTATGCGAGGCAGTTTCGCTAAGAGAAAGAGTTATCCTACCTAAACTATTGTAAGAGAAGCTGTTCACCTAAAGATTTTTTATCCGCGTAATGCATCAAATTCAACTGCGAGGTCGGTGATGCTGTTCTGGCTTGAACGTGTGCGCCGTCTTGGGATATATGTAGTCGAGCAGCTTGACTGGAAGAACAAATGTTTTGGTTTGGTGTGAGTTGGGAGGGATTGATGCAGCTCTGGGTTTCTTAGGGAAATGGAGTAGTCGAAAGGGCAACGAAATTGTCGTCCGAAATCGTCGATATTCGCAGTCCCCTGTAAACTACTATCAGCAAACGACAGTCATCGTCTGCGACGCCAGCAGGGCACGGTCACTGCCCGGTTGTTCTGTTACAACACAGAAAGGTAGGTTTCGCCAGAATCGCAGGAGTCAGATGTGTCAACGCAGAGGTGATGCCGCGAAGGAATCCAACGAAGGTAGTGACCAGTTGTCCATCCGGAGAATCTTCGCGAAAAAGGCTGGTTACGCAACCTGACATTCTATCACTCGGCTGGACACTGCTGGATCGTGTATTCTCGCCGAAGGTTGACAAGGATGGTCATCCAAATCCTCGTCGCATCGCGTCTGCAGCAGCCACGTGGAAAGGGCTTGAGCAATTCCCGACTTCCGTTGAACCACTGTGACCAAAGGTGCACCGCGTATGAAATATTAACATTAGTGCAATGAGCATTCGTTTGCTGTTACTACGGTGAGCTACGCTAAAATTTTACCAGCTGCTCTTTTATTATAAGGTTTCGCCTGCACCTTGACCAGTATTTCTGGTACGCATGGAGAAAGCTCAACCTTGTACAAGTGGCAAAGGCAAACTGCAGAATCATTCAAATGCTGTATGTGCAACACAATCCTCATTGCACTCGACCGGGCAAATTCCTTTCCAACATGATCCCCTCCCCACAACTGCCTGCCAACTGCCAACTCCATACACATTCACCTCTCACAGTCTGTTGTATCTCTCCCAATGTTCTCACTAGCTGTCGCTATCCCCATCATGCCCAACATCGCACGCTCCTTGCCAAACCTATCCAACACTGTCCCTCTCCCACTACCAGCATGGTCCGATCTCCCACTTCCCACTCTAGACCCTGACGATCCAATGGCTCCTATTCCCCCATCACCAGCAGAAATCCTATCAGAAAGAGAAGCACTGATAACAGCCCAGCACTCCACTGCATCTATGCTAAAGTTTGGTGATGAAGAGAGTGAAGGGGAGTTGAATGTGGTGCTGGGGCGAGAGTGACCAGAGTCGAAATCCGCCGAGAGGAAAAGGCCGAAATGACCCGGTTGGCCGCCCAGACCAATGCCATTGGGAATGGATTCGGACGCGAATCCTGATGCACACTGTGGTTGGTAGGAAGGTGAGGGAGAGGTAGGTATATCAGCCAAACAGCGGGACTGTAAGAAAAGCAGCAGCAACGGGAAGGAAGAGAAAGGAGAAAAACATGAGTCTCTTGCCATGTACTCACGATAACACCACGTAACCATTGTATGTTGGTGCTGGTGCCGGCTGCTTTCAAAACAGCAGCGGTGGGTTTTGAGACGTCTCAACACTCACACTACCAGACATCCATCCATAACAACTCAACCTCAGACAACACCACGCACCCACTGTATGTTGGTGCTGGTGCCGGCTGCTTCCAAAACAGCAGCGGTGGGTTTTGAGACGTTTCAACACTCACACTGCCAGACATCCATCCATAACAACTCAACCTCTGACAACACCACGCACCCACTGTATGTTGGTGCTGGTGCGGGCTGCTTTGTCAATAGCAGCGGCGGGGAGGATTTTTTAGTCGACACGAAAATCGTAGCAACATAACGTCTGACAGAACCACGTACCCACTGTATGTTGGTGCTGGTGCCGGCTGCTTTGAAAACAGCAGCGGCGGGGAGGAAGGAGAAGAGGAAGGAGCGCATGTCACCAAAGAAAGCGCTGCCTCGCTCCCACGGCTTGGAAGCAAAGGCCCCAAAGATGGCTCCAGCTGAGTCACGGACCACGAGAACGGTTGGGTGTGGTACCGATGACACCTGGGAAGGAAAGGGGGGAAGGGCAAGTAGACAAGGAGAACAGGATTTTAAAACGTCTGTACAAAGGCTGAACTGGGTGCTGCTGCTGATGCTGTACCACTATTTGCTTTGCGCCATATGAGAGATGACAGCAGCTGCTGCTGCCGCCACCCTATCCTTTCCTTCCCTCTGTTCCCCAAGCACAAGAACGACAATGCAGGCTATTCTTATACTACTGTGGCCAGTCCTACCTTCCCCAGAAACGAGTTGAAGCTTAGGCCATGCAGTTTGCTGCTGTACAGCAAACACCACTCCCGACACTCTTTGTCCTGTAGTGCACCGGCTATGTGCCACGTCAGCTCCTTCTGAAGCAGCCACGTTTCCTCCCTACTATCCCGCCGCTGCACCCCTGCTTCTGAGATGATCTGGCGGCCGCTGGCGGTGACAGCTGGCGCAACAAGAGTGGGTAGCGGCGGACCTGGAAAGGACAAAGAGGGCAGAAGCAGTGAAGGAAGTGGAACATTCGTTAAAAGCACAAGTGGAACATTCATTTTGAGATTCTACAACAACGGGGGATCACTCAGTTACACAAGGACCATTCAGTTACGAAGGAACTATGTCTCCGTAAACAATTTCTGGAAGCTCCCAAAGTATGCGTCCACTACAGTGTTCCGTGACAAAAAAAAAAAAAAAAAAAAAAAAAAAAAACAAATCAGAGACTCACGGAGATCTGGAGGGGTAAGGAGACTTCGGAGAAACTTCTTGACAGCAGGGACCGCGGTCCACCATCGAACAGCATCCTGGTAGGAAAGCTCCCTTCCATCATCAGCAGCAACACTGCCACCATCGTCATCAGCTCTGGTATCATCATCAACGCTGGGATCAGCAGCAAAACTGGCACCAGCACTACCATCCCTACCTACACTCTCCCCTTCTTGCTCTGGCCTCCCTACTTCTTTCCCCTCTGGCTGCTCCTGCCCTCCTCCTGCTCGATCCAATGGTGCTGCTGAAGCTGCAGAAGCATGAAGAGAAGCAGCAGCAGTGGAAGACTGACCAGAAGATGGGTGGAGAGCGGTAGAAGTGGGTGAGGAGGAATCACGGGAGGAGTGACTGAGAGAAGCCCGGGTACTAGAGGTGGGACTGGATGGGAAGGCAGAGGAGACGAAGGCTTGGATGAGGGCAGGCGGGAGAGTGTGCTGGGGACCGAAGACAGTGGTGAGAGCACTGCGGATGACCTCCTCTACCTCCCTCCTGCAGTGGAGAAAGGTGATGGGAGCAAACGGACACATCATTTAGATGCATTTTGTTTTTTAAACGATTTTCACAATTTACATGTCACTTATGATTTTTCTAACAAATAACAACTCCGCTCAGAAAACATTCTGAATGTTTGCCTGTCAACCTTTCCTGACTTGAGAATGTCCATGACTTGAATGCACTTTCGGTCAACTTTGAGAATTCTCAAAAGTTTCTCATATATTCCCGACTCCGGAAACATTTTGAATGTTTACCTGTCGATCTTTCCTGACTTGAGAACGTCCATGACTTGAAAGCACATACGGTCAATTTCATCTGGTGAACCCTTGTCGAACACGGCCTGATTGATGGGAAAATATTCAAGAGGAATTGGAGGGTACAGAATATAATGTTGAGAGTTGAATGGCAGTAAATGTCGATGTCAGCAGGTGAACCCTTGTTGAACATGGTCTGATGGAAGGGAAACAAAATCTGACCAGGGATTGGTGGGCACAGATGGCATTAAATGTCAAAATCACCTGGTGAACCCTCGTCAAACACAGCCTGATCTCGCATATTTAAAGTCGAAACCCTTCGTAATCTGCAAAAATGAAACAACACAACAAAACCTTTCACGGCGTAAAAGACGGGACCAAACCTTGACAGCTGCGAACAACTGGAAGCACATCAGCCCATCCTTGTTCCCCTGAGTTGCGATCTCAAAGAGGCGAGCCCCCAGACTGCCGTGAATGCCATAGTATGCCTGGCGGACAGATGGGACGGTAGGCACACATATGGGACAGAAGCAAACCAAGATGGAGAGACAGATGGGACACACATGAGTGGCGATCTCAAAGAGGCGAGCCCCCAGACTGCCGTGAATGCCATAATATGCCTGGCGGACAGAGTGGACACACAGATGGGATGGGGAACATACAGATGCGAGAAAGTAATACGGGATATGGCACACAGATGGGAGAAAGTAATACGGGATATGGCACACAGATGGAGCACATGGCTCATAAGTGAAACCAGACAGCCGAGCAGAGGCGAGCAGGGAGTTGGAGTGGAGTGCGGTGCAGAGCAGTGCAGCTAGGTACCCATGAAGCAGTACCTGGAACACACTCGCTATGACATGTTGCCCGTTGCTGCGTGACTGTGCCGCGAGTGACACAAACAGGCGCTGCAACTCGTCCCACTCCCGAGGCGAGTACAGCCTGCCTGGCAGGAGGGGGTGCAGGCAGGAGGGACAAGAACACGAAAATTCCAATGACTGATTCAGAGATACAAATTTTTGCAGCTCTCCCGAGGCGAGTACAGCCTACCTGGCAACAGGGGGTGCAGGGAGGAGGGACAAGCAAGCACACGGCAATCCTAATGAATCAGTCAGGGATGAGGTCATCTCCAGCTCCTCCCACTCCCGAGGCGAGTACAGCCTGCCTGGCAGGAATGGGTGCAGGCAGGAGCGAGAAGCAAGCAAATGGCAAGTTCAAAACGGTTTTTGCAGCTCGTCCAACTCCCGAAGCGAGTACAGCAGCCAGGAGGCACAAGAGCAGGGAAATCCCAATAAATTCGGTTATGAATGACCGAATAAAAGGTAAAGAACATTTATTTTATGTAGGTCTTCACAGCTGAAACCATTCCTACTGCTCTTGTTCATAGACCTGGCTACAAACAGAATCTGGCTACAGTTGATTATGTCCTCTTGCATCTGCAGCCGGGAATATCGCAAAATCGGAAAAAAACTTGCAGTCACGGCAGACCTTGACCGACCTTTTTAGCCGGTCAGTTCCTTCCGTCGACTGCTCGGCTCCCATCCTGTGGTGAACGTTCTTCGAGAATTCTCCCAAAAATGGCCGACTCTCGTTGCGATGTGACACCTAAGTCGGTTCAAAAATAGCTCTGAAATTGCGATTACCAAGAAAATAAGAGGCGTTGCAACTGATCATTTTCTAGACACTGCAGCAGACGCTGCTGCCTGTTGTCGAATTTCTAGTCCTGCTGCTTGATGGTGTGAGTTTGTTACTCATTCGCTCATGCGGTTCAGTTGGGTTCCTTACGCTTCAACACGGTTTAATGCTGAACCGTTATGAACCGTAACGAGCCGAACATATATCCGTGGTTCATAGAATGTCCGTCTTCTTCCTCTCCATGCAGGTCGAGGTTCCTGAATTTAGTCAATAAAGCTTGCTAAACAGTCCTTCGTGGCAAGGTATAACGGATCACATTCATTAAAAACACTCGCATCACAACCAACAAAGAAACAGGCACCAATGTGACAACATTGCACACAAAAAGGCGGAATGAAGCAGGGCTCTGCACATGTATCTAGCACGAGAGTAGGTACACACGCAGGCACTAACTTCATGCTTTTCTGATAATATATTCACGACCGCCATCTAATCCTTTTCTTGCGCCTGGAGTCCCCAAACTCTGCGCGTCCAGCATCGATGAGAGCGAGTCGGCAAAATGCCGTGAGGGCGGATGAGCTGCGTCTGACGATCCGAAGGAGGGAAACGAGGATGTTCCAGATTGGGAGCTGAAAAGAGACCCCGTTGGTGCTGACATGGCATGGGATGGCATAACGCTCAGGCTGTGGTGGATACTGGCAAACTTTGCCTGAAGTGCATGCACCTGGAACGAAGGGCAAGTAAGAGCAAAGATACAAGCGGACAAGAAAGGAGGTTGAGAAGTGGCAATTCACGCTTTGCACAATGGTGCCGAGACCAGGACAAGAACACATGACGTCCATACCCTCTCTCATCCACGTACCTCCTTGGCCCGTTTTCACATACCCAAGAATAAACTGTCTCAGTTCCTCAGTTCTCATTCTGCCCCAACTGGTCCTGACCTAAGAAACAACAAGAATCCACATCCACACCAGTATCCAGGCAAACATTCCCTACCCACCCACACTCCGCTCCCCCCACTCCCTCACTCACCCGCCTCAGCTCTTCATCGAGCGCCCACGGCTCCTCTCCAGCTACCCACGCACTCTCGAGATATCAAACAACCCGTCCAATCCACCCCCAACAACCGGACTCCCAATTTCTTGCCCCCCTAACACTCACCCGCCTAAGCTCTTCATCCAGCTCCCCGCGGCTCCTCTCCAGCTGCCCGCGCACTCTCGAGATATCAAACACCGCGTCCAATCCACCCCCCGCCACCGCCTCCAGGTCCTCCCTCAACCTCGCCGGAAACCGGTCCATGAGAGGCATCAGAAAGAAGCAGTTGAACTTGAGCTCAGCAGACATCACAAAGTGGTCCCGGATCCCCTCGAATATCTGCATGACTAGAGCGTTTACTATGTCTTCGGAGGAAGGGGCGAGGCGGCGTGTCCAGAGGGTGGATTCGAGGAGATCCGCTAGCCTCCCTCCTGTGCCACTGCCACCTGCTGCTGAACCAGCAGCAGCAGCACCGGCAGTAGCACCACTGCCAGCACCGCCACCAGCAGTAGCACTAGCGGTGGTACCAGTAGCACTGGATCGGCCGGGTCCGCCCACTGCCCCTCTGTCCCCCCGGCCGTCATCGCTTGGGCTTGACTGGTAGTCGGTCGGGCCAAAGGGCGGCGAGTTTTGTCTGCTTGTGGCAACTGGGACTGGCATTGGCGTGGATGCTTCGAAGGCGCCGACAGCAGCGAGGAGGGAGGAGTCCTGGTTGGGCATGGCTGAGTCGAAGAATGAACGCAGGGCAGAGCGAGACTGCATGGGGGGAGAGAGGGCGAGGGGGGGGTGGTGGTGGGGTTAAAAAAAGGGAGCAGCGAGGAGGGAGGAGTCGTGGTTGGGCATGGCTCAGTCGAAGAAGGAACGCAGGGCAGAGCGAGACTGCAAAATGGGGGGGGGGAGGGTTTGGAAGAAGGGGAACAAGTGAGGAAGTATGAGCAAGGAGTGAGCGTTAGGAGGGAGCAGGAAGGAGGGAGGAGTCGTGGTTGGGCATGGCCGAGTCAAAGAAGGAACGCAGGGCGGAGCGAGACTGCAAGGGCCGGAAGAATGGAAAGGACGGAGAGGGGCCAGAAAAAAAGGGCAGTGAGGAAGAGAGGGACACTGCTGTGCGTGGCTGAAGAAATATTCATTACATTTGTGGTGCGAAACTAAGGAGAGAGGAGGGTTGTGAGAGGGAACAGGAGGAGATGGCCTACCCTGTTATGCAGAGACCATGTGACGAAGCGGGTGGTGCTGGTGAGATCCTCCATGCACCTGAGGGCGGGTAGCAAAAAAAGCACGGATTTGCAAGCAGAGGAGGTTCAGCCTGAAACACGTGTGTTGAACACGTGTGTACTGGAGTGGCCGCGTGTTGTAGCGAGTAGTGCTGGTGAGATCCTCCATGCACCTGAGGGCACGCAGCAGAAGGCGGGTGGAGAGGCAGAGGCCAGAAAAGACAGGTGTAGTCTGACTCTGAACTGAAACTTGTGTGTTGAACATGGTGTTGTGGAGTGAGCACATGTTAAAGCGAGTGGTGCTGGTGAGATCCTCCATGCACCTGAGGGCACGCAGCAGAGGGCAGGTGGAGAGAGACGAACGGCAGAACGACAGGGATTCGCAAGCAGAGGAGGCTTAGTCTGAAACGTGTGGGGCGCTCACTTGTCAATGCAGGACCATTCAGTGGAGGCGTGTGCACGAACCGCACGACTTATGCTACGACCCCCGCACCCTCCCCCACCGCTCACTGTCAGCCCCCCAACCTGCCCAACCTCCCCAACGTGTGGCACCCTCTCTCACTGCTCAACTGCTTAACACCCCAACCTGCCCAGCCTCGCCTAACTTGTGGCACCTTCTCTCTCTGCCTCTCACTTGTCAATGCAGGAGCGCTCTGTCGTGTCCACAAACTTGTGGCACGACTCCTGCACTCTCCCTTACTGCTCACTCTCAGCCTCCCAACCTGCCCGACCCACACCCCCCCCCTTTGCCTCACTTGTCAATGCAGGAGGGTTGAGTAGTGTCCACGAACTTGTGGCACGACTCCTGCACCCACTACCCACTGTCAGCTCCCTAACCCTTCCTGAATCCCCCCATTCCCCTCTCAGCTCACTTGTCAATGCAGGAGCGTTCAGTGGCGTCCACAAACTTGTGGTACGAACGTGTGGCACCCTCTCTCACTGCCCAACCTACCCAACCTGCCCGACCTACCCAACCTGCCCGACCTACCCAACCTGCCCAAACGCCCGTCCTGTCCCTCACCTGTCGATGCAGGAGCGCTCAGTAGCGTCCACAAACTTGTGGTACGACTCCTGCACTCGCTCTATGAACGTTTCATGCACCAGCATGGGCTCGTTGTCCCTCTGAGGAGGGGGAGAAGGGAAAGTGACAGGCACATAGAGGTGGTTTGTGGACGTGAGTCAGCTTGTGGTACGACTCCCGCACTCGCTCTATGAACGTCTCGTGCACCAGCATCGGCTCGTTGTCCCTCTGAGCAGTGGTGGGGAAGAAGGGAGAGGGCGGAGGGGAAGGGAGACAGGAGGGGAAAGATAATATTGAATGTCTCGAGCACCAGCCTCGACTCGTTGTCCCTCTAACCGAGGGAATGAGCGGCGTTTTTGAGTTGACTCAAAAGCAGCCTCGACTCGTTGTCCCTCTAACCGAGGGAATGAGCGGCAGGTGACTTGTGAATGAGTGCAATCTTGTCGTGTGACTCCTCCTGCACTCTCACTCTATCAGCATCTCACCTCAACAAGCCCCGTGGCTATTGAGACGATTTTGAGGTGCCTTAAAAAAATCGCTGCATGAGCATCTCACCTCGACCAGCAAAGTGGCTCACCTTGAGTAGGAAGAGCACGATGGGCAGCAGTCGTCCCACAATGTGTGATAAACGGAACCCGAGCTGACATGAGAGGGAAGGGAGGAGGGAAGCGGGGAGGGAAGGTAGGAGGGAATACAAAATTAGGCCCCTCAAAAAGGACAGGGAGCATGTTGGAGCAGATGAGAGAAAGGTGGGAAACCGAAGTTGCTCTGTGCAGAGTTTTTTTTTGTTGAGATAAAAACGCATCCCACAACACGTAACCCGGCAGATCATACTGACCCCCAAGCCATACCTGTCGAAGGAATGGCTCGAATACGTCCCAAGCCTTGGCAACAGCAATCACACATGCCGTCCTGCCAGGCACGAGAAAGGAGAGAGAGAGGAGAGAAAAATGCCAGCAGGGAGTAGGCAAAAGGAAAATAAATTATTGCGTCATGAGGCAGTCAAAGGATGCAGTCGTAAGGGCGGTAGGCGCAGGGGCGGCAACCCCAACGGACACCAATTGAAGCGCACAATATTTACAAACCAGATAGGAAGATAGCGCAAGAGAAGCCCGAGAAGCACCTGAAGCGCAAGAAGTGCAAGAAGCACCTGAAGCGAAAGAAGTGCAAGAAGCACCTGAAGCGCAAGAAGTGCAAGAAGCACCTGAAGTAGTCGGTGCCGTCGTGCACGCCCTCTACACTACGCACTCTCTCGTGCCCGAAACACGAGCGGAGCTCCATGCAAAGCGCAAGAGAACCCAAATCCCAAGAAAGAGAGAATACAAGGTGTGCAAGCGCATTGAAATACCCACCTGAAGTAGTTGGTGCCGTCGTGCACGTCCTCCGCATCGCACACATTCTTGAGTGCCAGAGACACAAGAACTGCTCCAAGCAGAGCGCAAGAGAATCCAGAGGCCAAGAGAAGAGAGCACAGAGAGAGCAAGAGAGGAGCGCATAGAAAGCAAGGGAATTGCAATACCCACCTGAAGTAGTTGGTGCCATCGTGCACGTCCTCCACACCGCACGCATTCACTATCTCCTCCCTTGATATCGCAGGGCACCGCACTGCACCCACCACGAACCGGAACTCCGCCATTGCCCGGTGGTACTGCGCCCCTCCAAAGAGCCGCATGCTGGCGTTCTGATGGAAGGGGGGTTGGCGAAGGATGGGGGGAATATAGGTAGCACTGAGGCGACAAGGGAGAGGAGAGATGCAACGGACATTAGAAACAGAGCCTTGAACCCTGCCATTGCCCGGTGGTACTGCTCCCCTCTAAAGAGACGCATGCTTGCGTTCTGATAGGGGTGGGGGGGGGATGGGGGGAATATAGGTAGCACTGAGGCGACAAGGGAGAGGAGAGATGCAACAGACATTTGAAACAGAGCCTCGAACCCTGCCGTTGCCCGGTGGTACTGCGCCGCTCCGAAAGAGACGCATGCTTGCGTTCTGGTGGAAGGAGGAGAGGCGGGTGCAGAGAGGGAAAGGAAGGGGGGGTTACAACATGGAGCATTGTACCTGCCTTGAGTCATCCTCTTCTGGAGAGGAAATTCATTAGAGAATAAGGGAAAGGAACGTTCTCCTTGTTAAAAGTTGAGTTTTGAGGCGTCTCAAAACTCAGCTTTTATCACGTCATTAGAGGACAAGTGAAAGGAACATTCTCCTCCTCACAGAATGTGCAAGTCTCCGTGACAGCAACCAAGGCTCACCAGCATGTGCCTTGGAGGGAGAATTTGTGACAACAACCAAGGCTCGCCGAAGCAATTCGTGACAACAACGAGAGGGAGGCTATGTGACAATAGGGAGGCTCACCGGCATGTGCCTCTGAGGAAACTGCTGGCCGTCTGACCCCACAAAAATCCCCCCACAATTTGAGTCCATAATGGAGGCGATTTCTGAGGCACCCCAAAAAATCAAGGGGGGCTCACTGGCATGTGCCTCTGGGGAAACTGATGGCCGTCTGACCCAACGAAGATCCCCCCACATGTTCAATCCATTATGGAGGCGACCATTCAAGGCGATTACTAAAGCGATTTCTGAGGCGCCTAAAAAAGGCAAAGAGGGCTCACCGGCATGTGCCTCTGGGGAAACTGCTGGCCGTCTGACCCAACGAAGATCCCCCCACGCGCCCGCTCTTCCTGCAGAGTCTCGCCTGGTGGGCAGCAGAGGGGCGATCGGGTTGGGGGTACCGTGAAAAGCACAGAGAGGGAAGGGCAGAGGGGCGAACGAGCGGTGAGGGTGGGAAACATGTGCGGAAGCTGCAACTTTCAACTGCAGTGTCTCGCCTGGTGGGGGGCAGCGGACTAGAAGTGGACAAGCGGAGGAGGGGAGAGGAGGTTGGGAGGGCAGGAGAGGCATGGTTCAGGAAGGAAGAAGGGTGACTAAGATTAGAATCCGAGAGCTGCGGTAGAGCATTCTGCTGTCACACCAGAAAGAGGAAGGGTGGCTAAGATTCTGTTAGCCACCCTTTCCTGTTCACTGAGTGCGCATCACAGACATGTAGACTAGACGAACAGGCGAGAGCATGCAGAATGGCGTTTCAACTCACCGAATTTGTCCGGTGGAGCAGCAATGGAGCCACGGAGCAGAACTGTGAGCTGAAGGGGGGAGAGGGAAAGGAGGGTGGAGTGGGGTTCACAGGTGTTACAGGGGTTACAAGTGTTTGAGGTGTTACAGAGGTACAGAATGTTGTAACAAATGATGTGCAACGAATGTTGTGCACCAATCACCACGCACGACTCACCATGCACGCACCCTTCATGCAAACCTGTATCGCCTCATACCCATACACACACCTTCCGGACGAAATTGTCTCGGAAGTTCCGGCTCTTCTCTCTCAACTCGCCGTCGCTCAGGTTCCTGAGGAATGCTCAAACGGGGAGAGGAGGGAGAGACAAGACAAGGGATGCTTGGGGTTTGGTAGGCGCTTAGGAAATCGGAACAACATGCAGAGTGGAGATTGAACGGAACGTTCAGGTGTGGCGGGCAGATAAAAAAGAGAGAAGAGGCAAGAGGAGGAGAGGAAAAGGACTAGGGGATGAAGAAAGGAATGCTGGAGAGAGGACGTTTTTGAGGCGCCTAAAAAACGACCTCAAAAAAGAGAGAAGAGGCACGCGAAGGAGAGGAAAAGGACTAGGGGAGGAAGAAAGGAATGCTGGAGAGAGGAGGTGCTTACTGTAGCTCCGCAGAGGTGGCAGAGAGCTTGGTCGAGACGGACTTGTATTCCTTATCGAGCAGCGGCACTATATAGGGTACACTCTCGAGATACCTGGGTGGGGGGAAGAGCAGATGCAGGGGAGGATTGACGTCAAAATGCATCTGCAGGAGAGATGCAGAGCATAGGACGAGCAGGGTGTTGGGGAGCAGGAGACCGGAATAGGGAGAATGGTGGAAAGGAAGGGGGGAGAGGAGGTAAAGCGGGGAAGGAATGAAACGGGGACAAGTGATCGACTGCTTATCGTTGCTGCAGCATCTGCTTCAAGAAGAGAGGGAGGGGAAAGCAAAAGAGGAGGGGGAGTGGGAAATATTGTGGTAAGGCGGAAAGTGACAAGGAGAAACCAGCTGCTTAGCGTTGCTGCAGCATTTGCTCCAAGAAGAGAGGAAGTGGGGACGAGGAGGAAGGCTAAAATGAGGAATGGGTGGAGAGAAGTAAATGGGGGAAAGGCGGAAGTTTATTGCTTACCGTTGCTGCAGCATCTGCTCCAAGAAGAGAGGAAGTGGGGACGAGGAGGAAGAGGTTAAATGATGAAGGGGTGGAGAGAAGTAAATGGGGGAAGGGGGAATGGATTGATTACCGTTGCTGCAGCATCTGCTCCAAGAAGAGTCGAAGCCGGCTAACCCCCACCCTTGCTCGCTCGTCGTCGGAGAGCGGGCGGCCCATTTTGTCCTCTAGCGCTGCAAGGTCGCTCATCTCTCTCCGAGCAACAGCCTGCAGGTCAGCGCAAGTCAACCAAGTCAACCAGCCACTTTCATGTCAGAGTCAACGACGTGGAAACATTTGAGAGAACCAGCTGTGACTTGGAAACATTGGAAACTTTTGAGAGCGACTGGTTGAGAAACTGCCTCTTACCCCCATCCCCTCATCCCTCCCCTTCTCGCCCCCTTCCCTCAACTCACATCTCTGTATGCGCATCCGCCCCAGACCCCATCCATTTCCCTTCTCCTCTCCCTTCCTCCTCCCCCCAATCACCCACCAACCCCCACTCACATCTCTGAAATTATCATCTGTCTTGAAAACCACATCCGCCCCAGACCCCACTGGCCTTCCCCTGCTCCCTCTGCCTTCCTCCCCCCTCGCTTCCGCCCCCTCCCCTCTCCCCCAACTCACATCTCTGAAATCGTCGTCTGTCATAAACACCGCATCTGACCCGGACCCCACTCGCCCCCATTGCCCCCAACTTCACCACAACCTTTCCCCTACCCCTCTCCTCTTGCCCCCGTTCCCCACTCATATTTCTGAGATCGTCATCTGTCATACCACATATGAACCTGACCCCACGTCTTCTCCCATTCATTTACTCACGTCTCTGAAGTCATCATCTGTCATAAACACCGCGTCCGATCCGGACCCCACTCGCCCCCATTGCCCCCAACTTCCACAACCTTTCCCCTACCCCCCTCCTATTGCCCCCTTCCCCACTCACGTCTCTGAAGTCATCATCTGTCATAAAAACCGCGTCCGATCCGGACCCCACGCGCCCCGACGGCACCGACGTGAAAAACGGCCGCGTGGCGAGCCGCGACGCCGAAATATCCGGCAGCGGCGGGTTGAGAAACATTTCCACGTCAGCTGCCCGGGAGAACTGCGGGATGCGCGTGTCGAGCTTGGTGGACACGAGGATGGTCCGGGAGAGGTCTGGGTCGACCTTCATGACGATCCTCCGCGTCGTCGCGTTGCTCCAGTCACTGCTGTCCTCGAGGCACAGGATCACAAACTCCTGCTGCTTCATCTTCGCTAGGACTAGCGCCTCAACTATCCGGGCTTGCTCCTGCATGGTAGGGAGGAGCGAGGTCAGGAGAGGAAAACAGATGGTGGCGTTGCTCCAGTCGCTGCTGTCCTCGAAGCACAGAATCACAAACTCCTGCTGCTTCATCTTCGCTAGGACTAGCGCCTCAACTATCCGGGCTTGCTCCTGCATGGTAGGGAGGAGCGAGGACAGGAGAGGAAAACAGATGGTGGCGTTGCTCCAGTCGCTGCTGTCCTCGAAGCACAGAATCACAAACTCCTGCTGCTTCATCTTCGCTAGGACTAGTGCCTCAACTATCCGGGCTTGCTCCTGCATGGTAGGGAGGAGCGAGGTCAGGAGAGGAAAACAGATGGTGGCGTTGCTCCAGTCGCTGCTGTCCTCGAAGCACAGAATCACAAACTCCTGCTGCTTCATCTTCGCTAGGACTAGCGCCTCAACTATCCGGGCTTGCTCCTGCATGGTAGGGAGGAGCGAGGTCAGGAGAGGAAAACAGATGGTGGCGTTGCTCCAGTCGCTGCTGTCCTCGAAGCACAGAATCACAAACTCCTGCTGCTTCATCTTCGCTAGGACTAGCGCCTCAACTATGCGGGCCTGCTCCTGCAGGGGTTGGAGGAGGGAGGTCAGGAGAGGGAGAACAGATGGTCGCGTTGCTCCAGTCGCTGCTGCTTCATCTTCGCTAAGACTAACGCCTCAACGATCCGCGCTTGCTCCTGAAGGTGGGGAAGGAGGGAGGCGTGGAGAGCGACAGAGACTGTTCAGAAACGACCCTGTGTTAGTCCGCACGTGTCAATGATGGTGAGGTTGGGGCAGTACTTGCACTCCACGCGCACCACCACCTACCCACCTACCTCACTACCAGCTCACAGACTCACATTAGCATTATCAACTATTATGCACATTTGACGCACCTGCAGCGCCGTGTGTGTGACAGAGGGGGCGGCGGAGATGAGTCCCGGGGTATCAATGATGGTGAGGTTGGGGCAGTACTTGTACTCCACGCGCACCACCACCACCTACCTACCTCCCTACCTTCCTAGTAGCCCACCCACCATCACACGCACCTGTAAGGCCGTGTGCGTGACAGAGGGAGCAGCAAAGATGAGCCCTGGAGTATCAATGATGGTGAGGTTAGGGCAGTACTTGTACTCCACGCGCACCACCACCCTACCTCCCTAGCGGCGCACCAACTGGCGTTCATCCACATATTGGCGCACCTGTAAGGCCGTGTGTGTGACCGAGGGCGCGGCGGAAATCAGGCCCGGAGTGTCGATGATGGTGAGGTTGGGGCAGTACTTGTACTCCACGCGCACCACCTACTTACCTACCTACCTCCATACCTCCCTAGCAGCCCACCACCATCGCCCGCACCTGCAGCGCGGTGTGTGTGACCGAGGGCGCGGCGGAAATCAGGCCCGGAGTGTCAATGATGGTGAGGTTGGGGCAGTACTTGTACTCCACGCGCACCACCACCCCCGAGCAGCCTTACCAGCATCGCACGCACCTGTAAGGCTGTGTGTGTGACCGAGGGAGCAGCAGAAATCAGTCCAGGAGTATCGATGATGGTGAGGTTGGGGCAGTACTTGTACTCCACGCGCACCACCACCTCTCGGTCCGAGAATCGCCCCATGTCCTTTTCCAGCCGCTGGTTCTCGGACTCGATATAAGCCTGCACCGTTACAGTCATAGAAGCACATCGAACACATTTCATTCATTAACACCCTGAGTCAACGTGCTTTGCTGTTAGGATATTAGTCGAGTGCGGAAAATCCCATCCAAACTATCACTGGCTCGAGGGAAAAATAAAAAGACTAAAGTCAAATTAAAATCGTAGCAGTACCTGTAGTTGCTGCAACGTCTTCTCCTGTTCGCTCGTATGATCCTTATCCAGCACTAAGTAGCACCGCGGCTCCTCGCACGCCGGATTATACTTCATCTGAAGCGTGATCGGACGGCGCGTCTTCGTCCCCCCGCCCACGTGGTTAAACTGGAATCCCATCAGCGCTTCCACCAGCGCACTCTTCCCGTCCGTTTGATGCCCCACGATCAGCACAGCTGGCGCATCGAACGGCTTCTGGAAGTGCTGCGCTAAGCGGTGCAACTCGTTATAAGCCTCGTACAGCTTCTCATTCTCGCTAGAGTTGCGAGGGCTGCCGTTGCCCTGCGAGCGGTTCGAGAGAGCAGTAGCGGAGAAATAAGTACCGGACGGACTTCTGCCGATTCCATTACCACCACCGCCTCCTAAACTGGCGGTGCTGTTGGATTGGTTGGCTTTTCCGCCAAGAGCCGCGCCGCCATTGCCGTTCCCCTGGTTGCTGGATGTCACGTATGATCCACCCGTGCTGGACGGAGGTGCCACGTCTGCACGGGTTGGCTGGGTGAAGCGCTCTGCAGGCGCCACGTCACCGCGAGCAGAGTCTGTACCTCTAGCGAAGGTGATATTTTCCCTGATGCTCGCACTGTAGGAGGAGTTGTCTGCAGGCGAATAGTCCCCCCCGAGCCTGCTGCCGTAGGTTCGGGTTCTTGGTTCGGAAGAAGGGGCGGGTGGCAATACCGAACGTGATTCCAGCTGCTGGGTCAATGAGCTCGAACTTTTCAAATCCTTTCCGGAGTTTGCTCCACCGGCGGATGCAGGTTCGGGATTGGACGAGGTTCGGTTGAAAGTAGACGATAAGTTACTACGTAGCGAGCTTGCCGTGGCTGCCGTCGGCCGCTCTGTTGGCCCATTTTGACTGGGAGATTGCTTTTCTTGCGCGGCTGCTAGCCATTTCTCTATGCTATCTCCGGGACGCGCCATTTCTCAAGTTAGCGAAACTGGGAGAAGGCAGGAATGAAACTGCAGAATGAAGACAGCAAAGTGTAACTGCTGACGAAAAATAATTTAAACCGGAATGGTCTTTCTAAGGTCGTTAGCAGCAAGCATTACCAGGATTTCGCATTGCTGATCCTGGAACTGAAGCTGAAGCTAGAGCTGGAGGTGAAGCCTGGTCTATGATAGGAACTCGAGTCGACGTCCCTGAAGAAATGGAAAACCGTCAGATAAGCTGGGAATCTCGAGGTTCTCCTTCGAGGTTTGAATCTGGAATCGAAAACCAGGTCATGGCGATACGATTTCCGAACCAGACTTCCGGACCTAAAACCTGCTCTGGTGTTGCCAGAAGGGGTTTGGAATTCTGGTCTGGAAGAACCGAGCGTAGCCTGAGCTTCGGTTCGCCTGTGTGGAAAGTCGAAGCTTGATGCAGTTTGCTGATTCTGGCAGTTCGCTAACACCCCTGACCTTGAAGCTTGGCGATTTGGCGGGCTTGCCTGGCGAATTCAAATCAAACATCGTCAGCAGCCATGCTGCTAAGCAGGGCGGGAAAGAAGTATGCAGTTCCGAGCCTGTGGCGTGAGTGTACATTTGCTAAATTACTTTGAGAAGCTATACAGTACAATATGTCTGTTACACGTTGAATCTGACGGAAATTGTTCATCGTGGTGTAGCTGCAAATTGGCTTTGTCCCGACGCAGATCCGTGAGTTTCGGCCCGAAGGTCCATCAACCGCAATCATGACGAACGTGGCAGACACAACGAGGCATCGACGGTCCCTCCTAGGCCATTCAATAGAATCCAATGGTAAGACACGAGATGTCCCTATCCCAACCGAATCAACCGTGATATGTACATTTGTGCTCCAGCATGCTTCATTCGTGTTCGTCCGATAAGGGGTCATTCCGGCCTCCACACCACATCGAGGGTGCAAATCGATTCAACACAAAGTTTCCAGAAGCCCAGCCTACCCAAACGTTTCAGCCTGCCCAGGAAAACCCACCTCTCACTCCACCCTCGCTGCGCTCCGCTCGCCTTCCTATCAAGCGCACCCCACCACACGCCACGCCAGCAACAGCGCACCACACATCAGCTCCCCCCTTCCCCCAACCGTCCTTCCCTCACCCTCTTCCCCGCCTCCCGCCCCCTCCCCTCCATTTCCTCGCACTGTCTTTCCCCCTGGACCATCTCTGTGCAACCCCTCTCTCATCTCATCCCCTCGTCTCGTCTCCTCTCCTCTCCTCTCTCTCCCTCTAGGTTCACTGCTTCTGGCCGCCATATCTTCGTTGCCCTAGAATCTAGTCACTGTTGGATCTTCACTAACTATTGTCTGTTGCTTTGAACAGATTGTTTCTCAGGCCTAGTCTAGTTGTTTTAGGCTCCAACCGCATTCCAATGGCGTTGCAGGGGTACAGGTAAGCCTGAATAATGGGATGCTTGGATTTCGCCTTTCCCGCTTCATTTCCGCTACGTTTTCCGTCACGTTTCAATCCATCAGCCGTCTCACTCAGTGGCTTCCTCATGGCATGTATCTTAGTTCTTTTCTTACCTGGTGTCATTCTTCCTTCCTTAATGCGTGAACGCCACGGCAGGTCCTCCGTGCATTCAGGCGCTCCATCCGCTGGACCTATTTCTCGATTTAGCCAGTTTTTTCTGTTTGTAATATTCGTCTTCCTGACCGGTGCGCTCCGGGCCGATAACGACCGTCAGATCTCACTTTCCGAAGCAGCAACCTACGCACGAGATTCGTCGAAAGCAGCTCGTCCGAGCATCAACAGCCTTGCCTTCTCCGGCTCTGCTTCCGCGACATTCGCCGCGAAGGCTGGCGGAGATTCGCGAAAAGAGTCTCGAACGGACGGCTCCTTACACATACGACAATCGTCACCGCCACCACCATTGCAACCTTTAGGAGGCGCCCATTCCCCGGATCCCGCCTTAGACCCGCAAACACCACATAGCACAGACACCAGCCCGAGAGACTTACCTAATGCTGATACCGGTCCAAGAGACAAGAAGCCGCAGCGAGCGAAGGGGAGAATAAAAAGCCGACAGAAATCCGCAGCAGCCGCAGCACCTGCAGCACCCGCACCTGTTGAGAATTCCGGAGGGGCATCGGCGAGGCTAAGCGATTCTAGCTACCCTAGGCTAGGTGACATCAGCCTGCCGCCGAATGCGCCGGAAGGTGCGCTGGCGATGTTCGAAGCGGATTTGAACACGCCGTCGCTATGGGAGCTTCCGGGAGGGGTTAGGACGTTCCCTACGCTGCTGTCTTGGGGTGCTCGATACGCTTGTACGACTACGCCGCATACTCTATGGATAATCAATTTGTCGCGTCATAGAGAGCTGATTATTGAATCCGCTACAAGCAGCTCTTTCGATTTCTATATGGCGAGCTACATGGCAAGTTTCGACGAGTTCGTTATCAAGCCTCGGTCGGCTAGTTTCATCAGTCTCTTTTTCCTGCCCCGGGCACTTGGAACTATAGACGGGAATCTGACGGTAGAGACTAGCGCAGGGCCGATCGTAATTCCGCTGTTCGGTTATGGCCTTCCGTCCCCGTTTAGCTTGGAACCGAGAACCAGTTTAAGAACGTTGCCGGGACAGCGGATTATACACCCCGTTTGGATGCAGAACACAATGCCGTGGCCCGTTACAATCACCGACGTACAATCGAAAGTGGATGTGTTTATATCGGGGGAAGACGGCCCTATGGAGCTTCCGCCGGGTTCTAGAAGCGAGGTGAAAATAACGGTGGGAGGGGTGGAGCTGGGAATGGAAGACGACACGTGGTCGTACCTGCGTGACGCTATAGGGAGTGATATTATAGTGAAGCCAGGGGGAACAGAGGAGGTGCTAGTGATTGAGGCGGTTCATGGGGACGTGGGGAGGCTGTCGCTAAGTATTTTTCTTAAAGTCGAGGCGCATGCGGATTGCGACTGCGAGTATCTGCTGCTGCCGATCGACCTGACGACGTCGCCAGGTGGCGTCGTCTCAATGGCAGATGAGATCGACTTCGGCACGCTGACGTCAGCGCGGGACACGGTGATCCGCCACGTGGAATTGGGGAACGTGGGTAGCACCATGGCGGCGGTAGAAGACGTCCGGCTCGCGGTCAGAGACGAACATTTGCAAGCTGCCCGTTTCCGCAAAGGACAGCAGCTGCCGCCCGGGAAGGTTGTGCAAGTTGCTGAACTGAAATACGCAGGCTATAGCTTGACGTCAGGTTTAAGTGGGAAAGCAGGAGGGGGAGGGGCAGGGGGAGGAGAGGGAGGACCGGAAATTGAGGGTTTTACACGTAGGGGACGTGTAGTGGTGCAGACGGCACAGTCAAGCCCGTCGCTTGTAGAGGTGCCGTTTAAAGCGCGGATAGTCCTTGGTGGCGTGACAGTGGAGCCTGTCGAAAACACCGTCTTTTTCTTCGCAGCAGCACCCGAGAAAGAGAAGCAGCAGGAGGGAGAATTTTCCGGGCAGCCCGGGGGAGAAAACATTGGGTTTGTTCGATCTGCGGTGAGCAAGGAGCTGGTCCTGCGAAATAAGTTTTCCTGCCCGGTGCTGGTATACGACGCGTTCTTTTCACACGACTGCATTCAGGCCAAGGATTTCCCGTCCTCTCTGCTTCCCCCTGGCGGCTCCAGCAAACCGTTTCTTTTGCAGCTGAATCCGGAGAAATTGCCGCTGTCGCTCACTATAGTGAACTTCACTATAGCGACGAATGTGAGTGATATGGTTGTGCCGCTGCACGTGCTGCCTGGGCTACTGGAATTGGACGTTCCGTTGACAGCAACAGCAGCAGCAGGAGGAGGAGCAGCAGTTGCAGCGACAGCCGCAGATATCAGCATGAGTGCTTCCCGCTCTCCCCCTTCCACCCGCTCTAGTACCCAGGAAGGGCCGATAATGGGGGGTGTTGGCACAAGGGTATTGAGTGAGGAGGGGGAAGAGGAGGAAGAGGAAGAGGAGGCGGAGGGGGAAAGGAAGGAAAACGAGATTGATGGTGCAGGTGCGCAAACTGATGGTCGGTACGAGAGGGAGGGGGAAGAACAGCAGCAGGAGGAGCAGCAGCAGCAGGGGAACAGTCGCGGGGTTTTGGACTTTGGACTGACTCTCCCGGGTTCCAGGCGAAACATATCGTTTCGCTTGGCCAATCCGGGCCCGTTTCCGATCGCCATCATGTCCGCGTCATGCTCATCCCGCCACGTCACCGTCCACGTCAGCGACGTTATCCACATGGAAGAGAGGGAGGCAGAGCGCGCCCCTGTGCCTGTGGCCATGTCGTCTGCTCTCCCGTCCTCCCAGCATCAAATCTTCCACCTCCCGGTGAGGTTACACCTGCAGACAATTGCTAGGTCATCTGTGGAGGGGGGGAGAGGGGCTGGCGGGAAAGAGGCCGCGGGAGGGGCGGATGCAGGCACAGCAGGAGCAGGAGGAGCAGGAGCAGGAGGAGCAGGAGCAGGAGAGGCAGGAAAGGGGGGCGTTGCAGGAGGCGCAAAGAAAGGAGTGGCAATGAAGAGCAGTGGCAGCGGTAGCACTGGCAGCAGCGGCAGCAGTGGCAGTCGTAGTGGTAACACTGACAGTGGGAATACGGCTACAGCTGCTACTGCAAGGCCGTCGCTGGTGCTCAATAGCCCACGTGCAGGCCAAGAGGTGGTTATAGAATGCGAGAATTGCGGATTGTTCAGCATTCCAGAATTTCATACTGCAGAAGTGACTGTAGAGTTTGCTCCTGTAACGGAAGGAGCATGGTCAGAGCTGCTGGTGCTTGAAACGAAGCACCAATTAGTGAAGCTTGACCTGAAATTTGCATCTTTCCGAGGCGAGATTGCGGTTTCCCCGAAACTTCCGCTCGTGTTCCCGTCGCTCTTTCCAGGAAAGGCCCATCGGATAAAGCTCTCTGCGAACAGCACCTTCCCGCACCCCCTTGCCGTTACCGGAATTAGGGTTTCCGATTCTAGGGTTTCAGCAGATCTTAAGACTTCTGTGCTGGGGCCATCTAATGGAACGGAGTTGGGCGATCTTGTGTTTTCCATGCCTCTGCGGGAAACCTTTGTGACTGCAAGCGGAGGTGCTTCTAACGGGAGCGAGAGCTGGGGGCGAATGTTGGAGAGGCTGCAAGACGGTGGGGGGAGGAGCCCAGGCGGTGATAATACCGAGGGGAGGGACCCGTGGGGTGAAGGTGTGACTGTAGAGGAACGGGAAACGGCACAGGGGAGGCTGGATGAGTGGACGCGCGTGGTCCGTGCAGGCGAGAATGTGATTGTATCCTCCTTAGTTCTTGAAACGGAAGTGATGGAATCGGAGGTTGTGGAGGTGAAAGGGGTGCTGGCGAAGCCGCGAGTAGTGTCAGAAGCTTCGTCGAGCTTGCAGTTTGGCCGGGTGCAGGTGGGAACAGCAGCAGGGGAGATGATTCTGGTGCAGAATCCGAGTGATTACCCTGTGCGCGTGCGCCTGGTGATGGATGAAGGGTCGGGATTTAGGGTTTGTGGGAATGGGAATGGTGGGAACGGCAACGGTAGGGGCGGAAGTGCTGGTAAGGGTGTTGGCAGTGGGGGTAATGGCGCTAGTGGGGGCAGCGGCGGTAGTGGCAGCAGCAGCAAGAGTGGTGCTGGGAGCAGCAGCAGTGGCAGCAAGGGTGGAAGTGGCAGGAGCAGCAAGAGCAACACTGGTGCCACAACCAGCAGCAGCCGCAGTAGCAGCAGCAGCGGCGGCGGCGGCGGCGGCGGCGCTAGCAGCAGTAAAACTGGTTGCTCGGGAGGAGAGCCAAAGGGTCCGCCCTTCTGCCCTGTACCCAACCCTAACTCCGCTCCGCCCTCCCCTCTCCTCCCAACCCGCTGGTTAGCTGCAGCTGGTATCCCCCCCTGGACCCTCAACTTAGCCTCTCACTTGAGCGTTCCCTGGCTGGGTTTTGGAGCACCTTGGCTTGGGTTGGGTGTAACGAAGGAGAGAGAGGAGGGTGGGGCGGGTTTTACCTTGGCGGCAGATGCAGTGACGGATTTGATTCTGCCGCCCGGGTGGGAGGGGCGGCTGGGGCCGGTGGTGTTTCGGCCGGATGCTTCTGGGTGTGTGTATAACGGATCAGTCTATGTGCGGAATAATCTGACGCTGTTGGAAGAGGTGCGGATGGTGGGGGAAGGGGGGTCGGGGGTACTGCATGTGATTGGGAGCAGAGGGCCGGAAATGCTGCTGATGGTGAATGTGACTGAAGAGCATGTGCTTGTAAAGGAGCGGAGGGGGAGGAGGCTGGTGGGAGCGGCAGGGGGGGCGCATCCGCGGTTTTATGTGACTGAAGTGGAGAGCAGCGTAGGGAGGGTGAAATGGCCGGTTGTGGCCGAGCGGAAGTTCAAGCTGGTTAACCGGGGCGATTTACCCTTGAAAATCACGAGTATGAGCCTGCAAGCGAGCAAGAGCAAGGTCGTGTGTTCCCTCCGTGGATTCTCCATCCATCCATGCGAGCCTTTCACGCTCGCCCCTGGCCAATCCACGCCTCTGCTCCTCTCTTTCACACCGGATCTCACCTCGACTATAGTTCGCGCCGTCCTCCATATAGAGTCATCCGCTGGTGCGCACGAGCTGCCGATCCGAGGGTACATTCCGCGAAACCTCGCAGTGATTGCAATAGACGCGGAGCCTAGGCATCCCATGGATAGTGTAATGAAAGCTGTGGTGGCTTCGATGTTAGTAGCCATGTTTGGGCTGCTGGTGCGGGCGGCTGTGTCTCAGCTTACGCTGTTCCCCTCCCCGTGGTTTCCCGGGTTCTCTGCTGCTGCGGCAGCAGCGCTGACTAGAAGGCTTCAGAAGAAGCAGAATGCGCTGCTGCTGGCAAATCAGCTTCATGGCTCTGCTGCTGGGGGAGGGGGTGCAGGTGGGGCTCCGGGCGGAGGAGGAGGCGCAGGGGGAGCGGGAGGTGTGTGGTTGGTTGGGGGAGTGGGGGTTGGCGGGTTGGGAGGCGGGGGTTTTGCAGCAGAAGCAGAGACGCGAGCGCGAGTGGTCAGGGTTCGAGTCTCGGTGGCGCCTATTTCTGCAGGGAGAGGAGGGCAGGGAGGAGAAGCGGGCGGAGGGGTGAGTGGCGTTGTGGGTATGCCCGTTGGGAGGGGGCATGACGGGCCTATGGGGGATTCTGGGCCGTCCTGGGTGGTAACCCGAGTGGAGAAGGTTACAGATGGGGCGGATGGGGAGGATGATGGGGTTACTGATGCCGAGATTGGGCTTGGATTGGAAACGGTGCTGGCAGTGCGGAAGCAGCATATGGAGCAACAGCAGCAACAGCAGCAGCAGCAGCAGCAGCAGCAGCAGCAAAAACAGCATGTGGGTTTATCAAGTCACCAGGCGTCAAGGGTGGTCCTGAATGCTTCCCAGGCAGTGGAGCAAGGGAAGAAACATACAGGGCAGAAGCTTGAATCCTCAGCAGGTCAGGCGGCATCTCAGCAACAGCCGGAGCAGCAGCAGCAGCAGCAGCAGCAGCAGCAGCAGCAGCAGCAGCAGCAGCAGCAGCAGCAGCAGCAGCAGCAGCAGCAGCAGCAGCAGCAGCAGCAGCAGCAGCAGCAGCAGCAGCAGCAGCAGCAGCAGCAGCAGCAGCAGCAGCAGCAGCAGCAGCAGCAGCAGCAGCAGCAGCAGCAGCAGCAGCAGCAGCAGCTGGGTGTTGCTCGTGGGGCAGGGAAGAGCGATTTGCTGATTACAGGAGAGGCTACTGTGGCAGCGGTGGCAGTGGCAGCTGGTAAAGCAGCACGGAAGAGCGCAGACTTAGGAACAGCAGGGGCGTTTGCGCCAGGGGCAGGTTCTACTGGGGGAGGCGTAGCTGTTGCTGGTGGAGTGGGAGGGGAGACATTTGGGACCGGGTTACACGATGCGGCTCGAGTGTTTGTGAAATCGGCTTCTGTTCCTTCAGGTAGGGGTAAGAGCAGCCAAAAAGAGGCTGATGCTGTTGCTGCTAGTGGTGGCGCTGCTGGGACTGACAATCTGGCTGCTGCTGCTGCTGCTGCTGCTGTGATGGAGGGGGATACTGGGAGCGATAAGGCTGGGAAGGAGGGAAGTGGGGCGACTTGGATTCCTGGTGCGTGTGGCAAGGGGGGTGGTGGTAAAGGGGGGAAGGAGGGGGGTGGCAAGGGTGAGGAGAAGAAGCAGCGTGGGAAGAAGGGGAAGGAGGAGAAGATGAGAGAAAGGGAGTTGGAGAGGGAGAAGGAGAAGGAGAAGGAGAAGGAGAGGGAGAAGGAAAGGGAGAAGAGACAGGCGGAGGTGGAGGCTCCTCGTGAGAGTGAGTCAGGTAAGTTGAAAGAGAAAGAACAGGGAAGGAAGGAGGAGGAGAGTGAGAAGGAGAAAGGAAAGAAGACTCAGAAGGAGGAAGGAAAGAAGGGGAAACTCAAGGAGAAGGAGAAGTCTGCAGAGACTGAAGGGATGAAGGAGAAGGGATTGAAAAGCAGTTCAGGGGTGGCTGGAGATAAAAAGGGAGAGCATGGGAAGGAGGAGAAGAAGCAGGAGGAGGGTGGGAAGGAGGAGAAGAAGGTGGGAGTGGTTGAGAAGCAAGGCGTGGGGGAGAAGCTATGGGCTGTTGACAGGAAGGTTGCAGAGGAGAAGCAAGGTGCTGTTGAGACGGGGAAGAAGAAGAAGAAGGGCCAGGCAGCAGCACGTGAGGCTGCCGCTGTAGCTTCAACTGCGGGCGCTGCTGCTGTAGCTGCTGCACCCGCTCCTGTGGTCGCAGCAGAGAAACCTGCTGGGGCAAAAGAGAAGGAGAGCGCAGAGCTTGGTAAGTCCGCTGGCAGTGAGGATTCGACCAGGACCGGAGGGAAGCAGGTAGGAGAAGGGAAGGGAAGGAAGGAAGGGAAGGAGAGAGGCAAGGATCAGCCGAAGCTGGTCCCTGTGTCCGCCGTTACTGTTTCTGGATCCCCTGTGGTTCGCTCTCCGGTAGAGAGCCCAACAAAGGAGGGTGGTAGTGGGAAGAAGCAGGGGTCTGGAGAGAAGGAAAGGGAAGGAGGCGTAGAGAAGGTGAAAGAGGTGTCAGGAAATAGGAGGTCTGCTGTGGCCTCTCCTCCTCGTGCTCCCAGACAGCCGTCTCCGTCCCCAGCAGCTGGTCAAATCGCTGGTAGCAGTAGCAAAAAGGATGCCTCAGGGGCTGGGACCAGTGCTGCTTCTGGAGCTGCTGCTGGTGCCCCTTCTGCTGCTGCGGCTGCCACTGGTGGTGTTGTCTCAGCGAACGATCTTGCTCTGGCTGGTGCGAAACCAGTGGCCATTGGGAAGACTGCTGCTCGGGCGCTGCTCCTGCAGCAGAAGGAGCAGCAGGCAACGCAGCAGAAGCTTCAGCAGCAGCAGCAGCAGCAGCAGCAGCAGCAGCAGCAGCCGAAGCTTCTTCCGAATGGGAAGGCGGGTCGTGGGTCTGTAGCAGCAGCGGGTGCATCTGGCATGAGGGTTACCCCAGAGAAAGCAGGTTTGGCTGTCGGACGGGGCAAAGCTGCTGCTCCAGGTGGATCAGCTGGCTCCTCTGGTTTACCCTCTGGCAGGCAAGTTGCTCGTTCCTTCTCTCGCTCCCCACCACCACCAGACCCCTTTGCTCCCCCTGCAGAAGCAGCAGCATCGGCACCAGCAGCTGCAGCACGGCCAACAGCAGTTGGCGAAGCTGCTGCACACAACTGGCACGTTCCGATATCTGCCTCCTTCTCTTCACCTCTGCCTGCGGGAGTAGGGGGGATCGGAGGTGTGGGAGGAGGAGGAGGCGGAGGAGGAGGAGCGAGCAGGATGGCATCTATTCCCAAGGCTCCTTCCTTTGTCAACACCTGTTCCGACCCTATCCTGGTGCATCGGCGCCTTCCCCCCTCCTCCACCCCTGTCGCAATCGGCAGCGGCAGCAGCACCAGTAGTGGCGGCGGCGGCGGTAATGGTGCTGGTTCGGCTGCTGCAGATTCCTGGAAGGTTCCAGGGTTACTGAGCCCGGGTAGTCGAGTGGGGAGTTTTCTTGGTGGGGGGAGTAGCAGTGGGGGGAGCGGTGGCAGCAGGGGGGAGCTGGCAGCTGCTGCGGATTTGGCAGTAGGCTCGTTTGCCAGGAGTGGTAGCAGGGAGGATGGGATGCATGGAGCTGTGGCGTTTGGTGGCAGTCCTGCTGCTGCTGCTGCTGCTGCTGCTGCTGGTGGTGTTGGTGGTGGTGTGGGGGGTACAGGGGTTGCTGCAGCTTCAAGGGGTGGGGTGCGGTTGGAAGGTTCTTCAGGTGGTGGGCTGGCAGGAGCGGGTGAAGATGAAGCAGCTGTGTACGACTTGTGGGGTAACCATTTCGACCACCTTGCATCGTTTGGGACATCCCCGCACCCAACAGGCATCTCCCACCCATCGAGCCTCTTCTTTTCAGACCGAGGCTTTCTAACTGCCTCTCCTCCGCCCACTTCCTCCTCTGTATCCCACTCCTCGGGAATCCTTGGGCCTTCACTCATCCACGGCTCGCCCTCCTCTCCTCGCTCCCCGCGCGTGATTGCACCACCTGCCAGAGCGAGGGATGCCCTATCCCCTCCTCGTGACCAGTATCTCTTCTCCTCTACCATCTCTGGAACTCCTGAGGCTGACGGCCTTCCCCGTCGCCCCTCCACGGAGCTCTTCTCGTCTCCTTTTGGGGGATTTTCTCTCTTTCCTACAACTTCACTGTCTGCTTCTTCGCCTGGAGATGTTGTTCTAGGCCCTCCTTCCAGGTCTGCTTCTCCCGCCCCATACGGATACCCCGATAGAGGGGGTGGGTTGGGAGCAGGAGGTGTGGGTTTGGGAGGCGAAGGTGCGGTTACGGCTGGTGGGTTGTTTGGACAGGATTCAGGGGACGCAGGCCTGCAGGGTCCTGTGAGCTCCCCGTTCGGGTTTGGGGTTTCAGGAATCGACATGGACGCGTATCTGAATGGTGGGGTTGCAACGGATGCCAGCAGCCCTGCGTTCATGAGGACTTCAGATGTGGAGTCGTTCTGGTCGCACGGGGCTCCAGAGCAAGCGCTCCATGCGCATATTTCTTCTAGCGGAGAGAGTGATGACACAAGCGCACAGCCATGAAGACGTGATTATACGAGTACTACACTCTGAAGATGTGAAGTACTGGCACAGCCACTGTCAGTATCAAGCAAGTTTCCCTGAAAGCATGTGACATCTTGTAAAGTGAGGCGTTAGTTGAATCACTAGCAGACAGCAATGTCAGGTTGTTCATACGGTATGAGTGCATCCTTGTACGGTACAATTGTTTTGTTTAAAATTCACACTAAAATCACGTGCTTTTGTTGATGCAATTGCCATTCCAGGATGTACCATCAATCTGCACAGAACAAGGGATATTGGTAGGTGGAGATATTTGTGGAGCACCAGAGGTTGGCCCTAATAAAAAGATGAAGTTGCTGCACAAAGTGGAAACCAGCTCAAAATGCTGCACTGGATAGCCATCCAGAAGCTGAGTACGCGTTGGTGTGCTGTCTGCTGGTTGGAGCATAGAGTATACCGTATCAGCGTATATCAAGGTGCAACAATAGCCTTGCAGGGCGACCCATGGATCTGGCAACGTTTGCCTTCTCTTCCTGCTCCACCTCATATCCAGATTTGAGATACAACAGTCGCGCAGGGTCGTTGTTCTTGACTACATGAACATACAGATGCTCCACACCTGCAGCCCAGGTAAGACGAGTGTAAGTCCACTGAAACAGGATTACCCGAGAGGCAGACACACATTTGAGCAGATGGCAAGTAGTTGTAACTCACCCCAACTCCGTGCAAGATCTCGTGCTGATTGCATCAATCTGTAGGCGACTCCAAGTCTTCTTGCAGCAGGCGCCACGCAAACATTAGATAGATAGGCTCGTCTTGACTCTATGTGCAAGCCCTGAGCACAAAGTATTGCCAGTCGGTTACCACTTGATGACGAGTAAAACGACCTAATATTCGCTTTTGATTAGTGAGCACCTTATCAGGGTGCTGTCCGCAAAGATTTTCACCAGGCAAGCGAAGCCCTAAATTCAGGTCCAAAGTTCCAACAACCCATCCTTGAGCGACTTGCAGAGATGCACGCTGAGTACGAGGATAACAAGAACATGCAGTCAGTCAACGTCAACAAAAGAACGAGATTTCTTCTGAAAACCAACGACCTTACAGGCTCTTGACCAGGTTGCAAGATTGCGCCGCTGGGTTCAGGTACGGTCGCCACTAAACATGAGACCCGGTTGAAGCCAGGAAGGAGTCCAGCAACCTTATCTTCCAAGCATTGAGCCTCCTCCATAGCCTTCGTAAACAAATGTCGCTGCAAATGGAACCATATATTAGGTTACGTCCAGTTCTGCGGAGAGAAAAAAAGGGACAAAGGGGGAAAGTGGCGGAAAGCTACTGCGATCTGTACCTCCACGAATTCTGATGAGCGGTCAGGGGGACAAGTGAAGAAGCAAAACGACCGCAAAGACGCAGCAGCTCTGAGTTCGGTTGATGATACCGCCTCTTCCACTCGTACGGTACATGGAGACGAGGCAAGTTCGGCTCTGCTCCATGAACTAAAGTGTGGAGAGCGCAAACCCTTCGACAATTTGATCGCCTTAGGAGATGCGACCCTTACTCTTATCCTTGAAGCTTCAAGGCATGTCGAGGGGAATGCATTCGGAAGTCTATACAGGCAAACGGCACCACACGCCATGGTAATCCTAATTTCGCTTGAAACTTTCTGTGAATTACCACGACTACATCACATCGCGAAACTTGAAAAAAATGCAACATCGGACAGCATCGGACTTTCTCTCATCATTTTCAAGGTGTAACACAGCGTGATTGTAACTTTCGCTTGGCGTCGCAATGGTCCAATATTACCCATCTTCACTTCCCAACGACCGACAGCGCTTGCTATTCTCCTTTCAAAGAGAGCCGTCCAATGTACCTTTTGAAGTGGATGTCTTACACGTGTGTCAAGTCATGGAGCGTAGATTCTGGAATTTCTGGGAGACCCCACACGCCGACGTCCACTGACAGCCGTTTTTGTGGCTGTAACTGGGAGACCCCTGAACCCTCATCCACGTCATCGTGGGCGCACCTCCACCACACTGGGACCCCTGGTGGCAGGCAATTGAGCCAGATCAGTTATATTCCACCAGTCATCGAGTCGCGGTCGAATGGCAGGTGCTGGGGATTCCCAGGACAAGAAAATTTGTGCTGCCCAGATTTTGGTGCTGCTGACATGGGAACAGCTGACTAGCACAGGACATGCAGCTGGGCTGCTTGGGCAGCGACAAAACCAAAACCAGACAGTAGTCGAGATGGTGAACCTCAAGCTGGGAACGGGTCGTGCAGAAGTAGCCTAGACAGCTCTACTTCCAAGGTGCACTACTCACCAACAAACTAGACCTGGCAGGTTTTTTTTTTGTTTGTTTTATATCTCCCACGGTGAGATCGCGTCGCTTCCCCGCGATAATAATTTCACGTGACTTGCACAACTCGTTCTAGTTGCACGAGCTCGACGCGATTTGAGTGTGCGTTGAGGAGAGCAATATGGCCCTCGCGGGCCGAAGATTAGCTCAGGCGGCTGGATCGGTCATAGGATCGCAAGCAGCTGTATTTTGGAGGCAGTTTTCCAATCTGTCGCGAGAAGTCGCACCCGCGCGGCGACTAGCCGCAGAACCTCAACATGCTTTGAGCGGTGCCGACAGAAGAATACAATGGGTCTTTTTGGGTTCACCCGGAGCAGGGAAGGGTACATACGCGAGCAGACTGAGCAAGTACCTTAACATTGCTCATATCTCCACGGGCGATCTGGTTCGCGAGGAGTTGAAGAACGGATCGCCGATCGCGATCAAGGCAAGTGTGGAGGGCGTTGACGGAAAAGTTATTTTCAAGTCATGCTAATTGACAATGTACTGAGCGCACGGCACGCGGATCGTGTAATCTCCATTGCAGGTGCAAGAAGTGATGAATCGCGGTCAGCTTCTTTCCGATGATATCATCTTCGATCTTCTGTCGAAACGGCTAGAGCAGGGTGTTGTCACGGGCGAAGGTGGCTTCATTCTGGACGGATTTCCTCGCACAGCCGTACAAGCAGTAAGTTTCACGGGGGCTTGGGAGGCTAATACGTCGCCATTCGCATGCTAGTAAGCTGTTAGCGCGACGACCGTTAATCTGCTTGTGAGTGGAGTCACTCATTTGCCCCGTTTCGGCTCTAGCAGGGTGGTGATAGCCAGATGTCTCCTTGTATACGTTCCTGATCCTTTCATCCTTTTCCCTTGCAGGAAGTATTGGAGTCCATGACACAGATTGACCTGGCTGTGAACTTAACTCTTCGGGAGGAAGTTCTGGTTCAGAAGATGCTGGGGCGTAGATTATGTTCAGACTGTGGTGGTAATTACAATGTTGCTAACATTGACTTTCCCGCACAAGATGGAAAGCCAGCCATTTTCATGCCTCCACTGCCAGCACCAGCTGGTTGTGAAGGCAAGCTTGTCCAAAGGGCGGATGACACAGAGGAAACAGTTCTGGCTCGTCTGAAGGTTTATGAAGAACTGGTGAGGCTCCGTCAGGCGTTTTGGCCCTGGACGTGTCTTGGTTTTTTCTGTTTCTAAACTGAATCCACCTTCTGGCATGTTCCCTGTGCAGAGCAAACCTGTGGAGGACTTCTACCATGAAAGAGGCCGCTTGATAGAGTTCGAAATTATGGGTGGGATTCCTGAGACATGGCCACGTTTGTTAGCATTTTTAGGAGTTGAGGGCCAGTGTGAGGCACTGGAAAGCGGTTCTAGGTAATGAGGAAAGCATAGGTACCTTTAGGTAGTTAGCCACCTGGACCAGTTAGGTTTTGCCATGTCCACCTATTATATGTCAAGCATATATTGTCTGTGTCCTTCAAGCCATAAGTGAAGGTGTGGTATTACAGTACAGGAGTGTAAAAGGGCATGGCAATTTTGCCACTACCGTAAATTGTTCAAACGTGGTAGTTAAAAGATCAAGTAAACGAACAGCTGCTGGGTGGATACTTTGTAACATCACTAAATTCTTAAGTTTTCAGTGATATGGTGTACATTTTGCAACAAGATATGCTTAGATATACCAGCTTCATGTCTTCAACAGGTCAGTGTATAGCTCCTCACCAGACTTTCACCTCGCTTTTTGAAAGCAAAGAACAAAGCCCCAAAAGTGTTAGCGCAGAAGTGCAGAACGTGAGGGTAGTAGTTCACGCGGCGCCTGTCAGGGGGTAAATGCGCGCTGATTTGCCGCTTCCTGTATCCTGGCTTCAAATTCTTCGCCGCTCCTTCCATTCGCATCGCACACTCTTCGCAAAACGGTTTGCGAATCTCTTACGAGCATTCAGAGCATCGCCGCGCAGAGAATCACCCCACACGTAGTCGCAGAAGCAGGTGAATTCGAAGGTCATCTGGGATCCATTCAATCGCATGCCGTTTGCACGAGCCATAGTTACAAGCCGTACGATCTTCAGAAGCGTCGCAATCGCAACGCAACGCAGTCCCCTGTCGCTCCCGTTTCTAGCATCTTCCATCAGTTCACTTCCCTCCTTTTTTTCCCAGGAGTCAGGATGCCTCGGATCTGGATTCTGGAACTTCGCTACACACACCAGCAGTAGTCAGGCAAATGACCCACAAGCTTTGCCTGGAACCATATTTGATCAGTGCCACAGTCACTTGGTACACTTCTAACTGGAGTCTCGGTTGTGTTGTTCCCTCCTCCAGACGAATTAGCCCTAGATTACAGGACGTGCAAGATAGAGGCTAGTTCTTAGGAGGTTAGACCTGATCCGCGTAGTTGTCAGTCTCTTTCCGCGGAGCCGTTTTGGTTTCCATCTTGAAGTGCTAAAGCTCTTGATTGGTGTTTCCTCCTTACAGTATGGATATTACGCAGGTTCTTCTAAATGCCCAGTCTCCTGATGGAAATGTCAGAAGGTTGGCGGAGGAAAACTTGAAGCAGCTTCAGGATTCCAACTTTCCGGCATACCTAGTTTCCTTGTCCCTGGAGCTTGCGAATCCGGAAAAGCAGACAGATTCTCGGCGGCTTGCTGGTCTCATTCTGAAAAACTCTCTCGACGCGAA